CTGCAGTTCACTATCCTCCCTCTCCTCTGGCGATGGAGCTCTAGACGGACAAAGTGAAAATGAGTTGGAGAGTGACTCATCATTAGAGATAATCGATGTGGAGGATGGCGAGGTGGTGAATAAAGCACAAGAGGATGAGACCTTGGAAGATCTGAGTGACAGCCAGCTTTTGATGACAGACTCAAAAACTTTTCCCAGCAAAGAGATGAGTTCCACTGAGATCCCATTCCCCAGCAAAAAGGAAAAGGTGTTCCTTAGAGGAGCTTCACCTGCTTTATTGGAAGACAGATCTCCTTCCAGTTCCTCTGATAACTACATCCATGAAACACCTCTAGTTTTGAGCCGCTGTAGCTCAGTCAGTTCGCTGGGCAGTTTTGAGTCTCCATCGATTGCCAGTTCAATCCAAAGTGATCCATGCAGTGAGATGATCGATGGAACGATAAGCCCCAGTGATCTACCAGATAGCCCAGGACAAACTATGCCACCTAGTCGGAGTAAGACTCCATGTTGTGTTGAGCCAAATCTACAGGAACCGCAAGCTGCAGGAATAGCAGGACAATGGGAAAGCAGCCTGCGCAAGTTCATGGAAATCACAGATTCCAAGGAAAGGTTTAACCTTCCACCAGACCTGGACACTATGATCTACTTCACAGTTGAAAAACCCATTGAAAACTTTTCCTGTGCTTCTAGCTTAAGTGCTCTGCCTCTTCATGAGCACTACATACAAAAAGACGTGGAGCTGAAACTAACCCCTCTGCTGCAACAACATGATGAGAACCTACCTTTCCTTGATGGAGATGGGCACGGTTTTGACGCTCGGGAGCAATACAGTGAGGGTAACTCCGATGATGACATTGAAATTTTAAAGGAATGCATCAACTCAGCAATGCCTTCAAAGTTCAGAAAGGTGAGACCTTCTCTAATGACAACTATCCCCCCTCATATACTCAGCTCCCAGATTCGAAAACAAATGCATCTGCCAGCTAACATGCTTCCAAATGGCAAACCCCCAATGTTTTCTAAGAGAAGAACTGTCAACCCACAAAAAGAATTCAGATTGGATGATTCTTCCTATACTGATTCTGCAGACGGTACACCTGTGAACTTCTCCAGCACAACATCGTTGAGCGACGAAACGCTTCAGTATCCTCTAAAGGACAGGGGGGCTAAAGACTGCACAGCCAAGGGTCTGAACAAAAAGGAATTGGTCAACAGTGAGGCAAAGAGGATTGAAGACCTGAGAATATTCTCACACTTCCACAAGCCAAACAGGACCAACTATCTACCTGAGGTCCAAATGAGCCGGACAACCAAGCATGTGATTCCCACCCAGAAGTTGCTGATGCAGAGCAAAGAGGTTGCTGACAGAGTAGCAAACCTAAAGAATCGCGATTGGTCTCCTAATCAGCAAAGGAGGCAACAAGGTCAAGGCTCCCACAGAAAGCTGGAACTGCCCACCACAAAACAAAACACAGACAGTAACATGAAGTCAGGAACAAATAAAGGAAACAAAATCATTCGACAAATGACACATTCTTCTGAGGATAGTAACAGTTTCTATGATGACAAAATCGAAGAAATACCCAAGCGAAGCGTTAAAAAGCAGATTAGGGAAGGCAGTAGAAACACCATCTCCCGAAGCATGACAAATATAGGCAGGACTGACAACTTCCAAGGAAATCCCAGAGGGTTCCAGAGGATTAAACAACATCTGATGAGGGATGAGTCCGTGGCATGTTACTCACTGAGTTCATCACTCAGTTCACTCAGTGATGCTGAATTTGAGGATCACAAATCAAAAGCCCAGCAAGTTTGGTACAAGAACAGACACAATAAAACTCTGAATATGGCACAACAAACAAAGGCACTGATGGTGCATTGTCAGTATGATGAACAAAGCTCACCAAGTTCTGTCAGCATGGACTCAGAGGATGACCTCCTTCAAAAATGCATAACCTCTGCGATGCCCAAACAAAGACGAAAGTTTGCTTCAAGGAAGAAAAAGGCAGAAAATGCTCAGAAACAAAACATCCCAGATGGATGGGACCTTGACCAAGAGATGGACAGCGATGACACTGGATGGGATAAAGACTCTGACCTCAACAGTGTTGAATGGAGAGCCATACAGGAAGGTGCCAACTGTGTTGTGACTGGGCTGCAAGCTTCCAAGTCCCAAGAGCCGTCCTCTGAAGAGACTGAGTCAGTTCTGTCATTTATGTCTACGTCCAGCTTCACACCCAAAGAAAAGAAGTTTGCCAAAGACAAAAAAGCTAATAAACCTCTAGACTTTGAAAAGCGCAAGCCAGTTCCGAACTTACCAGTGGTGTTTAGAGGCAGGACAGTGATCTACACACCAACAAAAGAGATGGCTCCGTCACAAAGACCTCCCCCCAGAAAAGTGCCAACTAAGACAGATGCTCCTAAAAACCCTAATCTTGCTCAGCACCGGTCAAAAAGCCTTCACAGATTAGGCTACCCTCAGGACATGGAACTTTCTCTTCCAAAGAGGAGTTCTACTCCACCCCCAAGAATACCAAAAAGTTCCTCCTCCGGATCATCTCAGAGCTCTACTCCCTCCAAACAGTCACAAAAGAAAATAACATCACCAACTCGGACAAACAAATCCATCCAAAAAATGTCTGACACATCCAGTAGTAGCTCACCAGCTACTAGTCCCCCTGAACGAAGGGGGCGCTCCCCTGTTGTAAACAAAAACGAGAAGTCTCCCCCTCCCAAAACTCAGAAGTCACCTGTACGGATCCCTTTCATGCAGAGTTCCCTCAAGCAATCAAGACCTCTGTCTCCATTGGTAACCAATCAAACATCCTGCAGGCAAAGTAATCAGCTTGTTGGGAAAAGGGTGACACCAGCTAACCGACATGACCTGGTTAGAATGACCTCTGCCCATTCAAGCAGTAGCGACTCCGATCGGAATGGAATTTTGAGACAGCTGACTTTTATTAAGGAGTCAAAGACAGCCTCAACACGTGATGGCTCTCCTCACAACACACCACCAAGATCACAGAATGGGTCCCCTCGCAGGGCAGTTCCTGGAGCCTCTGCTGTCTTCCTTTGCTCATCACGCTGTCAGGAGCTGAAGGCTGTGGTGCAACCTCCAAGAAGGCTGCAAGTAAAAGAGCCTGGATGTGCACAGCAAGTCCAGAGACCAAACTCTGGCATTCAAAAACAGGCTACATCTCTGTCAAGGGCAACATCAAGTGAACGCGATTTTTCTGCAAGACGGCAGGCTAGGAGAACAAGCTCTGAAAGTCCCTGCAGGGTAGCCCAGCGAAATGGGCCAGGCAGAATCTCAGGAGTCAGACAACAATATGACAAAGATACTTTCAAACGGCATGCCTCATCACCAAGCATTAACATACTGAGTCGAGTGACCAGTCGCTCTTCGCTACGTTCGTCTTCATCTGATTCAAGTGGAAGAGCAAAAAGTGAGGATGATACGAAGAAAAAGGGGCAAAGATCCACATCACGCCATAATGATGGAGTGACTTGGAGGAGAATCAGGGACGAAGATGTACCTCAGATATTAAAAAGCACTTTGCCTGCTAATGCTTTACCACTGGTGCTTTCTCCTGATGGAGAAAAGCCGAAGCCACCAGCTCTTCTAGGTAAACTCCCAACTATTCTGCTTGCCTCTCGCAAGACAAGTGATGCAACAGTCCAGACAGAAGATTTATCTCATAACAAGACTAACTCAAGCACCTCTCCAAAAGCTGAAACTGCCCCGGTCATCTCAGAGGAAGCAGCGAGATTGGCTCTCCTTAGAAAATTTAGTGCTAATTCTGGGGCTAACCTTCAGGACACAGAGTCAGATGGTTCAACAAGGAGCCACAGCGCCACAGGTACGTCAGACAACCACGTTGGCGGAGTTGTCACTTTCCGCCAAGGATCCCCAAGCAAGGCTGCCCGAGTCACTCCATTTAATTATATCCCGAGGCCCATGTCCTGCCGCCTGCAAGACTTGCAGAGCCAAGCAGTAACAAACACTGAAAAGTCTGTGGGAAAAAAAGAGTCGTAGAGCGTTGTTTGGATTACTAGCCCACTTGAAGGACACCAGAATGAAACTCAGCAATCAGATGGACACGTGGGCTGGTCCTGTAGCTTGGACATTGACTCTCTAGTATCCCATTCACTGTAGTCTAAATATTCTCTCAGAACAATAGATCAGAGCTTCCATCTGCTGTTCATACCGAGTTGGATGTACGCATTGACACAAGTCTGATAGGAATGGACCACTACAAAAACTTCTGAGAAAATCTTACCTGAAAAAGGCATTTTTTTTATACTTTTTTGTATTTGATAAGTAAATATTGTCCACTAGCAGTGAGGTGGAAGCTGAAAGCAGGAGACAATGAACTGGAGTTCAGCACATGAATGACCATCGCTTTCTTGGACACCACTGACTGGAACAATGTTATACCACCTTATGAAGAACAAAACAGGACTACTGTTTGAAAAGGTTCTAACTGCGGTAGAGAGCCCAAATCTCAACAAGGACACACATTCAGTGAGTTGTAAAGTATTTTTATGTACCGTACATCAAAGCTTTTAGCTGTTGCTTCACTGCTCAACAAATAAGATGTTTGTAGCCCAGGAGGTTTGGTGAAGCCATTTGTGATGAAACATTTCTTCCAATTGATGTAACGGATAACTAGTATTATTCTCACTGTTATTCCAGTGTCTGTGTTTTATTAATACTCAAGCTATAAACACCAGAATATTCTAATTTTACTCCTACTTTCTCAGTTGCACCTTGTGGTATATTTGGCAGCTTAACATTAATGTTCTTTTTAGACATGCTATGCACTTCAAGAACTTCTACATTAAGCCATGTGTCAAACGTTCTGTTCCCTCATCCTTTTCAATCCAACTTTCAGGTAGCCCATTAAAGTTTCTGATGCAGATTATTGGAACATCAGCATGTCTAAAAAGTGCCAATGTTGAGCTTCCCATGACATCTCTGACAATGTGTACAAGGACTTAGCTTAATAAAGCATGCTCAGCTCGAATGTAAACATTAAATCAAAAGGCAGTTTTTTGCAGTGCTGATGCAACGTGTCTGTGGTTCAGGATAAAGCAGTTGTGGGACATAGCTATCGTCTTTAGCGATGTCCCGATACAACTTTTTCACTTCCGATACGATACCAATGTTGCAGCCTTCAGGATTGACCGATACCGATATCGATACGATACGATACGATATCAGCACAAATCATACATACGTTTACCTGTTTTGTAGTGTGGAATGTATGAAAGGATTGATCAAGTGATGTTACTTAATCAGAGAAGAAGAGCCAATAATAGTAAGTATGAAAAAATGGCAATTTTTTTTTAACCATTGGTTGCAAAAATGTGAACCTTAACGGACTGCTTACATCGGACAGTTTTGACGCAGTCCGATATAATCCGATACAGTGTTTTTGGGCCGATATCGAATTACTTCCGATATCGATATCGGAATGGGACATCCCTAATTGTCTTGATATTTAATCACCATACACAGTCATTTTAAAATCCCAGTATTAGCAGACATCCACTTTGCATCCCTATACTGGAAATTAAAACTGACATAACAGTTAACTGGGTTCAGTAAGTAATCCTGACACTCTGAATTCCATAAAGTTAGCTTTCTCTCTTGCCCTGACATGGTGTATAACTAACCGTTTTAATTTCAAGTAGTAATTACCATAAATGTTCACTCTGACACAAACTGCAACCCATTTCCGTCACAGAAACTACTGCAACAGTCTGCCACGTTCCAAACTCTCAGTAACCCTGGGTCCTGTCACCTTTGGTATTGTAAATAACATGCAGGTATACGGAATCCTCCTGGTGAGAGTTACTCCCTGACAGCATGCTAATATATTCGACTGTATACACACACGCGTAATCACTGACAACACTGAGGTGGAACAGCTTTTTAAGCCCAGCGCCATTTAAGTTCTCATGTCACAAAAGACTTATGAACACTCAAAATCAGTAGAAAAACATTGTAGCCACATGCTAACACAATGCTAATGTACATGTTAATGCTGTGGAATTTATTTGATATTAGATTCAGGTGTTGCCCGATATCAAGTGTGTGAAGAACATGGGGTCAGAGGTGATTGGGCCTTCTGGTGCAGCAAAAGGGACAGCACTGAGACTATTGAGCGGTACGATACAGCTGGCTAGCTACTAAGCTACTAGCTATTACCAACAACAAAGTAATTCATCATTGTGTTCTTCCTGCTTTAAAGAGAGCATATTTTACAAAAACTCACCTTTCCCAATCTTTTTGTGTTGCAAGGTGGATCTCACCCTTCTTTATAAATAGGAATTTAAAGAGAGGGTGAAGCAAACTGTATTTTCTGACAGTGTTTTGCTTCAGGAAGTATAGGTCTAAAGTAAGCTGGGGTTTTCCCCATTATTGAGCTGTCACATTCACAAAAATTAGCATACCACCCCTCTTACTTGTGGATGCTAGAGGGGCAGCGGCTCTACTTGGAGCCCCTCCTGGATATCCAAGCTCCTCCCCCGATAGCAGCTGTTATAGACGCCGCCCAAAACTCTCCCTGCAGTTCCAGCCTTCCGGCCTCCTGGTTGGTCCAGACCCGCGCTCCTGCCGGCAACTGATGAGCGTAGCTGGACAACATTCCCGTTATTTACTTACACGGGAGACAAACGGCGGTGATCTCAACCAGTCGTTAAAGACCTCCGTGGTTGTTGGTACTTTGAAAACAGAGATTACATTAGAGCTAAGAATGTTTGTGAGCAACGCTAACTGCGCTAACTTGGAACAATCATTACATGATCTTTGGTGTTGCCCTTTTTGAATCTGTTGAACGCCCACCCGGTTTTGGGAGAGTGAACGTGGTTGAGAAGATCGCTTTTTGATCTTAATTTTTGTGTTCTAGAGTTTGTCCCTCCAGGGAATTTTGAGTTAAGTTAGTAGATAACGGGACTATTTTCGTTTAGATTAGAATTTGCATAAAAAGGATCATTCCTTATTTAATTGTAGCCCGTTTTGAGCAGGTGAAATCTCTGCATTTCAGTTCATTTAAATCCGTTAAATAACTTATCGTATTTTCCGGACTGTAAGTCGCACTTTTATTCATAATCTGGCTGGTCCTGCGACTTATATACCAAATTATGTATACCGCGCTGCTGTGGGCCGGCTCTGGACCAGGAATGAGCTCCCCTTCCCCGCCATCACCTGCTGGAGACCGTTGCGCGCTGCTGCGGGCCGGTGTCGGTGCAGGATCGGCTCGGGGTCCTTCGACTGCCGATGATGTCAAAGTAGTTGATTGGCTGAACATGAAGCTTACGGAAGAGACGTTATCACGTTATGATTTTGATTGGTCAGAACAAATTTGCGGTTGTAGTCTTAGTGGTTGTAGTCCTGTAGTCCAAAAATCAACACGTTTTGGAGAAAATATGTTTGAATTTCTAAAGGAAATGTAAAATATAAGCAAATGATAAACGGTGACCCTCAAAAGCTCTTGATGTTGATGAAATGGGGCAAAATAAAATATAAGAACTTTATTGAAAGACACCAAGATAACAACTAAGGAAATATACAGAAGAACTCCACATTAATACTAACAGATGTGGCTTCACATATAAGAACTGTTCTATTGTTTGTCAGTCCGATGTTGGTTTTATGCAGTTTCACATTCTTTACAAAACAAAGATAATATGGTGTTTTATTAACAAATTACAATTATAAAGAAAACATTCAGGTGTTGACAAACAAGAATTTATTAACAAAACTGCTGATGTCTTATGTGTCGTATGTGTGAAAGCCGAGATTTGCAGTAATGTGACGTTATCGGCAGTCGAAGGACCCCGAGCCGATCCTGTACCGACACCGGCTCCGGTCCAGGTTTCAGCTCCTCTGCCCCGCTGGGAGGGTTTGAAACACCGCCATCCTCTGCTGGAGACCGTGGCGCGCTGCTGCGCCCGCGTTGTTTATTCTTTTATTGTTACTGGTACTTGTCTTGCAGTGTGAAATGCTTGGTCTCAGATTTTGTAAGAAAAATAATAAAATTCCCCCCCAAAATGCGACTTATATATGTTTTTCTCTTCTTCGTTTTACATTTTATGGCTGGTGCGACTTATACTCCAAAAAATACGGTACTCTTTTTGTAAGAATATAGGCGTTCTCGTTTCGTGTTTGTTCGTTTTGTGCCTCATTTTTCCTCCTGTTAAGTTTTATGTGACCCCCTCCTCTCCACACATGATTCCCCCCCCCCCCCCCCCCCCAGTGCCGGGGTTGTAACAGCAGCCTATCAGGGGATGGGTGGGCGTGGTCAACAACAGCAGGCTCATTCTGGAGTGTACTGAAACTTTAGAGCTCAAATCCCTTCGAGAGACAGATTTTTTTGCTAAATCCTTCATAAGTACGTTAGTTTGTTGTTTTTAACCAATCAGACTTTTTAACCCTTTATTAAAACCAGCAAAAACCAGATTAAAAACAATTATTTTATTTACAACTGTGGCCTGGTAAAAGGGAATGGTTTGTAAAATAAAATAAAACAAATGTTAAAATGTTAGAGGCCTCTTGAAACTAAAAATATATAATAGGACCCACATAAATCATAGAATAGATCTAAAGTTTCAACACTGGCAATAACCTTTTATTAACCAGGACGTCCCTGGAGATTAGCGCCTCTGGCCATGATGACACATCAGGATAAAACAAGTCAAAGAGGAGGGCGTTTATGGAGTAAAGAGGGCGTCTGCATTAGAAATCCAGGACTAAAACCAGTATTTTGTTTTAGGTCACATCGTTTCAGCACCAACATTTGGCTGAGATCGTCTCCTTTTCTGAAAGCTTAATCTTCTTAATTCTGTCCCCATTTCTGCGCCATGAGGCTTGTGGTGGTACGGACCTGGATCCGGCACTTAGCTCTTCAACTCTGCACAACATGTTCGTTTCTGCTTAACCGTGTTGCTGTAAAAGTAGCAATAGTTGGAGAGGATTATGAGTATTCTCTGTAGTCGTACCCGTCCCTCCTTCACGTGTGCCTGTAGGTGTGGATGGGAGAGTGTTTAGCCTGCGTTACGGGGCTGTTTACTCAGAGACCACCCTGTACCGAACCAAACCCTGGCAGCTTTTTAAAGGCCAACATCCTTCTGAAATCTGTCTTTTCAGTACCAAACCAACCGAAAGAAGTGAGAACATGAACAGCAGCATCATTCCAAGAAGAGAAAGAAATCCGGGAACCGTTAAAATCCCAACGTTCCAGTAGAAAAAGCCTGCTGCTCGTAATTCGTTTTCATTGTCGCAAACTACATAAGTGTAAAAGAAAAATAGGTATTTGGGTGGTTTTTACGGTAATTATCAACATCTGTGACCATGATGTCAAATGACAATTATTCATTTATAGATTATGAATAAATTTACTGCCCTTGCTGACGTGTCAGACAGATTAGGACTGGCAGTAGTCTGTAGTCCTCTGTTTAACCTTGAAAAGACAGATTTAGGATGTGGGAATGACTTCACGGCCCTAACAGTGGCGTGTCCAGATCTTTTAAAATGGGGTGGCCCAGGTGAGGCACAACTTTGTGCATGGGTGGCACCAATGGTTATGCTTTTTTTGTTTTACCCCCAAGCCGTTTGTGGACAATGAAAAGCCTATTTAAAGGTAAATTAGTGTGGTGGCACCTGGGGTGGCCAATCAGATTCCAAGGGTGGCATGTGCTACCCCAGGCCACTCCCTGGACACGCCCCTGGCCCCTAAAAACTAAATATGAAGTTAAAGGAGATGAGAGTTGTGGTTGGTGTTGCCGCTGACTTTGTTCACGTCTGGATCCGACCCGTTTGGAGCAGAATGGTACAAAACATCTCATCCTGCATGTGAACAAGATGGCAGGCGGGGTCACGGGGTCGCGACAAACATGCAAACAGCAGAAGTGTGTCATTATAAATGTTTCATTCCAATAAAAGTGATGTGATTCCTTAAAACGGTCTGGTGGACTTCCTTCAGGCGTTCGTGTTTAATGAGAAACATCAAACAGAAGTTTGTGTTTTCATGTTCAGTTTGATGACGTTTATTTCTACTTTTATACGGCACAGATGCACAAATGGGAGGTGGTCATGAAAACAGAAAAGACCGTTTTCCAGCAAACTGAGCTACTTCAAATAATTTAGTCTGGAAAGTAAATAAATATTAATACACCCATTTAAAGTCAAACATCAGTTTTTTTAGTCGTTTTATGGGGTCAGCGAACGCACCACAGCTGAGCTCAACTGCTTTTCTATTTTATGTGTCAGCAGGTCGGCGCTGAACAAGGGTTAGGGATCTGAACCAGGTGTGTGTGTGTGTGTGTGTGAGTGAGAGACAAGGTACACATGCAGATTCTCATCGGTTTTATGAAGTTGTAAGAGTTCACATTCACCTGGTTTCCTCTGTTATTTAACCATGAACAGTGTTATGACCACCAGCCTGGCCTCTTCAGGTGCAGGAGCCAGGATCACCCCGCCCCTCCTCCTCCTCTCCTCCAGGCTGCTGAGGAGCCCAGCTGAGCTGAATCCTCCTGATGACCCACACCCGGGGTAAAAGGCTGCAGGGTTCTGCTGTCCTCCAGGCCTCGTTTTGGTTTCAACACCTTCGTTTTGATGAGTTTTAACTTTAATAGTTTTAACTCTGAGTGATCCAAATGAATCTTTGTTTGATGTTGACTCTGTTTTAAGGTTAACATCGTAGTTTGCCGACTTTGGGATTTTAAAACACTCGGGTGTTTTCTTAGTGCGTCGATTTTTAATATCAACGTGTGTTTTTTAAAACACCTTCTGTTTGGGTAACCCGGTGTTTTAATGTTGGTAAGTGGTCCTTTAAATGTTAACCTTTTAGTCTTGATTTTGTTTGTTTGGGCATTATTTTAAAAATGCTTTCCATCTGTTTGCTCTTGTTTTTACAACCTTTTATAACAATCAAATCATTTTAAAAATATTTCATGTATTTAGAAAACTTTAAATATTTCTGTGTACGGAGAAGAAACGACAAAAATAAAATGCTTACGATCATTTTAATATTTACTTTTCCCCGGTCAGCTTTGCTTTTCCAGATGAACTTACTTTTATTACAAACATTAAAGTTGTGCATTTGTTCATTTCTGTCCGTTTCTCCTGATTTACTCTCCTTTCTTCTCAGATTTACTTTTCATGTGACTCATCGTTGCGTTTCCTTCACTGTGAGCCAAACGGCTGTTATCCTTTCAAAAGAAGACTTTCTGCAGCTTTTACTGCGAGGCAGATACGAGGTCGGCAGAGCCCGGCCCATTTGAGAGTTCAAAACTCATCCAGCACTGTGGCGCCACTGCTGTCTGGCTCAAAGGCACTTGGACCAGTCAGAGTTCAGAGAAAGTGTCCCAAGCAGAAATGGTGTAGAGTCAGAGAAGTTGACCTTTGATCTCTTCCACTTTTCTGTCCAGCTGCTCTCCCACAGCCAGTAGCTCTTCCCACTGCCGCTGGAGCTGGCCTTGAGCCTCCCGCAGCCGCTCATTCAGCTCCAGGTACCGGCGACACTGCAGGAACCGGTGCTCCACCTCACTGTCTGCAAGGAGGGACCATTCTGCAGAGAGCAGATGAGACCAAAGCTCAACAACCAGAATCCAGAATGATGGAGCAAGGCCATGAAACACAAGCATCCCTGATTTTATAAAGAATATCATTCTTGGCCATCTTAAAAACTGTTTTGCTCGTTTTTCTTAAACATGATGTAACCAAGATGCTGAACATCAAAACAGAAATGGGCTTTTATTGTGAAGTGTTAAACAGAACAAGACAAGTTTTGATTTAAACTAAGAAGATAACCGTGTTTGTTATAAGGTCATCTATGTGGACTCGCCTTTCCCAGTTTTCTCCAGGACGTTGAAGACCGGATCATCAGGAGCAGCCTTGCTGATGTCCTCCAGGATCTGGTCCACATTAGGAAGTTCTGGGCGGCTGAGCAGAACCACACGTTTCTTATTCTTAGAGCCAATGTTCATCTTAGACGACAAATCCACCTAAAACACAGTTCACGCTGATGATTGAGGAAAAGGTCACGTGTCTTACATTTAAATACACGAAATACGATTTTTTTTATTTTACCAATTCGGCATAAACAAAAACCATCAACACCCAAATTTAACTGTTAGCGGTGATACACCAGAATTAGCTTAAAATGCAACAATATTCGTAGGAAAATAACGGATTTATTAGTCTAGCGGGAACATTTCAAGCCGAACATTTCAGAACAACCCAACAATTGTTATGAGGTAAAAATGACGTTAGTGACGGAAGTAACATTAGCTGGCAGCCGATTTTTGTTTAATTTAGACGTTTTTTGTATGAAACTCGGGCTGCTGCTCGCGCAGCTCGCGCGGCGCGGAAGCGTTCTCTAAAGTTTACCAGAGTTGATTCTTCACGGAGGAAACCTTCTGATGTGTCTGCTCTCAGCCCGTCGGCAACGACTTAAACCGGACTGCTCATGGGAAACAAACGTTTCTGTAGTTTATGAACGACGAGCAGCCAAAACGACCCGGACGTTCTTTTAACATCCAAACCGGAAGTTCATTAACAGCCTACGTCAAAACGTCACAAGCCACGTCGGCAGAGCGTGTTTTTATGTTTTTGTACCGTGATTTGTTTTATATTAAAAAAAATAAAGTAATAAAAAAGTCATGTGATTTTGCTACATGTAGTACTTGTATATTATGTAATACACGTTAATGTTTATTTGTTCAGAGACTGTATTGTTAAAGGTGTTGAACACCGAAAAACATGTTTTAATTATTATTTCTGATAATCAGGCACTCTGAGTGTTTCATGCAGGCTGAACATGAAAATAGTCTCCTACATCTATCTCCTTTATTAGCTTCTGATAGAAAACTGACGGGGAATCTCTAGGAAAGCCTGGCAGATCTACGTGACACTGTCACTAACATTCATGGGCTCACCCATCTTGGCTAACGACGGGGAAGGCTGCTGTTGGTTTAGAGTCCAGGAAACAGCAGAGAACGTCTCAGCTAGTAGAAGCTGCCCCCGCGACCCAACTCCGGATAAGCGGATGAAAATGGACAGATGGATTTTACATGATTTCTGGTGATAAATTAGTTTAAAAACTATGCCGAGAGGAACCAGCTGAGGTGGCTCAGGCACAAAAAATGTGAGGAGCCGTTTGGGAACCGAAAGAGTCGATTAATTTTAGTTTCGTTTAGCCGTAAAAATTGGTTCAAACAACGTTGGAACCGGTTCATTTCATTGTGTTTATTTCTTAATTCTGATTTTTGCTAATAATTTATTGGGCGTTGTACCGGTCTGTCGTCAGGACAGCACACTGTAGACCAGAGCAATCGATCACAAAGTTCATGATCAGTCAGAAGAAAGTAAAAACCAGAATAAAAAAGACCGGGGGGGGGGGGGGGGGGGGGGGGGGCAAAAGGTTAAAATCAGTTAATTGAGATTTTTTAAATCTCTAAATGTTGAGTGGATTCTTTCTCATTTTACTCCAGTAACTGACAGAAGCAACATTTCAAATATTTTATTTTTAATCAGAATATTTTACTTTTGTGAACTAAATAAATAAATAAATGAGTTCCAATAAGTAGCAGAAAAAATTAAAATGTATTAAAGATAATTTTATTAACACAAAACCTTAATTTAGACTTTATTCGTCTGTTTCCTTCGTGTTTATCATCCCGGTAAACACGCATGAATCCGGGTCAGTCTGTCAGATCCAGCAGGAACTCGTGGACCTCTCTGCTCGTGGGCGGCAGGTTCTCTTCTCTGATCTTCTCCAGCCTTCTGATGCTGTCCTCCCTGTAGAAGGACTGATGTGGGACAGCTGCTGCTGTCATGTAATATTTTACCGACCTGTGCTTCTCCTTTTGACTGAACTCTAAATATTTTGCATAATAACTGCAAACCATCTGCTCTCCTTCAGCGTCCAGGTCAGTTCTCAGCAGTTCCTGAAACATTTCCTCAGCTTCTGCTCGCTGATTTAATTTTGCGTGAATGTTTGCCAGAGATGTTTGCATCTGGAGAGAGGAATGAGGGTAGAGAGCGATGACCTCTCTGTGGAGACTGATGGCTCTGTGCATCCGGCTGGGCTCCAGGTGACTGTTGCTCTGCGAGAAGACTTTCCTCTTGTAGCAGATTGCAGCACATCTCTTTATGTAGCGTGCACCTGGATGCCTTTCCAGAGCCTCCTCTGCTAAATCGATGGCTTCATCCATGGAGACGTGGATCCTGTAGAGCCGCAGTAATGGCTTGATGCCGCTGTAGCTGCTCACCGGCTTTGCTAAAACTCTCCTGGCCAACTTGTGTGCCTCATCCTGAACTTTTGCTCCTTTCTGAGCTCGAGCTTCCAGGTAAAGAGCAGCGAGGTACAAGTTATCTGGGTCGTGCTCTTTGGCAATCTTCATTTTCTCTAAGATGTCCACATCCGTGTGTGCTCTTTGGTGCATGAAGGCATTTACTAAAGCCAGCACTCGGCTGGTTTGCCACTCCACCATGTCTGGCTGCATTCTGATGGCCCTCTGGAAGTAATCTGCAGCCAGCAGCTTCTCGCTGCTGCTAAACTTCATCAGAGTCCAGGCCTTTTCAGCACAGATCTCTGGATGGGGTTCATCCAGGCACGGAGACGGATATTCACTCATCAGGGCCTCCAGCTTTGACAGATATCCCTGACTCTGGGCTTGCTCCCCCAGGTGGTGGTGCAGCCAAGCCAGATTTCCGTAATTCACCACCAGCCACGGGCCCTCATCTGAGACGGTGTTCCTGAGCTGTCGGAAAGCCTCTGCGGCCCTGCAGAAAAACCGCAGCGCCTCTTTGACGAAGCCCAGCTGACAGTGAACGAAGCCCTGCAGGTTGTAGATGTGACCCAGCCAGCAGTATCCCTCCTCCGAGCCGATGTCCTCCAGCTCGTCCCGCAGGCGGAGCAGTCGGGACCTGCTAGGAGCCAGATCCCAGGTGAAGTGGCACTCCAGGACCTCCAGTTTGGACCAAAGTCCTGTCTGACTCTGAGCAGAGCTGAAAGACATCAAAAAGGACGAAAGTGAACTCTCAGACAACAGGTTGAGTTTAGATGTTCAGCAAAGGAGGAAAACAAATAAGGACAAAAGGCTAAAGAGTAAAAGAAATGATTGGGACGAGCCCTCTGAGGGAGATGAGACAGTAAAGTAATAACTAAGGATTTCTCCATAAATAAAGTCAATCCGGTATTAATGCAGACATCTGCACTCACCTCATGGTGCAGCTCAGACTCTGCTCTTCTAAACATCCCGGCTCCCGTCCAGCTCCTTTTCTTCAGGTGCAGCATCATAAAACGGGTAAAGTTCAGCTGGAGCGGCTGTAAACCACGTCAGCGGGAGCAGTTTGGACTCCGAGGACGGAAATAAAACCAGCTTCATCCGTGAGCTGGTTTCATTTCTGTCCTCCAGCTGTTATCAGCAGAACAAAAAGTGACTTCACACATTTATCCGGGGCTAAAGAGGACGCTACTGGGCTGTTCTTCTCAAAAGGTTAAAGTTCAACTGAAGCAGTTGTCAAAGTGGGAGTCTGTCCATCTGTTCACGGCTGCAGACGGAACAGATTCATGATGGACACCTGGACCCTCTCCAGCTTCTCCTGGTGGGCCACGTCAGAGAAGACTCCCTCTGGGTCTCCTCCACAGACGTGTAATAATCCTGGACAAAGCCTCCCACTTCCCTCCTCATGAGGCCAAAAGGGCGGTTCCCACGTACGCCATCTTGGCTGTGTCACACGTGTCGTTGCCATGCCCAGACAATCCAACAATCCAGGAAGTAAATGGCCGTGTTCGAGATGAGCCAGTTCTGCGCAGATTAGAATACCAGTGATCGGCGTGCGGTGCATGCCGGTTGGATCCGACTTAAAGCTGCATTCCGGAGTTTTCCCCTTTCAAAAATGATGTATGATTGTTCAGAATCTGTTAAAGTGATTATCCCATCATGTGCTGTGATCAAATGTAAGCAATATGTCTTTTTTTTTTTTTTTTGCTAAACACGCCCCCTGCCCCACAGAGCTCCATTCAATAGGGAACTGAGCGCCGACCAGAGCTAACCAACTGTGTTAGACTACCGCTTACGTGCTTCAAATTTAAGGAATACCTCGGCTGATGCAGAGTTGATGAACGTTTCACGGACAAGTAAGTCTCTAAAATATAAATATATGAAAACACAACATGACATGAGAATAATACTCGTAAAACAGCGTGTTTTAGCTCCGTTTGTCAGCTGCAGAAGCACATTTATAACCAGAAACGTGAAGTCGCCATCTTAAACAAACAGAGGAACAGACTTTTTGTGTGATATGCTTGTCAGCCACTAGATGGTGCCATCAGATAAGAGAAATACTCCGGAAAGAAGCTTCAACGCCGACTTTTGATCCAAACATCCTGTGGTGGAACGTTAAATGATAGTTGGTCACATGTATTCTGTAAATCATGTTACGTTGATGATGACAACTATACAGGCCATACAGAGAAATGTGATTACGTTCTTTTGTCACGTTTCCTATGAGCACACTAAAACTACAGCTGCTAACCTTTACTTATTGTTACAGTCATGTCTCCATAAGCACATGTCTACAACACATGATCTCCACACGCATGTGAGGATGTGTTTCAGTTGCTAACAGGCACCAGAGGGTTACGCAATTATGAACGCTAATGCGATTTCTTCAGCCATCGTCACCCGCAAGCTACATGTAGAGAAACCTGTCCCACTTAAACGCAGGCTTTTAGCCACTCCCACCGCTGCGTCCGTCTGCTCTCACCTGTTTTCCAGGCGAGGCGCCGCTCATCTCAAACAAGGCCATTCTCACATGCTTGTGAAGGCACCCGAATGTGCGAATGGGGATATGACTGTAACACATTATAAGTAAAAGTTACCAGCTGTAGTTCTAGTGTGCTCCAAAAAAAAAAAAAAATATATATATATATATATATATATATATAAATAAAACCATTTAAGGTTTAAAAAAACCTACATGGCCCCTTGATGTTTTGTGTTGTTTCTGCACAACTGGCATTTAAGGGCACACTCTGCAGTTTTTCTTGCTTTTAGCACCCCCTAGTGTCCATTATTAATTATCTGTGGTCCAAAATGAAACCAATCTCCTCGCTGTGCCTTTTTCTTTTTAACACCCAAATCTAATAGCTGAAATGTCTCCCCAGCCTTCTTTAGTGTCTACAGGAGTGATTCATCACTAAATTAAACAAACAACTGTGTCCATGATCTAAAACAAACATGCTGGCAGCAGCACAACAGGCGGTGGCCCAGGACTCTGAGGTATCCTGGCCACAGAGGGCGGTGGGGTCTGAGTGACATTTCACTGTTTCAAGATGCTGATTCAAAAATATGAACAACTTTGCCTTTAGGATGAGTAAATCTGTTTTGTGTTTGATGGAGAATAAAAACGAGAAATGGAGAAAAGGCAAAGACTGAAACTTTAAACAACTATATAACCATAACATAATCATCGGGGGAAGTTTTAATGTTTCTATCTAAGAATGAGACTTTTGAATGAATGATTTTGGGATTAACGGATGCTCACGAGGCACCTCCTCCCTCACCGCTCCACCTCCTCATTACAACAGATTGTTGCTGTGAGAGGATTACTACCTGCCAGCTGCCGGTCCAGGATCCTTTCCTCTCTGCTTCTCTTTGAGGACGTTGTTGGAGACCATGGGACTGCTGGGTGTTCTCACCTCCATCAAGGACCGAGCAGAAAAGTTTCTGAACGAGAAGAACGTGGTGACGGATTTTCTGGGGAAGGTGGAGGAAAAGACGGGGATCAAGAAAAAGGTCCTGGCTGTGGGTATGTGAGGAAGCTCCTGCTGTGTTCAGGTGATGAAAGGTGTCCGTGGTTCTGGGTGGATTCTGTCCAGGTGTGACACAACGGTACCTGCCTGGACGAGTCCGAGAAAAGAGGATTCAGTTAATCCTCCTGTGAGGAGATGCAGCCAAAGCTTCTGTTTATTATTCTGCATAATCGGACTTTAAACTGCCTCCTCATCTCACTTTTATGTTCCTTTCAGTTGCATCTGATTTCCTGTTTGTTGGTTTTGGTTCAAACAGAAACCCTCTGAATTTGACATCGTTAGACGTTTCCTTTTGTTGATCCGCCTTCCCCCAGACCGTGTTCTGGTGAAGGTTCCCAGCAGGTCCTGGAGTTAAAGCGGCTGAAACTCTTTATTTTCCTACAACTCGGCTCTGAGTCCCATCCTGACACAGCTTCAGAAGTCCACATTTTAGTGGCTAATCTTTATCATGCACTTCCTGTTTTAAATCCCAAACTACGGGAGTGTCTTGTGAGCTGCTTTTCCTTTAAGGAGCTCTGGCTACAGCCCGTGCCCTACAACGTTCTGCTCAAACTTAGAAAACTCCTGGGATGACAAGCAAGATGAAGTCCTGCTGTCCTGAACATTTTTATTCATCTCTGGAGCCTCTCCTCCTGTTGATTCTTACTAAACATCTGTGAAATCTTCTGAACCCTGTCTACTAAGCAGAGTGCACTTGCAGGAAGTGTGCAGTAAGGCTTCGAGTGTGCGGTATACAAGTGTGCAAATAATCGCTGAACTGGAAAAGGGAGTGTTGCGTGATCGACCGCAATGCATGCAGGGATGCTGGTCACTGAGCTACTTTTTATAAAAACCTTTATTAACAACTTTCAAACAAACAACCAAACATCCATCCGTTTTCGGCCCGCTTATTCGGGGATGGGTCACGGGGGCAGTAGTCTAACTGGGAGGCCCACCCTTCCCTCTCCCCAGCTACTTGGGCCAGCTCCTCTGGGGGAATCCTGAGACGTTCCCTGGCCAGCAGAGAGACATAGTCCCTCCAGCGTGTCCTGGGTCTTCCTTTAGATCTCCTCCCAGTCGGACCTCACCAGGGAGGCGTCCAGAAGGCATCCTAAGCAGATGCCCGAGCCACCTTAACTGGCTCCTCTCGATCGAGAAGTTGGCTCTCTGTAACAACCAATTATTTAAGTAAATTTGTTTTGTCTAAAGCATTCAGAGCATCAAATAATTATCCTACAGTGAACTACTTTTTTATTTGACTGTGCTACCTTTTTTACTTTAGTGTCTGCCCTGGGATTGGGAGATGGGGGTTCAAATCCCAATCGGGTCATTCCAAAGACTTTTAAAAAATGGGACCCAATACCTCCCAGCTTGACACCATCGACATATATATATATATATATATATATATATATATATATAGTGGACGATTCCTGTACATAGGCTCGTATGAGAAGTTTTTAATTTGAAATGGGAGGTGGCCACCACCGCCATTTTGATTGTGTCACACGTCTCGTCGCGCCCAGACAATCCCATAAAAGGGAAAAGAGGTGGAGCTGAAGGTGGGGCTGTAAGGCTGGGATCAAATGATGACACCCGTCGAACAGTGATGTAGCTACAAGCTAAACCAAAGCCAACGCGGAGGGGGGAGCTAAGCTAACAGAGGTAGCTTCCTAGCAAACTGTGCACAACACCGGAGCTTCTGAGTCGGAGATGTGCCAGGCTGACCGCTGGGTAAAACCGGGTGGAACACAGAGGTTTCCAACCGAGAGCTCCACAAGCCGGCAGCCGCGCAGCAGACAGGCGCCGCTGCGATGCGCCGAGCTGCCGCTGAGGGGAGGGGACCATACCGATAGTGGGAACCCAGCTCCACCAACATGTTATATTTCAACCCATTTTCTAAAGTGCAGCATTATGTTAAATGCACTGGGTTTTACCCTATTACATTTAAATGTCATGGTTAAACAGTACATGTTAAAATCTAAGCTCAGCTCGGCAGTGACCTAAAATACATAAATATAATTTTACTTACCGAAAAAATGAAGTGGAGACTCCTTGGACGCTCTATTAGTGCAATTAATGCCACAGCAAGTCATTTTGTCCAACAATTGCACAAAAATATCCAAAAAAGAACACAAACGCTACAACTAATGGTCTAAGTTGAGAGACGGAAAATGACGGAACAGTTTTTAAGCGAGACCGAGGCTCTACTGAGGCCTTTCCACGGAGCTAGCTCTGTGGTCACGTGGGTCTGAGGCTCATTAATTATACAGAATTTTAGACTTTTAATACACTTAAACAGAAGAGTGAGAAAAACATTCACCCCCCTCAGAGTTGTCATGAGTGTAAACTAGATCATTTAAACCAAAAACATGTTCTGGTACCAGGCTGTAAACATACCATGCCAACGTTATTTCTATAGCACAGTTTAAGACACAGCGTGAGAGCTGACCGAAGTGCTGAACAGGCAGGATCAATTAAAACAAAAGTAAAAACAATAGGACGATAAAACACAACAATAAAAACTATAAAATCCTAATAGGATGACATGGATCACTGTCTAAAAGACAAGTCATAAAAGTAGGTTTTTAAACGACATTTAAAACAGGCAGAGAGGACGCCAGCCTGACTGTACTGGGCAGTGAGTCCTAGAGCATGGGGGCAGCATGGACAAACTCACGTTCACCTCGTGATTTGTAGGCCATCCGGGGAGTGCAAAGCAGTAGACGGTCAGCTGACCTCAACATACGAGTAGGTACATATGGAGTCAGCAGGTCGGACAGATATGGAGGAGCTAGGTCGTGTAGGGCTTTAAAAACAAACATCAATATCTTAAAATGCACACGAAATGTGATGGGGAGCCAGTGAAGATGTTCCAGGACTGGTGTAATATGGCTACAGTATGTCGACTCGTGTTTGTTAAAAACCTAGCAGCGGCATTTTGGACAACCTGCAACCGGTTCAGGGCAGAGACAGGAGTTCCAACTAATAATGCATTAGCGTAGTCCAAGCGAGAGATGACGAAAGCGTGGATGACTGATTCCAAGTGCTTACTCTTTAAGATCGGTCTTAAACGAGACAGGTGGCGTAACTGATAAAAACAAGACATTTTGCCCATCTGAGCTGCCGTAGTGGCTGGCCGCGATTTTAGATTGGTCTCCATTCGCCCCGAGTGCATTCATTTCTATTGAGGAAGGTGCTTACTTATCCAACTGTAAAACACAGTTTATCAAGCTTTTTCACAAAATCAGACACAAAGGTATGGCATTACAATTAAAAAAATAAATATAAATAAAAAAAATATTTCAAATATCAAACCCCAGCAGGTAGGCTGGAAAAGTTATCCCATGTGATCTGGTTTCAATTGTACACCGGTTGTTGCAACCATAGGCTGCACAAAAACGGGCATAGGACCAAACTTTATTAACAATCCAAACAGTTCTCGAAACGGTTATCAGAAGAACAAAGGATCTGTAGAAGATTTACTCAAATGCACTGATGACTGGCTCCTGCCTTTGTTAATTACTGTGTTACGTATATGGTGGCCTTACATTACAAAGAATAGCTAGTGCTACTTCTTTGTTGTTTTTCTTTACATGTTCTGATGTTGATGTCGATTTATTACTACATTTTTACTTAATCTGACTTTGTGTTAGATGTTGAATTCCCTACTTGGATGCCCAGCCTGCATTGACTTTGCCAAGAGACCTATCCAATATGGCGACGACGCTTTACGCTCTCCAGCGCGTCACAATTCCAAATGACGCTCACCACGCAAGGATATCCCAGCATGCTTTGCAATGCGCGCCGTCCGTTGGCGTTTCCAACAGAGAGGAGAAACAGGAGCGCTGCGAAGTTTTAAAGGTAAGTTTATTAAATGATAGCGGTAGAAAACTAAAAGACTTAAAGCGGTTCTGTTTGTAGACATTTTATGTTTATATATTTATTGTTTGAATGATGTTTTAGACAGGAATCCCTCAAAACGAGCCTTTATGGCGGTTCGTGGTTATTTCTGTGTACGTGTTGCCCGGCAAGTCAGACTAAATAAATATTTATACAAGAATCTGGTCGAATTCTCTAGGCTAGTGCGTTCGGTTTACCTCGGAGGTCGGAACTGGTACTGGCGTCACACCCACGTTACCCGCGTTGTTAGCGTAGTTAGCATCGACATACATACGGTAGTTAGTCAGAGAGGTCGTGATTGGTGACGCACACCTCCCAAGTAGCCATGGTTTGTAGATTCCTCAATAACAGAGTTGTAAGCTGTCCGTTCAACATGCAAACACAACTTTTAGTATGTTCGGTTTAGAATTGCTAGCACTACATGTAACCTTGATTTTAAACGCTCTAATAAGTGCTTAGTAAAATAAACACGTACGTCTATGGTTGTTGATACAGAGAGCCGCCATTTTGGATGTAGAGGTTGTTGTGAAATTCTCCCGAGTTTTCGACTCCCGGTGTCGGTACAGGATCGGCTCGGGGTCCTTCGACTGCCGATGACGTCACATTACTGTAAATTACTCGGCTTTCACACAGGGGCGCAGATAGGATTTTCAAACGGGGGGGACAAAGTTCCAATGTACCCTCCCCCCACACGCACGTACACATACACAAACTATTGCAAGCGCCTTAACTAGAGCTCAGTCAGTTTGTGTAATTTCATCCAACGTTTTACGTAAAAACTAACATTTATATACGTGTTTGAAGCCGTTATGCAGCGGAACGCTGGCAGCAAAACTCTGCCTGATGATAAATGATCCGCACTTGTGTAGCGCCTCTCAGAGTAAGGACTCCAAAGCGCTTTACACTACAGTGTGTCATTCATCCATTCACACACTGATGGTGATGAGCTACGATGTAGCCACAGCTGCCCTGGGGCGCACTGACAGAGGCGCCCCACTATTTAATTCAGTCATTTGTTATTCTCCCAATCAATTACTAACCAAAACCTCCTGCTTTATGCAAAACATTAAATGATTTTCAGCGTATCGATCTTTACAGAAAACATAAAAGCCGTAAAAAAACTGCACATGAAATATATTTAAAAAACTAAATTCACTTATCACTTAGAGCAGTGTTTCCCAAACTTTTCAGCCTGACCAACAGATGTTCCTTCGTATTTTTATGTTATTTATGAATTTTCATTGTGTGGAAAGTTTTTATTTATATATAAATATATAAATCTCCTATTATATTTTAAGTTTTTATGAAGGGATCATATTTGTAGATGAGACTTGTTAAAGTCAGCAATGAGGCTTTGGCACTTATAACGAGTAAGTCCCAACACGGACAACGACGTACTGAAACTAGAACCAACATGCATAAACAGACAGATCGGTCCCGCCTACTTACACTGATGGTCTTTTTTAAATACGCAGTAATCGTTGATGGCCTTTTTCGCTTCATCCTGCATCCTAGCAGCAACCACTTTGGCGCCTCTGGAGTCGGTGTTTGTTTACGTCATGCTGCATTCAGTGTAATTGGAAAAAGGAGCTTCAAGCGCTAAGCCTCCTATTTTGTTTTCTTTTCTGGCCTTAGTTGGGAGGGGGGACGGATCGGGGTCGATCTGAATCGGGGGGGGGGGGGGGGATGGGGGGGGGGCAGATCCTCCCCCATCTGCACGCCTGCTTTCACACACACATTTTGGAAAGACATCAGCAGTTTTGTTAATAAATTCTTGTTAACACCTGAATGTTTTCTTTATAATTGTAATTTGTTAATAAAACACCATATTATCTTTGTTTTGTAAAGAATGTGAAACTGCATAAAACCAACATCGGACTGACAAACAGAACAGTTCTTGTATGTGAAGCCTTATCTGTTAGTATTGATGTGGAGTTCGTCTGTATATTTCCTTAGTTGTTATCTAAATACATTCTTTGACTCTAAATATTGCTTGGTGTCTTTCAATAAAGTTCTTATATTCTATTTTGCCCCATTTCATCACCATCAAGAGCTTTTGAGGGTCACCGTTTATCATCTGCTTATATTTTACATTTCCTTTAGAAATTCAAACATATTTTCTCCAAAAAGTGTTGATTTTTGGACTACAGGACTACAACCGCTAAGACCACGACCGCAAATTTCTTCTGACCAATCAAAATCATAACGTGATAACGTCACTTCCGTAAGCTTCATGTTCAGCCAATCAACTACTTTGACGTCATCAGCAGTCGAAGGACCCCGAGCCGATCCTGCACCGACACCGGTGTTAAATTCAGTCGTTAGCCTGGCATGCCAGCGTAAAAAAAAATATTACCACTATTACTATTACTACTAACATTACTACTAAACGTATTAAAGCCGCAAGGCGGGAATTGGGTCTGGTTCACTGGGCTGGGGAGTTCTGAGGATAAACGCTTCTCGTCATCAGCTTTAGGGACAAATAAAAGCTTTTTGTTGAGCTTAGAGGTGAAGAGTGGACCTGTTTACGCATGACCACAACAGTGCATTTGTGTTTTGCTGTGAAAGTACAGTTTAACACTTATTACAATTAAAAAACTAGTTTGTGTGAAGAATATCATTTTTATCTTCTCGTGTGGATAAATGTAAAAAAAGTGTCTGTTGCCTTTTTGTCACCTGTGATCTCTGATTTTCTCAGTTCAGGACTGCAGGTGTCCGGGGTCAGGAGAGGCTCGCCGCTGCAGCTTTCACTGGCTGTCCTCCTGGGAGAGAGGCCTTCTACTGGCATAACGTTAATGTTATTTACTGGTTTGGTGTCTGCATGCTGCAATTGAAACAAATACTAACTGATAACTCATCTGATCATTCATTTTATTATTTACAGATGTTTTTGAACACATTACACAAACATAAAATGAAAATATGGTAAGGGGACAAGACTATTTATAATCAATGACAAGTATTAAAAGATGCAAGGATGGAACATTTATGTACACGTCATGCAGGATGTACTTTGCTAAGTGTCTTCATATGACTCGTCGTGATTTGGCGCTATAAATAAACTTAACTGATTAACCCGTGTGAATTTCCTGGATCATTTCTTTAAACCGAGTGAGCAGGTGGTTGGCGTGCTGCAGAAGGATCCCAGACGTGGATGGAGGGCTGGGCATTTCTGGTTCAAGGGTGGAACATGGTGCAGGGCGGTCTGCAGAGAACGCTTTGGGAGGCATCCTCGCACGACCACTCCATCTTCCATCTACAGGCTGGCTCGATCAACGGCTGTCACATCCCTAAAACATGTTCAGCAAAAATGAAATGAGGAGATGGTTTATGGATTCACCAGTAAAACAATTGTGACTCTTAATTAAAAGGGCAGCATGTTCTTTTCATGGATTCCTACATAAATAAGTTAACAGAAGTCGTGGGTTGGACCGCTGACTGCCTCCATACCAGCCTCTCACCTACAGCATCGCTCGCTCATCCTCCAAGGCCACAATGTCACCAGCGCTGAGGGAAATGTGCAGGATGGTGCATGCTGACATGTATTAACGGGGAGAAAATAGTTTTTATTGTTAAATTTAAAACATAACCTGCTGTAGTGTCACTTTACAGCGGAACTACTGCGTATTTAATGATGTCTCAGTGACCGGTCACTATGTGGTCAAAGTGGACCCTTTCTGAATGTTACACGGCAGAACAACAGTTATTTTCTGTTAAAAGAAAGCAGGGTATAATAAAAACTACAGATGGTTCACAGATTTAGGAAAGATCTAATGCCACTGTCAACTTAAGTCTGTTTTTAAAGCTTTTACACCCACTTTAAAACAGATTAAGGAGTTGTAAAAACCACATGAGAGCAGGTCCTGCTGTAGTTAAAATGTATATAGTTCATAATTATCCACATTTTAATACTCTAGTGGCCTTTACCCACCAACCATCCTGAAACTAACGTCAACATGGAAGTCCTGAAGGCTTGTAGACTAAACTAGATGACTTCACCCAGGTTGTTCACCAGCCTGAGGAACAAACCTGGTGAAGGTAAAGCTGCTGGGAGGGGGGGCTGCTCTATTATCGCTAGCTTTAGCTGTTAGCTGCCGCCACGGTTGCTAGGTAACGGGACCTACAGGCTGCAGTGGAGGGGGAGGCCAGACCGTCCGACCGCCGGTCTTATCGGTCGAGCAAGGACACGTACTCTCGGGCATTCAGGCTCTGGAGTCGGACACACCCAGTTCCAACAGAAATGTTCCAAACAAGGTTCCCAACAGGCTTCCGGGCCTGCTGCAGCCTGTCGCCGCCCCGCTCCGCTGCCAGGAAGTTGGGAAACTCGGTCACCGCCCTGCCCCCACCCCTCCTCCACTCCACTTTAGCCATTGTTGGGCGAGAGTCTGCCTCACCGAAACGGTTCACACCGAAACTATTCCCTCGGTACCGCTCAGAAGACTTTACACAGGCGCTTATTGTTTTGAAGCGTGGAGGTTGTTTTTTCCCCCCGAAAAGAAGCAAAGCCAGCCAAAAGTCGAGAGCTACGTCACACGGAGCCCGAGAAGAGAGGAAAACTTTTCAGGAGAGGATTCCGGACGTTCTCCATTTTGAACTTTTGCACTCCGGTTCGTCTTCAGCGGATTGTGTAAAAACCACACGATGACGAGCGTCAACACTCCCAACATCAACTTTAAATGGGACCCCAAGAGTCTGGAGATCCGGACTCTGGCAGTGGAGAAGCTCCTTCAGCCGCTTGTCGCCCAGGTCACCACTCTGGTCAACTCCAGCAACAAAGGTCCATCTAACAAGAAGAAGGGACGCTCCAAGAAGGCTCATGTTTTGGCTGCTTCAGTGGAGAAGGCCACCCAGAACTTCCTAGAAAAAGGAGAAAAGATTGCAGAAGAAAGTCAGTTCCTCAAGGAAGAGCTGACCGAGGCTGTGGAGGATGTCCGTAACCAAGGTAATTCCATGCGCCAGGCTTCTGGAGAGTTTGTTGAAGACCCCTGCTCCTCTGTGAAGAGGGGCACCATGGTCCGTGCCGCCAGGGCCCTCCTCTCAGCGGTTACACATCTGCTGGTCCTGGCAGACATGTCTGATGTCTACAAACTCCTGGTGCAGCTTAAGCTGGTTGAAGATGGCATGGCTAAAGTGTGCGGCGCTGGAACAGAGCAGGATTTGGGGATCCAGTATAAGGCTTTGATCCCAGAGGTGGACAAGCTGAACCACATGGCTGCTAAGAGGCAGCAGGAGCTAAAGGACGTCCAGCACAAGGACCAAATGGCTGCTGCACGTGGATTGCTCCAAAGGAACGTCCCCTTGCTCTACAAAGCGACCTGTGCCTGCCTGCAGCATCCTGATGTGGCGGCCTACAAGGCTAACCGTGACCTGATCTACAAGCAGCTCCAGCATGCGGTCTCAGGAATCTCCAACGCTGCCCAGGCCACGAGCACCGAAGACTCGGCGCTGAGCCAGCCGGGAGGGGCCGGAGAGCTGGCTTATGCCCTCAACAATTTTGATAAACAAATCATTGTGGACCCCTTGGCATTCAGCGAGGAGCGCTTTCGTCCTTCTCTCGAGGAGCGCCTGGAGAGCATCATCAGCGGAGCTGCACTCATGGCTGACTCTTCCTGCACACGCGATGACCGCAGGGAGCGCATTGTTGCTGAATGCAACTCAGTGCGCCAGGCTCTGCAGGACCTCCTGTCAGAGTACATGGGGAATGCGGGGAGGAAGGAGAGGAGCGACGCTCTGAACACAGCCATCGACAGGATGACGAAGAAGACCAGAGACCTCCGCAGGCAGCTCCGTAAAGCTGTCATGGACCACGTCTCGGACTCGTTCCTGGAGACAAACGTCCCCCTCCTGGTCCTGATCGAAGCCGCGAAGAATGGCAACGAAAAGGAAGTAAAGGAATACGCTCAAGTCTTTCGCGAACACGCCAACAAGCTGATCGAGGTAGCCAACCTGGCGTGCTCCATTTCCAATAATGAAGAGGGGGTTAAACTGGTGCGCATGGCAGCATCCCAGCTGGAAACCCTGTGCCCCCAGGTGATCAACGCAGCGCTGGCCCTTGCTGCCAAGCCCCACAGTAAGGTGGCCCAGGACAACATGGACGCATTCAAAGATCAGTGGGAGAAGCAGGTCCGTGTCCTCACTGATGCTGTTGATGACATAACATCAATCGATGACTTCCTTTGTGTGTCTGAGAACCACATCCTAGAGGACGTGAATAAGTGTGTCATCGCGCTTCAAGAGAAGGATGTTGACGGTCTGGATCGCACCGCCGGCGCTATTCGAGGCCGGGCCGCCAGAGTCGTTCATGTTGTCACTTCTGAGATGGACAACTATGAACCGGGGGTCTACACGGAGAAGGTTCTGGAGGCCACCAAGCTCCTGACCAACACGGTCATGCCACGGTTCACCGAACAAATCGAGTCTGCGGTTGAGGCCCTAAGCACAAACCCCTCTCAGCCTGTGGACGAGAACGAGTTCATCGATGCGTCTCGTCTGGTGTACGACGGCATTCGGGACATACGCAAGGCTATCCTCATGATCAGAACTCCAGAAGAACTGGACGATTCAGACTTTGAGACCGAAGACTTTGACACACGCAGCAAAACCAGCGTGCAGACCGAGGACGACCAGCGCATTGAGGGCCAAAGCGCACGCGCCATCATGGCTCAGCTGCCGCAGGAGCAGAAAGCAAAGATCGCTGAACAGGTGGCTAGCTTCCAGGAGGAGAAGAGCAAGCTGGACGCAGAGGTGTCCAAGTGGGATGACAGCGGCAATGACATCATCGTGTTAGCCAAGCAGATGTGCATGATCATGATGGAGATGACGGACTTCACCAGGGGAAAGGGGCCACTGAAGAACACGTCTGATGTCATCAGTGCTGCCAAAAAAATAGCCGAGACCGGATCAAGAATGGACAAACTGGGCCGCACCATTGCCGACAATTGTCCCGACTCATCCTGCAAGCAGGACCTGCTGGCCTACCTGCAGCGTATCTCCTTGTATTGCCATCAGCTCAACATCTGCAGCAAAGTCAAAGCGGAGGTCCAGAACCTGGGAGGAGAACTGGTCGTCTCTGGGCTGGACAGCGCCATGTCTCTGATTCAGGCTGCAAAGAACCTGATGAACGCCGTGGTGTCCACAGTGAAGGCATCTTACGTGGCTTCCACCAAATACCAGAAGACCAAGGCCATGGAGTCCCTCAACATGCCGGCCATCTCCTGGAAGATGAAAGCTCCCGAGAAGAAGCCTCTGGTTAAGAGAGAGAAGCAGGACGACGGGCAGACCAACAAGGTCAAGAGGTCTTCTCAGAAGAAGCACGTGAACCCTGTGCAGGCTCTGAGCGAGTTCAAAGCCATGGAGAGCATCTAGCTGGAGGAGAACGCACGTTCTTAATCCAGGAGTTTAGGATTGAGGGAGCTTTATTGGTTGGACCAGTTCTTCAGATTAGCTTTAATCTTAGCATCGACCTCGGTAGAAACGGCAGCCAGAGGGGCGAGCAGCCGAACCTTTCCGTAACGTAGACGAGAGGAAAGAGCAGATTTAACAGATTAGTAATTCCAGGAGGCTTTTGATGATTTTCATACGATTTCTCATTTAATTTTGGTCAAAATACGTTTTGAACTTTATACATGAACTATGCAAAATCTCAGCTGCCTTATTCCATGTTGTGATTGTGGACTTTCTGCTGATTTCGACACGGTTCACCAGCAGCTTACTAACGTTTTCGTGTGTGAAATCCTAACGTTCTGCTTCGGGTTCCTGTAAACACTTCCTGTTCTGGAGCACCAGCTCGTCTGTCCTGCTGACGCGAGTATAGGCTTTTGTTTTTGAGCGTCCATCAGACCGAACGCCTTCCGAATTCAGTCATTTCTCTGCTCTTAAACCAGCGTCCTGCTTTTCCTGTGCTTGAGCGCTAAATCATGATTTTATTCCAACCCGTGTCTTTATAACAGATTTTTATCTTTCTCTGTATGTTTTAGTGCAAAGTGTCACACGTGTAGTTGGTTGCTTTAAAGGTGTGCACAGCTCTACAGAAAGGAGTTGGCGTGGTGACATCTGGGGGGTGGGGGGGTGTTGGTTTTTCAGATGTAGAATCAGAAGACACAGAAAAGTTCGGAGCTTTGTGCTGTAATGTTTGGTTTTGGATCTCGGGTGAAATCTGACTTTGCTGTGTTGTTTTTTTTATTATTATTATTATTAAAGAGCTGACTGCTTAGTGTGAACAGTTATACTAATGTGCCTGATGTCTATCTTAAATAAAGTAAACCCAGTGTATTGAAGCTGAAATCAAAAGAAAAGGAATAAAAGCCTGACACCAGGAGTGCCGCTTCAGTCTGTTTCTTTTGGTTTTTGCTACGAAATCTTAATGAGTCGTAATGTTAAACCGGGCAGAAGAGTTGGGAGGATTCTCCTTAAAAAATCCAAAGTTTGTTTTACGGTGATTTCTTTCATTTGTAATCAAAAGATTAGTAGAAAATTTCAACATAAAATGACGAAGCATGGCCCTACATCAACAGCCGGGGTGTGTGTGGGGGTGGAGGGTGGGGGGGGCACGCCTGTCCCGTCAGACGTCCGATACCAAACACCAGAAAGACTTCCTTACTCATCAGTCACACTGGGATTATTTCCAACCAGACGTCTTCAAACAAAACTGAACATTTTTATATTTAATTCTAAAAGGAATTAAAACCAAACGCCGCAGGTCTGAATCTGAAGGGCCAGAACAGGCCGTAACTGTTCACCTGGTAAAGTTGGTGCTCCAGATGTTCCCCAGCGTGTGAGACTGGCTCGTCCTGCTCTCGTGAGCTGATGGGTGGTGTGATGTCAGCGCGGTGCCTGGCGCCTGCTGTCTCCCTCCGAGCGTAGGCTGATTATCCAGAGAGACGAGCAGCAGAGCAGGATGGCCTCCATGACTGGACAGCAGCGTGAGCTGATCAGAGGTAGGAGGGGTCCTCAACTTCCTCCGGGGTTTTGTTCTGCACCGGCGGCAGGGCTGGGACTCTGGCTGCAGGAGCTTTCTTCCACACACCCGGTCCTCGGCTCGAGTCTCTAAACGGTTTCTGTTCATCGTCCAGGTTTGTTTCCCACTGGTGGTTCTGTGCCTCAAAACTGGACTTTCATCATCATCATCTTTTCTCAGCAGCTTTTGGTTCACAGGAACCTTCACTGGTGTTGGCAGAGCTGTCATGTTGTAAACCTCACTGGGAGAAAACCGCATCACGTGAGGTTCAGTGAGAAACATCCACACAGACGAGCAGACTGAGGCTTAAACTTGTGTTTGCTGATGAAAACAGACGCTGTGAGCAGAACACACATCCTCAGTGATTAGGAGAACTCTGCAAACTGTCCATTTTTGTTCACTCATCCTGGTCACAGGGAAGCAGCTCCAGCAGAGAAACCCCAGCCTCTCCAGCAGCCTCCACCAGTGGGACCTCCGGGCGTTTTCTTGGCCAACATGGAGATAATCTCTCCACCGTGTCCTGGGTCGAACCAGGAGCCGCCTCCCAGCAGGACATGCCTGGAATACCTCCAGAATAACACCTGGAAGGCATACAGGAAGAATCCTGACCTCATTTCAGAGCTCTGTCAGCGGAGGAGCAGCAGCTGCACCGAGTTTCTCCTGGATGTCCGAGCTCCTCACCCGGTCTCTCAGGCTGAGCCCGGCTGCCCGACCAAGGAAACTCAGTTCAGCTGCTCATGACATGAGTTCTGGAAACAGGGTCACTGGGACTTGTTGCTAGATTTCTCATCTAATCATGATCTATTTAATGATAAAACAGAACTTTTCTAAAGCTAAATGAGTTTAAAAAAACTACAGGTTTGGACTTAAGCAGACAATGAGTCAGACTTTAGGTCTCCATGAGTGGACCTGATGTCTTTCTGCCTGCAGGTGCCGTCTCACTGACTGGACTCTACCTGGTGTACGGATATGGTGCCTCACTTCTCTGCAATCTTATCGGCTTCGCCTATCCGGCCTATTACTCGTGAGTTACTACCCTAAATTGTTGCACTCATCTGCTGATTTTTCAATTTAGTTCAGTTTATTTATAAAGCTCCAAACCACGACCAGCGTCGTCTCAAGGACCTGCACGCAGTAAACAATACAGGTCAGGTCATTAAGCCAATCAGTAACAAGTTTTCTATATAAGGAACCCAGCAGGTCGCATCGAGTCACTGACTAGTGTCAGGTCTTTACAGCAATCCTCATACTAAACAAGCATTTAGCGACAGTGGAGAGGAAAACTCCCTTTTAACAGGAAGAAACCTCCAGAGGATCCTGGCTCAGTATAAGCAGCCATCCTCCACGACTCACTGGGGATGGAGAAGACAGAGCGCACACACACACACACACACACACACACACACACACACACACACACACACACACACAACATTGTGATTCTTAGTAAATATTCTATTAGGTGAGAGATAAACTTTATTGTATTTATCCTAGTGGATCTATAATTAAACGGGTAAACTAGTAGTAGCACATCCAACGTCAAAGAGAGTAAAAAGTTGTTATCAGGAGAGGGAGAATGTTTAAGTGGTTAGCAGCAGTGTGCTAGACGATGGCCCCCTCCATGAGGCCACCACAGCTCAGCAGAACATCGTTGTAGCTTCTTCTGGGGAGAAAAACACTTAGAGAGAAAATAAAGTTAACAGCTGAAATAGCAGGAAATAATACAGTTAAAGAGCAGACTGTAGAATAAAGCAGTCGAGTGTGGAAAGTGGTCAGTGTGTCCTCCAGCAGTCTAAGCCTATAGCAGCATAACTACAGAGATAACTCTGGATAACCTAGCCCAGGAGTCAGCAACCTGCGGCTCTGCCATCCATCAGATGTGGCTCTCTGTGCTTGTAAAATAATGAATATTTAATCAAAATGTATTTTATTTAACTGAATTCATTTGTTGTCTGGATGCCAATTCTAAATGTAAAGATGGACTTCTTTTCAAATCTAAACAGAAATGATAAAAGATCTAAAAAAAAATTAAACAATGTTGTCCCTCTGCATCATAACCACTGCCACACGACTCACAGCGGTGTGCTGTGCAGTTTCTTGAAGTTTCCGTGTGTGTTTTGCACTTCTAGCACCGGTCTAAACCATAGATATGTACATAAACACACATCTATGGTGTCAGTAAACTGACCAGTGTGTCCAAAATGTTATAATTAAATAAATTCACTTAGTAGGAACATTTCACCCGTGGCCCAAACGCACTCCGTCCTTCTGCTTCGCGTAAATCTGAACAGGTTCACTAAACATGTCAGAATCAGGTTTTATTGCCATACATGTGAGAATCACAACATTAGGACACTGCTGCGGTGCAAGAAAAATAAATGATAAGCAAAATGAGATAAACACAATAAAATCATAATAATATAGGGAGAAGCAGCTAGTTTATACAAGTCAGTGTAGGTCAGAGCGGGTCAGTTCAGGTGCGAACACCACAGGGTCACGTGACACTGGTCCGATCAGGCAGGGGCCAGAGAAAATATGGACTCTTTGGCAAACTTACACACCGAAGCAACATTAATGTTAGTGACCTCCGATTGGCGTAACCGGGTGTCGTTACCGCCAGCGTGAATAACAATCTTACTGTATTTATGCTTATCCTTAGCCAGCAGGTAAGGTTTAATGGCCGCAGGTAAACATTTAACTCTGGTTGCTGGAGTCTCTAATGCCACGTTTCTGACTATGGAGCTGCCAATGATCAGAGTCGAGTTGTCAGTGGGTGCGTGACCGAGCGGGTTGGTGGTGGCCCACGGGCTGGGTTCTATGCTTCATGCGTACCGTCACCCAGCCGGCCTGCCTGAGGTCCCGGTTGCTCGGGTTCTGCTGGCGGACCACTAGGGGGTGGTTCTGAGCTAGTTAGCCCCGCGCTAGCTAAGTAGCTACGGCTATCTACGGGCTTGTCAACAGCGCGGAGTCGGGCCTCCAGTTCCGACACCCTCGACTCCAAAGCTACAAAAATGCAACATTTATTACACGTACCATGATCGCTAAAGGAGGCAGAGGAGTAACTAAACATCTGACACAGAGAGCAAGAGATAGGAGACGGAGAAGCAGACAGAAGTAGCCATAGCCGTGCTGAGGCTAAGCTAACTGGACGAGCAACCCGTTCAACACCAAATAAACTGCGTGCAAACTCAAATGGTTCCCTAAAAGTTAGGTGGAACAATAGAAAATGTTTGTTTTAGCGTGCTTATGTGCTACAATAACTCAGAAATGCCCCAGTACCGAGAAATGTAATCAATTTTAGCGTGCCCCAAACTCCGAAGCTACACGGAGCAAGACTGAAAACAGGAAGTGACGCTAAACGCCTTACCGCAGGAAGTGACACAAGCAATCATGAATTTAGGTTGACCCAAGGAGATAGGAGAGATGTGATCTCTCTTTTTAATTCTCATCAGAACTCTAGCTGCAGCATTTTGGACAAGCTGAATACTTTTAACTACATTCTGTGGACTTCCTGAGAGTAATGGATTACAGTAATCCAGTCTTGATGTAATAAATGCATGAACTAGTTTTTCAGCATCACTCCTGGAAAGGATGCTTCTAATCTTAGAAATATTCCGAAGGTGGAAGAAGGAAATCCTACAAACCTGTTTAACGTGGGATTTGAATGACATGTCCTGGTCAAAGATAACACCAAGGTTCCTTACTTTTCCAGGCTGTGTGACTCCCACTAACACCTCCTTTAAAACACTGGTTTCCTGCAGAATCAAAGCCATTGAAAGTCCGTGCAAAGAAGATGACACAAAGTGGCTGACTTACTGGGTGGTGTACGGCGTCTTCAGCCTGGGAGAGTTCTTCTCTGATATTTTCCTCTACTGGTTCCCATTTTATTACGCCTTTAAGGTGAGAACTCAAACTCTGTGTGGATGCCAAGAAAAACATTGCTGCCATTCAAATTTAAATCTTTGGCAATGTATGCTACCACATTTTAATTCCTGCCATGATTTGTGCAACCCTGCGGGCTGCATTGACCACTGGACTCATTATTCAGCCAGTAGATTGAATTCATGTTTGGTTTTGTGTCGTATGCCTCCAGTGTTTGTTCCTGCTGTGGTGCATGGCCCCAGTGTCTTGGAACGGCTCCCAGATCATTTACAACAAAGTGGTTCGTCCCGCCTTCCTTCGTCACGAGGCCGCAGTGGACAACATGGTCAGTGATCTCAGTGGGAAGGCCATGAGCGCAGCTGAGAATCTCACCAGAGAAGGTAGAGCCGGTCCGAACCGTAAACCGCCTTCACCGCTGTTAGAGGAGGTTAACGATTTCCATCTGCTCCTGCCTCCTAAGTTCTTTCAACGCTGGTGAAGAATAAAGCTCTGGTGACGCCAGCACCGCCGGTCCCTCAGCCTGAAACTAAGAGTTTACCAAGTTCTTCCATACAAGCACCAAAAGCTGCTCCGTCAGAGCTGAGAGAAAACGATAAAAGAGTAAGCAGATCCTTACACCAGTTTAGGCCAGTCTGGACCAGTTTAGGCCAGTTTAAGTGATAATGATGATAAATGACCCGCAGTTGTATAGCGGCTTTCAGAGTCAGAGGAGTCCAAACAAAGCGCTTTACACTACAGAGTATCATTCATCCATTCACACACACATTCACACACTGATGGTGATGAGCTACAACGTAGCTATGGCTGCCCTGGGGCGCGCTGACAGAGGCGAGGCTGTCATTGTGCACAGGTGCCACCGACCACCACCAGTCTAGGCACAGGGTATCCGCGGGTCCTTGAAAAGTCTTAAATTAGCTTTTCCAAATTTAAGGCCCTAAAAATCCTTAAAAATGACAAATGATCCTTAAATACAGTTTCCAAAGGTCTTAAATTACCAAAGACCCAACAAACAAGATTCTTTTATTTCTATAAAATTTTCATTTTCAGCGTTTTTTGTGTACGATGTTGGCGTAAGCGGAACCGTACACATTCAGTTGGTTGTGAAAGGGGGCTATTTTTAGATGAGCACATTAGCTAGTTAAGCTAGTGGGAGCTTGCGCCATGGGGAAGTGCAAGTTTAATGGTAACTGGATGGCTAATCCCACGTTCGCGACGTGGTTAGCACCGGTTCCAGGCAATAGCTGGAAATTATAGCTTAAATTAAATTTTTAAAAATAGCTTAAATTTGGTCAAAGTGGCCTTAAAAAAGGTCTTAAAGAGTCTTAAATTTGGCTCCCTTAAACCTGCAGATACCCTGTAGGCAAGTCTGGACCAGTCTGCACTAGTGGCCCTGAGCCAGTTATTGCTAAACGAGTCTTTACAGGGTTAATGAAAGGTTACTCAGACCCACCGCCCTCTGTAGCCAGAATAATAATAATAATCATCAAACTTATATGGCTCTTGTTTAGGACACTCAAAGACACATTCACACACTGCCAGTGATGGTAAGCTACTTTGTAGCCACAGCCACCCTGGGGCGGTTTGATAGGCGAGGTTGCCATTTGGCGCTGTCGGCCCCTCTGTCCACCACCAACACAGGCAAGTTGGGTGAAGTGTCTTGCCCAAGGACACAACAGCAGAATACCCCTGGTGGGAGCTGGAATCAAACCCATGACCCTCCGATAATGAGGCAACCCGCTGTACCACCTGAGCTACTGCTGCCCCGAGAATATCACACTTGCAACTTCAGAGTGGCGGGCCGCTGTTTAGCTGACATACCTGGCGCTGCAGGCTGCTTCCAGCAGGTTTCCTGCATGTTTTAGATCATGAACACATCTGATATGCTTGATTTAGTGACGAATCCCTCCTGTAGACGCTGATGAGGCTGGGGAGACGCTTCCCACAGATAGACGTTTTGTTTTTGGCTCTACCAAACGGACACCAGGGATGCTAAAAACAAGCCAAAACTGCCTAGTCTCCTTTTAAATAATAGACGATTGATTTAATGCAAGTTTGTAGATCGGTCAATAATTTCACATGCATTTTACATCATTTCTGCGTATAAATTAATTTTAAAAAATGGAGGAGCCGTTTGAGAGCCGGTTCCTTTTAGTGAGCCGAGTCGTAAGAACCGGTTCTCTTAGTTCCCATCGCTAATCTGCACCAGTCCTACTGTGCTGTATCTAGTAAGTGCAGCTTTAATGCAGCTGTGCTCCTGAGAGCCCACTACAAACTGATGTTTGTGTTTGTAGATTTCATTTGGGGGGTAGATTTGTGTTCAAGAGATTTGATGCATAATTATTTTATAGCTAACAGAAAGCCAGCTCTAAATCTGGGGTATTGGTAAATGTTTGTTGACATTCCAATATTTTTATCCATTGAGCTCACACTAATAAGGTCCGTTGTTAATTAAAGGGGGACTAGGAAGTTTTGCTTGCTTTTAGCACCCCCTATTGTCCGTTTGTAAAAGCAAAACCAAAACCTATCTCCTCTCTGTGTGTTTGTATTTTTAATTCCTTAATCTAACATCTGGAATGTCTCCCAGCCTTCATTAGTGTCTACAGGAGTGATTCACCACTAAATTAAACAAGTCAGCCTTGTTCATGATCTAAAACATGCAGGAAACGTGCTGAAGCCGGACAGCAGCGCCAGGTAGGTCAGCTCAGTTCTTTCCCAACAGAGCGGCCCGGGATCTGTGATGCGGCAAGTGCAATATTCTGGCCATGGGGGGCGCCACTGGCCCTGGAAGGGGTCATTTTAGCACATACTGGCTCAAGAAAATTATTTAAAAGTGTCAAAGAGTTGCAAAGTGTCCCTTTAATCAAACCGTTTTATTGCTTGTAATATTTGCTGTTTTATGTTAGAGAATTTGTTCCATTACACACAAAAAATGGGTTTATCAGAAAATGCGTTTCGAGGATGAGACAAAGTTAGAAACCCTCCCAGGTGCTAATCCTTCCTTCATGCACGCATTTGTTTACCTTATTTGTGTAACGTTACACTCTCTGTTGTCTGTTTCAGCTTTTCCTGGGTTAACTAGTTTGGTAAGTCAGCTGATTTCAGGCCTAACAGGGTATTGATGAAAGGGCTGATGTTATGCTAGAGAGAGAGGGTAGATTTCCTCCTTAAGCCTGAGTCATGCTTCTCCGTCAGCTCCAACAGGGACAGACACGCATGGACGGACGGAGACGTTTTGCTCTCATACTTCTCCGTCTCCTGGAGAGCGTTGCAAAGCAATTCCCCACCAGGACAGCAGAGGGCGCAGCGCTGTTCTGTGGTATCCTGTCATGTATCGGTCCAAGATCGTGTGTTTCTATTGTGTTTTTTGTATATAAGAGACTTTAACACAGACAGATTTGTCTCTCATCCGTCTCCACCTCTTCATGCTCTCCCCACCTCTAAACCCACGTTTCCTGTCATTTCCGTCCACAAATAAAACGCTTGCTGCGCATCTTTTCACTCCTCCAGTCACGGAGGAATTAAACGTTCATGTTTTAGAGTTTTTTCGTGAGGTATTCTTCAAGCTGCTCCGTGTCTGCCGCTAGTTATCCTCGGCTCTCTTTATGTTTTTGAGGGTGCAATGGCGGCGGTGTAGACGACAGCAGTGCCCTGACCAATCACAAGCTTGCGTTCTCCGTCTCGACGGACGGATGTTTAGAAAAGAGACTCCGTACGTCCTTGCGGGGCTCTCCAGCATGGACGGATAATGGCGTTGCGTGTCTCCGCGCTGACGCAGAAGCATGACTCAGGCTTTAGTGTTTGTCAACCATAAACCTGACCTGAACAAAAGAAAAAAAACACCCCACCTACCCTGCTGTTGTCTGGTGTACTGAAAGCCCAACTCCACCTGACTGATCCAGAACAGGTAGCTGCAACATCTCACTGTAATGTGAACATTTAAAAGTTAGGGGCCGAGAAAGGCTCCGTGAGGAACCCCCTCATTGACATAAAAACACTGGAGAGTTTTTCCTGTATGTACTCTTGGCTCAACAACTTTAAAGTTGCTATAGCAAATCTGGAACACAAATTACCGTAAAACCTTTTTTACGTGCCTCTTAACAACATTCTAACATACTTTAGCTATAAATATATTGTGAAGCGTAAAAAAAAAAAAAATATATATATATATATATATATGTATGTATATAATGTGTGTGTGTGTGCTGCGCTTTGGTCAATGAGAGTTGTCTAAATGCACAATAGAAATCGAGTGGGGTTGAGAAGTCTGGCTGCTTGGTTTGATGAAGATAATTTTATTAGTTCCAACATCAGTAATTTTTTTTAAAAACAAGACGAATGCCGTTTAATACGATAGAGCAGAAATCCTTCGTTATAAAGCTTAAATTATCATACCGTAGACCCTTTGATGTCCTGATTTATTTAGATATTTTACACATGAAAGCACAAAGTCATGAAATAAGTTCACAGCAGTTTGTTTTTGTTTTCCAGTCACTTCGATGACATCGGAGAAGTGAGAGGAGGAAGCTCAGTGAGGAGGAAGAGGGGAGGAGTTTTCTCTTCAGGCTGCAGCATTCCGACTGGAAGAACGCCTCACGCTGAAGAGACTGATTCCTGTGTGTCGTATTTCTCAGATTCTCTTTGTTTATTTGTGTTTGTGTGTTTTTAGATGCGAGACTTGATCAGCACGAGCTCAGAGTCACCTCACCGCTGATTGGTAGCTGAATGTTTCCCGTTTTCCACAACGGTCAAATTAAACTCTGTCACTGAAGTTTTCCACAAGTTCCAACTTTGTGGAAACCATGGCCATAATTTTCACTTTAGAAGTGTGTGTGTGTGTGTGTGTGTGGGGGGGGGGGGGGGGGGGGGATCTTTACAGTATGTTCTAATGGGAAACAGGCTTCAACACAAACAGTTGTTTTCCACTTGGTCCTTGAGCTCAACCAATGTCAGTTTAATATAGCGTAATATTGGGTTTGGATGGTCAAAAGTGCAGGGGTCAACACTTGACTTTGGAAATAGTCAAAATTACGCCCATGGTGGAAACACTCTAGAAAGTTCAATTTCCTCTGATGAAAAGTGAGCCGAGGCACCGAAAGCTGCTGAGATGTTTTATTTCACCTGCAGAAATCTTGTTTTCTGATAAACAAAGATTCTGGGTAATCCAACCGTCATGAGTGTTTCATTTCAACACATAAGTGGTAAATGGACTGTATTTGATATAGCGCCTTCTAGAGTCCTGGAACCCCCCAAGGCGCTTTACAACACAATCAGTCATTCACCCATTCACACACACATTCACACACTGGTGGGGATGAGCTACGATGTAGCCACAGCTGCCCTGGGGCGCACTGACAGAGTCGAGGCTGCCGAGCACTGGCGCCACCGGTCCCTCCGACCACCACCAGCAGGCAACGTGGGTTAAGTGTCTTGCTCAAGGACACAACGACAGCAACAGACTGAGCGGGGCTCGAACCTGCAACCTTCCGATTACGGGGCGAGCACTTAACTCCTGTGCCACCGTCGCCCCACACATAAATGATTTTCCCTGTAAGGGTTTCTGTCTGAAGAGGACATCGACTTATTTTACTATAATATTGTCCTCTGTGGCTGCACGGTGGTTAGAAGGTCCTGGGTTCACGCTCCGGCCTGGGGTCTTTCTGCATGCATGGCTTAAGTTATAAATGACCCGCACTTGTATAGCGCCTCTCAGAATAAGGACTCCACAGCACTTTACACTACAGTGTATCATTCATCCATTCACACACATCTGGAGTCCATTGGGCTGTATTTGTATAGCGCCTTCTGAGAGTTCTAAAAGCCCCCAAGGCGCTTCACAATCAGTCATGAGCTACGGTGTAGCCACAGCTGCCCTGGGGCACACTGACAAAGGCGAGGCTGCCGAGCACAGGCGCCACCGGTCCCTCCGACCACCACCAGCAGAATTCTCGTTCTGGAGCCGGGATCGAACCTGCAACCTTCCGATTACTGGACAACCCGCTCAACCTGTTGAGCTACTGCTACTCGGGTTCTCTCCGGGTGTCCCGGCTTCATCTCACAGTCTCTCTAAATTGTCCTTAAGTGTGTGTGTAAGTGTGTGCGTGCGCCCCAGGGCAGCTGTGGCTACATCGTAGCTCATCACCATTAGTGTGTGAATGGATGAATGATACACTGTAGTGTAAAGCGCTTTGGAGTCCTTACTCTGAAAGGCACTGTACAAGTGCAGGTCATTTATCATTTGACTGCTGGAGATAGGCAGCCGTGCCCCCGCGACCCTGCGTGGACACGCGGGTTCATATAATGGATGGATTGTATTCTGTTCAAATAGTTTGAAGTAACACTAAACAGTTTCCTGCTCCTCTGCCCTACTGCAGCAGCCTGCTGTAGCTAGCGCTAACAGCACGCTAACAATAACTTGAGCAAGCTCTGATATTAAATAAGCCACAAATTAAAAAATTTACATTGTTGGACAAATAATGTTTTTACTTAGATGTCCAGTAGCAACAAGGCCAGGTCACCATCAGTCCATGATTTCATAGCCTCCTTCAGCTACCTCAAGTAGGGCTTATGATTATGTCATCATCACTGACGCAGCCGCCATGTTGGCAGCCTCCAAGTCCTTACTTGTTGCTTCTGACAACAGCGCGCTCAGTCTCGTTCACGCTACTCCATTTAATGTATTATGACTTTTACATCTTTTGTGCGTTCTTGCTGTGTTTGTCTTCAAATTCCATTTTTGGTTATTTTTTAAACACGGATAAGGTTTTTTTTCTCCTTGCTGACGTTTCGTTTGCGGCTGCAAACTTCTCAGAGCTGACGCTGATGGTGGCGTCACTTCCTACTCCGTTTATCTGCGGGCAGCAGAGGACGTTGTCGCCCTCTGCTGCCCGCTCTCCGATGATGCAGTCCCATGCACGATCCAACACAGAACAACAGAAATACAAAAGATGGATAAAGGAAGCTATAGAGATGAGGAAACGGTGATATGGGACGATGAACAGAGACGATGGGGTCTACACATTGGATCAAGGTCCTGGTTCTGGTCTATAGGGCCTTACATGGACAAGCACCATCTTACATTGGTGATCTTCTTAGTCCCTACACCCCCAGCAGGTCCCTGAGGTCCAGTGATCAAAGCCTACTGGTTGTGCAGCACCAGGCTAAAGGTCAAAGGTGACAGATCATCTGCTGCTGTGGCCCCCAGACTCTGGACCTCTCTCCCCCTGAGCCTGAGATCAGTGGACTCAGTGGTCTCCTTTAAAAAGCAGCTGAAGACTCACTTGTCCAAGCTGGCTTTTGTATGACCTTCTTCACCTCTCTCTCTTTATTCTGCTCTCCCCACCTATTCCACCTTCCTCAGGATCCACTGGTTTCCCTCTTTCCTGTTCACTCTCTCTCTTTCTTAACATTTTTTAATCACAGTTGTCTGTTTTTGCTCATTTTAAATGTATTTTAAACATTTTCTAAATGCTTTTTCATATTTTTACTTTTTTTTTGTTTTCGTGAAGCGCCTCGTGATTTTTATCTTGAGAGGCGCTATAGAAATGATATTTTCTTCTTCTTCAATCCAAAGACGTGTTTATCTGGTGTAATCTCAGCTCCTCCAGCAGAGGGTGCTGCTGTTTTCAACTAAAATCCACAGAAAATAAACCAAAACTTTCTCTCACATGTTCCTTTGTCGCTATTAGCATGCATTTATTTAAGCTTGGCTCTCTCGTTCTCTTCCACCTTAGGGGGTGTCACCCACCTTGACCTTGAGGCTTCCAGTCCATACTCTGCACAGATGTTCCTTGGTTGTGGCATTCCATGGAAGCTTTCCCTGCCAGCATCTCACACCCTGCAGTTATGTGGCGGACTGTCTCAGGGGCCTCTTTGCATAACCTACACCTTGGGTCTTGTCTGGTGTGGTAGATCTTGGCCTCTGTTGCTCTGTTCAGGGCCTGCTCCTGTGCAGCCAGTTATCTGTCGGTGGTACATCCCATGTAGGGGTTATTCCTCCCATGATGGTATCTCCAGCATCTCCTCCTCTGTTCACCATTGTCTGAGACATTCACTGAGCACGTCATCTGTGGGAACCTTATCCTTGATGTACTTATGGATCTTGGATGTTTCGTCCTGGACAGTGGTTCTCACACTCACTAGTCCTCAGCCACCTTCCTAACGGCAATTGTACAGTATCAGGGTGCTGGGTTTGGGATGGATCCCTCCATGCATGGCTAGGAGCTACTGTGTCTTAACATCTGCGGTCTGCATTTCTTCCTTTGGTCAGCTGGGTTTTTGGCTGTGGCTCCTTTCCTTCCAGCTTCATCGAGGTTGCCATTTGCTTGTGGGATACTGAGGTACTTGTAGCTGTCCTCAACGTCTGCTATTGTTCCTTCTTGGAGGGAGACCTCTTCTGAGTGGACCACCTTACCTTTCGTCACCGTCCGACCACACTTCTCAAGTCTGAATGACATTCCGATATCAGTGCTGTAGATCTTCTTGGTATGTGTGTGTGTGTGTGTGTGTGTGTGTGTGTGTGTGTGTGTACGTATGTATGTATATATGCATACATGTATGTACATGTATATACATACGTACATACACGTATGCATATATATGTATACCCCCATCCTTTACACGTACATATGCATACGTGTATGTACGCATGTATATATGTAAGTATGTATGTACATATGTATATGTATATATGTATATATATATATATATATATTTATATATGCATGTACGTACATATGTATAAATGTACGCATGTATATATGTAAGTATGTATGTACGTACATACGTACCTATATATATAAAAATACATGCATACTTACATATATACTGTACATACATGCATATATATATATATATATATATACACATATACATATGTATATATATATACATAAGTATGTATGTATGTATGTATATATGTACGCATGTATGTATACATGCATACATATATACATACATATATATGCATACATGTATGTACAGTATATATGTATGTATATATATATATGTATGTATGCATACATATACATACATACATACATATATACTGTATGTATGTATGCATACATATACATACATATATACTGTATGTATGTATGTATATGTATGCATACATATACATACATACATACATATATACTGTATGTATGTATGCATACATATACATACATACATACATATATACTGTATATATGTATGTATGTATGTATGCATACATATACATACATACATACATACATATATACTGTATGTATGTATGTATGCATGTATGTATATAGCTAGCTTCAGCAAGCATAACATAAAGAAATAAAGAATATAATTTTCCCGTTTTTAGTGACATCTTTAGTTGTTTCAATTTCATGTAAAGACTATAAATGAGACCAAACGTTAAAACCAGTCTGCCAGGCAGCATTAACTGGGAATTAAACATCACATAATAAAATAACTTTTCTCCAACTGAATTTATGAGTAGCATAAAATAAAGCCAGATAAATGATCACAGTAAAGTTTTATTCTAAAATGAGTAAAAACCAACATTTCTTTGGTGTGAATTCCTCTCAAACAGAAACAAAGCCGAGTTTCATCCGTGCATTTCGGAACCTGCAAAACCTGCTTTTGTTTAGTGAATCTAAACTTTAGGTAAGAAAATCAGATCATTTAAAAACAAATGTATTTTGGGGATGCACCAAAATAAAAAGTCTTGACTGGAACCAAATATGAGGAAACCAAGGCCAAAAACTCTAAGAAATTACGTCAATAACTGAAAGCAAAGCTTTAGCAGGACTGTAATGGGCCATTCCCATCTGTACCGGGTCGGCCCGGGCCGGGTAGCCCCAGTCGGCCCCAGCCTGGCCCGGTTGATTCCACACATCCTTGCCTTAAGCCCATGTGGGCTAATTCTACCCACCAATCAGAGGCTTGCTCTAATGGAAGGTGTGAATTTGCTGTCAGCAGTGGGTGTGTTGGGCCTGGTCGGCCTGAAGCAGACCCCCTCGAGAAGAGGCCTGAGAATGAGCCTTGGTTGGCCCGGAAAAATACCAGGCCACCCAGATATGTAAACAACCTACGCTACCCGGCCCGGGCCGACCCGGTACAGATGGGAATGGGGCTATAAATTAACCATTTAAGCGTTGACGTCACAACATTGTGTTTAAGAAGCCACAGCTGCAAATATAACCCCTCATGAAGTTACTATGTTACTCCGGAAGATAGGGGAGACATGCAACTTGCATCTGAGCAACATTTTGGGTGTTTCTATTGAAATGTTCTGAGTTTATAGACTTTGAAGACTTCTCCATATCCAGAGGCTCCCGAGTCCGACTGAGGAGCGGAGGCCAGTGGAGCCCACAGCAGGTGAATACTATTACATGTTAGAGAGAAACTTACAACGCTGACACGTCTGTTCACTGCTGGCACATCTCTGTCTGGTAATGGCTGACTCTGATTCTGAAGAGTAATATTCACCCTCTGATGAAGATATTCACTCGTTCAGCGAGGAAGAAAGAGAGGCTGCAGCAGCAACAGTCTGCCGAAAACCAAAAATGCACTCTTGGGTCGTTTTTGGCCACATTTCCGGTGCATCCCTGGTTTATTTCATGGATTATAGAAAATAGAGCCTAGATGTCTGGTTAAAGCTCCTCCTTCTTCTTTAAAATGATCTGCCGCACCATCTCTGCTACTTTGGGTCGGATCTCTTTGACAGAGACCTTTGGACCCCACGCATCCACCACTCTCCCCTTCACGTCCACCAGATACTTCCAGAAGTTCCAGTCCGGCTCTTTTCCAGATGTTTCTGCTCCAAACAAAACACATCATGCTACTCTTTAGTTCACGTTCTCCAGTCGGATATTTTTAAACTTCATTTAATTCCTTAGAGAAGGACTTTCGTTTGTAAATAACCTCATCGTTCAGATTTCTCAAACTGTTTATTCCACTTGAAGCTGGATTAAATTACAGCATATTAAATATGGGATTAAAACAACTAAACTTAATGTATTATAAAACTAAACAATGGCTAAAACCATTCATATTTATTTATTTAAGATTAAAATGAAGGGAATTCCTGCTTTTCTTTGTGACAGAAGAGAAAGTGGAAGACCTTTAGGAACAGAGGAAACAGGCGGGACCCGTGACCCGAATGACGGCTAGCTGATCTGGTGTCCCTTACCGACGAGGTACTTGTAGACGTTGTTGGCTCCGGTTCCGACCACAGCGATTTTGCTGAACAGAGGGAAGGAGACGGCGTAGACCCGCCGGACGAAGCTGTCGATCTCCTTGTCGCTGCCAGGCTCCTGCTGCCCAAACTGGTTGCAGGGGAAGGCGAGAACGTTGAAGTGGTACGGGCCGAAGTCCCGCTGCAGCTGCTGCAGGTCTCTGTAGTGCTCTTCAGTAAAACCGCATTCACTGGCCACGTTTACCACCAGGGACACCTGGAACCACACAGCCATGACAGGTGTTGGAGGCACTAGTTCCACCTGGTAGACATGTGTAAATAAACTCCTGTAGTTTTTGCACATGGCGTCATGTCGCTCGCCGCGCCGCCCCCTTCGCCATGACGGATGGCAGGAAAACTGTTTATGCACATTGAAACTTCTTTGAAGTTAGTCAAAACAAGCCAGTTTTCTAGCCTTAAAGCACATTTATGTTGCTGATTTCACAGTAAAATGGTAATAGTTTGATGCGTGGTTGGCTGCACTAACAGACTAAACTAGGGCTGCACGATGTTAGGAAAACCTGCGATAACAGTGATTAATGCTGCGATGTCGATATTACTGGATAAATCAAAACTTAACTCAGGAACAAAAACAATCAAAAACAAAGAAATTAAAAAATAACAAAAATAATTCATAAAAATGATAAAAGCAAAAGATGCGAGGAAAGGGAAAAAGAAAAGGTGATCAGTGGATCCCGGGAAAGCAGAATCAGCAGACCTGAGCTAACTCAGGTGTTTGCTAACCATCAAGAGTAGCTCGTTCACTGACAATGACGACTAAAGTCGTCGTTTGCATTTTTTTTTTTACTCTGTGGGCGTCGGACGATCCCCCGCACCGTGAGAACAAACACCCCAGCTCTAAAGCCGATCTTCATCCGCGTACGTCACACGTCACGTGATCAGGAAGCAGAACATCCATGTGTTAGGAGATCGTTTTGGGCGCTGCTGTAAAAAAAGTGAGGCGCGAACTAGGGCTGGGCGATATGGCCTCAAATCTATATTGCGATATAATCTGAAGCATGTGCGGTAACGATATATATTGCGATATATTTTTTCCTCTGTTTATAAATGTCAAAGTGACATGCTTTGAAATATCCTCATGTGGCATATATTTGCCACATGAGGCATATAGGCCTCCTCCTCCGCCCACTCCATGCTTGCAGTCACTGCCGTTCTGTTGTCCCATTGTCAGCAGGGTGCACATCTTAGTGACCTCATGTGTTATCGCGATATCGCGGTATTGCGATATAGCCAAAAACTCTATCATTACCCAATTTTATATCGTTTCTACCTTATATTGTTTATATTGTCCACCCCTAGCGCGAACCGGAAAAGCTTCTGCCGATCACAATTCAACAACGGATTATGAAAGAACGGATAACGCTCGAAACACGCGGATTCTTCCTGATGTAAGAGGTGAGTCTCCGCTTTGTTTGGGTAGTTTTAGCGTCGACATCATCCTAGCGCACAATGTTCAGTCACTCTTAAAAAAAACAGTAAAAACGGTGAGAAACGCTGGCAGTGAATGAGTTAAGTGCCGTTCGCCTCATGGGCGGGCATCTAACCTATGAGAACCCACCTGATTGGCCAAATGGGTGAAGAGCTCTATTTGATTAGTTAAAAAACATCATGCTTCCGTTTGATTGACAGAATGTATTATGTGTAGCAAACATTTGAGCTGACCATTCATTGCGGTATTTATCAGTTCTTTGCGATATGCAGATTGCGCACACTGATATCGTGATAACGATGTGTTTGCGATATATCGTGCAGCCCTAGTGTAAACGCAACTTGTCTTTTTTTAGTAACTTTGGTGGAGACAGAAAACGGGAAAAGAATTAAACAGAGGAGGAGTCTGGCAGGCAAGGATTAACATTCGTGTGAGATGGGACGCGACTGTGATGGAGCTGAGAGGATAAATGTGACGTGTGTGTACTACTCATTTAGTATTGATAATCCTGTATTCCACAATGGACGACGTGTATTTCTGTCCACTGTAGGCAGCCAGAGTCATACCCATCTACTTCTGGACCACGGGTTACCAACTGTCTAAACTATAAACGCGAGTCTCAGAGGAGAGAAAAGTTATTTTCTGATCCCGTGTGATATGCGCCATTTTATTTTTAAATCACATTTTGATGCCAAGAAAGCAATTCTTTTCAACAGGGGGCAACGGTTATTTTAGGTTTTAGGTTTCGGACTGCAAATGTTCATCTCACCAAATAGAGGCCATCAAATCGGACACGGAGAAGACAAGAAAACCGGTAGAAAGAGAAATGGCTGTGAGTTAAGCGAGCTTCGAATTCCTCCAGGAGTGTTAAACGTTACGAAAACCCCGATAAATCTAACCACGCGATAAGTAGCGGCTACACGGAGGCAATAGAGATTCTGTGGTCACGACTTCTGATTTGTAGTCGTTTTATTTACTCATTTTTACAAACTAAAACAATCTCATGACATAGTCGAAACACACAAAATGATTATTTATTTAAATTGAAGTACAACATATGTGGGATTCAGGGCATAAAGCAACGCGGACCAGAAAATAACTTTCATAGCCTCGTTATCATAGCCTGTGATCCGACTGTAGGGGGCAAACTTAGGCTTCTTATGTCAAATGCAAGATAGTAATAATACTGCTTACATGTAGGATTACGTGTGTGTACAACATGCATTTAGCATGAAGAGCTTCGCCAGCTGGTCCCGGTGACCCTGTCAGTGGCAAAAACTGGTAGTGGTTCAGACTTTATAATCAGTTCTGGTGTTAAGTGAAACACTGTTTATAACAATGTTATAAATCCATCCATCCATTCTCGGCCACTTATCCAGTGCCGGGTCGCGGGGGCAACAGCCTAAGCAGCGAGGACCAGACTTCCCTCTCCCCAGCCACTTGGGCCAGCTCCTCCGGGGGAATCCCAGGGCGTTCCCAGGCCATCCGAGAGACATAGTCCCTCCAGCGTGTCCTGGGTCTTCTTTTAGGTCTACTTCCAGTTGGACATACCCAGAAAACCTCACCAGGGTGGTATCTAGGAGGCACCCTGACCACATGCCCGAGCCACCTTCACTGGTTCCTCTTGACGTGAAGGAGCAGCGGGTCTACTCCAAGCCCCTCCCAGATAAACGAGATTCTCACCCTATCTCTAAGGGAGACCCCAGCCACCCTCTGGAGAAAACTCATTTTGGCTGCTTGTATCTGCAACCTTGTTCTTTTGGTCACTACCGAAAGCTCGTGTCCATAAGCGAGGGTAGGAACTTAGATCAACTGGTAAATGGAGAGCTTCGCCTTCCGTCACAAACAGCACTCTCTTCACCACGACAGATCGATACAACCTCCGCTGGACTCACTGTAGACGCAGCACCAATCCGCATACCCATCTCACTCGTGAACAAGACCCCGAGATAAACTCTTTCCCTTGAGGCAGGACCTCCTCCGTTCTCTACTTTCACCCTCTGTTCAATAACCCTGTGATTCACTGTTGCCATACCGCGGACGCGGACCCATGTGATCAGGTGACATACCAGGTAGGTGCAAACGGTCAATAAAAGCAGAACCTGTAAAGTCCTGCTGTAATATCAGCTCCAAAAAACAATTAAAACTTTAATTCATCAAGATCATTTTTCAAGTAAGCAAAAAAACAGTTGGAATTTTTTGCATTTCTATTGAGGTCGGACATACGAAGCTCCCAGTCCATGCTAACACCACCGCATGCTTTAGTTCGACAAACAAAGGGCAGCACAGTTACATTGTTTATTTATGGTCTTGAAATAAAGCCCTACGTGAGGGACACTGACTGAACGAATAACCAGGGTCTTTGGGATTTTCAGTAGCTGTTCGTTATACATTTGAAATATACAAGTTTCAGCTTTTGAATGGAATTACTGAAATAAATCAACTTTGTCACAGTATTCTGATTTTGTGGCCGGATGTTACTCTAAATATTTACACTGTTGACCAAATAAAATAGTGTATTTTAAGATATTGTGTCTAAATGTGGATAACTAATATTCAGCTTTACCTTTAGTATTTATTTTTATATCTGCTGGCAGAAAAATGGGATTTCGCTGTACACATGGTGCCTCATATGTTGATCAAGAAGTTTGTTTTTCTTCTCCTGACTTTTTGCGTTCAGATTGAAACCTGAATCTGAAACGTGATCCATCAGCGGTGCGAGTACCGGTCGCTACCTGGTAACGGAGCGCGTGCAGCAGCTGCAGGCCTGCTGCCACGTAGGCTGCGGCCGGGGCGCCGGGTCCCCCCAGGAGGCTCGCGTCACACACACACACACACACACACACACACACACACACACACACACACACACACACACACACACACACACACACACACGCACACGCACACGCACACGCACGCACACACACAGTTAGTTACATCTGCAGACAGCATGGTTAGTGGGAGATACGTTCTCATCATGCAACATCCAGGATGAGCGCTTCTGAGCCGGACTCACCGAACCTCGGTACTTCTCCAGAGACACGAGCTTGCCTCTGCTGTTCACCACTTTAAAACTATAAAAGTCTTTCTGTTTGCTTTCTGTGAGGCTGACGACTGTCAGCAACACCGAGAGGAGCGCGTGAAGCATCTTCCGCAGCAAAAAGCGCCAACTCAACAGGAGTCGCCCAGGAGGTCAAGTGGCGCAGCTGGAGCGGCACTTCCGGCTGCGGCCGGGGCTTACAAAGTAAAAGCTTTCAAAGGGGAACCGAGCGCACGGTTAAATAAAAGCATGCCATGATCATTGATTGTTACTTCTGCTTGTGTGTAGCATGACTTGGTGAGGATTATTTTGCACGTTCAGACTTTTGATGAATGAGTCAAATACTTCTGCCTTTTTATTCTTGTAGCTAGCACCTCTGGATCTGCCTGGTAGTAAATTCTGTGGTCCGAGCCTTTTCATCAATGCAGAGGATTGATAAGCTAACCGTTAGGGATGAGCCGGATACTTGTTTCAGACGAGTACCCGATACGGATAAAGCATTTTTGACGAATACGAGCATGAAACGAGTAAAACTCGTAAATATCTGTAATCGTGCTGAAGGAAAATCCTCATTGGGTAACTGACTGTCTTCACGCTCTGTGACTGGCCAGTCACATAGAGCGCCCGCCCCTTCCTACACACAAAACTCTGCAGCTGGGAGCTCAGTCTGGCCGGTCCACACACACACACACACACACACACACACACACACACTAATATATATATTTATATTTATTATGTGTGTATATATATATATATATATATATATATATATATATATATATATATACACACACATATACATGTATATAAATGCATATGTGTATACACACACACACACACATATATATATACATACATATATATATATACACACACATTTATATATGTATATGTATGTGTGTGTATATATACATATACATACATACATACATATGTATATACATATATATGTATATGTGTGTATACATTCAACTGTGACAACATATTAAGTTTTCAGGATGCACATGCATAAGTAACATGGTAATAGTACGAGTGTATCTTATAGCCGTCGCGTTGCTGATATTTGAAGCTGTTTCCTCATCATTATCAGCGAGTTTACAACAATGCGCGCTCCCGCGGCAGGGGATGCAATTCTCGGCAGGCTGGCTGTTCTCGGCTATATCACCAGCATGCACTGGGGTGGGCGTGTGTGTTTTTACCAGAGCAGGAGAAGCAGCAGGAAACAATGGAAAACAGGATCTGTGTTTTATTGCTTGCCGACCTGGAAAATAAACCTTGAAGAAAACGCAGCTTTCAAGTTTGGACATTGAGCGAACGAAACGTTGCCACAGCGCAGCAGTGGCTTTTAAAGCAGGAAAATATGAAGTGAGTTGACAAACAAAGGAGCCACCACTACAGGATGAGATGTGAAACGTCTTCAAGAAACCAGAAGTCCAGTGGCCTTCATTTGAACCCTTTTGGATTTCTGCAGCTGACAAAAACAACGTAAAGTTTCTGACTTGTTATGGTCATGCATCAAAAACTCCTCCTGCCTACGTCACGGACACTCCCACAATGCAGCGGGGCTGCTGTTTTGGCCAGGGCCGTGGGATCTAAGATAACATGTAAAGCGGAACTATGGAAGCAACCAAACATTAATCCTGAGTGCACAAGTAAGTCCTGAGTTCGGCTCTGCTGTAAACGTCGCGTGTCTTTGTTTTAATGAGTCGGTGTTATGTAGTATTTGGTTGTCAGTTTGTTTACGACCGGGCTCAGGCTTCTGGTTAGCTCTCGGCTAACAGCTAACACAGCTACGCTAGCAAAAGTAAATCCTTCCAGCTGCACAGGAAACCCGCAGGGGTTTATTAAAGGTGAGTGTTTGCCTCTGGGCTCAGAAACTAGTCCTAAATCACAGCGAGTCACGTCTGCGACCGAGTTAAAGCGGGTTGGGATCACCTCCACTCATCCCTCTGGTTCTAGGGTTATTAGCGTTATAGCAGCACTTTAGTTTCCTCCGTTTTAAGGACATTTTAAGAGAAAGTTACGCTCCTAATATTTGTTGTCTCATTCAACCACACAGCTTTCCTCAGAGGAGAGATCCGTTTTATCTCAGAGCCCTGTTAGAATTCCCAGACCTTCTTTTTCTTCCCTGGAAAGTTTAGTTTTTGCACCTAATTAGTGATGAAATCATCACAGAGATTCAGACGAACACTGGAAACATTCTGATCTACGTTTACAGACAGCCTCGCCACGAACACTTGTATTATTTCCTGATGAAAACAAGGAATTTCCTGCAGCAGGTCACTGTTTACGGTGGGAACTGGAAGCCCGTGACGTCACCACGAGGGAAACGCGTAATTCAATTCAGTTCAAGTTTATTTATAAAGCACCAAGTCAGGACCAGAGTCGTCTCAAGGACCTTCACACAGTAAACAGTCCAGGTCAGGTCATTAAGCCAATCAGTAAAAAGTTTCCTGTGTAAGGAACCCAGCAGGTCGCCTCGAGTCACTGACTAGTGTCAGAGTCTGTACAGCAATCCTCATACTAATGTGGCAAGTAAGAAATAGCGGTATAAATAAATTAAGGATAAAAATATTGTAACAACACCACCCTGGGTTAACCCCCCTAGGTAGAAGGCCCGTAGGTTAAAAAAATCACAATGGGAACAGATGGTTTCTTTCAGATAAACAAATCTTTATTAAAAAATCTAGCTAAAAACCATACAGGTGGAGTTTACGGGCTTGGAGTTCAATTATCCCCAGTTAGTCCACAGGAAGTAACCACAATGCCGCACAAGCAACACAGGAGGGAGAGTACTTACAATCGCTGCTTGTAGTTAGAGTCTCAACACACACACTAGCACCTGAAGTGTCACACAAGAGCTGTCCTGCTGGAGGAGCAGACAGCTGCCTTTTATTGGTTGGCTCGCCCCGCCCCGCTCTCCGTCTAATGCGAGGCACCTGCCTCTTTACTGAGATGGGACCAGACCGGATCTGTCTGTCCCATCACACTGAGCAAGCATGCAGCGACAGTGGGGAGGAAAACTCCCTTTTAACTCATTCGCTGCCAGCGTTTCTCACCGTTTTTACTGTTTTTTTAAGAGTGACAGAACGTTGCGCGCCTGGATGATGTCGACGCCAAAACAACAGAACAAAGCGGGGACTCACCTCTCACATCAGGAAGAATCTGCACGTTTCGAGCGTTATCCGTTCTTTCATAATCCGTTGTTGAATTGTGATCGGCAGAAGCTTCTCCGGTTCACGCCTCACTTTTTTTACAGCAGCGGCCCAAAACGATCTCCTAACACATGGATGTTCTGCTTCCTGATCACGTGACATGTGACGTTCGCAGATGAAGTTCGGCTTTCTAGCTGACATGTTTGTTCCCACGGTGCGGGGGCTCGTCCGACGCCCACACAGTAAAAAAAAAAAATGCAAACGACGACTTTAGTCGTCATTGGTAGTGAACGAGTTAACAGGAAGAACCCTCCAGAGGATCCTGGCTCAGTATAAGCAGCCATCCACCACGACTCACTGGGGATGGAGAAGACGGAACACACACACACACACACACACACACACACGCGCGCGCGTAATGTGTCTATGGTTACATTGTGATTTCTTAGTAAATATTCTATTTGGTGAGAGATAAACTTTATAGTATTTACGCTAGTGAATCTATAATTAAACGGGTAAACTAGTGAGCATCCAGAAACGGGCTGAGGGATCATCTCTGGAGCAGCAATGGCCTCTGGGCATCAGTGCTATGGATGCACTTTAACATAAAACTTGACCAAAGTGCTTCAGCGCACAAGTGTAAGATGTTCAATTAAAGGAGAAAACACAAAGTTACATTGTGAGACTGGATTAAATCCACTGGATTAAAAACCATTCAATGAAAGTCAGTTTTCAGCACGAGCAGCATGCTGTTGCAGAGCTACTTGTTACTGTTTTGGCTTAAGCTCAGTTTGCGTTCATCAGGTAGAAAATACCACTCATGGATGCTCATTTGATCCCGTTTGTGTTCAGCGCTGCAGACTTTTTATTCTTTAAACCTGTGAATCAACCCAAAACGAGCCTCAGGTAAACAAGTGTGTGTTTTCTAGCCTGTAGGTGGCCTGTCTCCCTGGTCATCTTCTCTGTGCTGTTGGGGACAGGGAGAGGGACAAGAGCAGCTGGACAGGAGGGATGGACGAGTCCAAAAGTGCGGTAAAATCAGTCAAACTATCTCAGCCGAGAGGAGCCAAGGCTCCGTCCAGCCAGAAGTCAAACAAAGAGGCTTCTGTTCAGCGAGAGGGGGTCAAGTCTGCACTTCGCAGCAAAGAAAACCTCACTGCTGCAAAGGATGAGCGTAGCGTAGGTCAGGCGGGCCGCACGCCAGGCAACACTCTCCCTGACAGTCCTGTGGACAAGAAGAGAGGACGTCCCTCCAGACTGGCTCGACTCTCTGGGAGAACAAGTTCTAGTGAGAGCGGCAAAGGCAAAGACTCCCATCAGCAGCTTGTGGCTCCTGAATCCCAAAGTCCTCTTTCTGTAGACAACAGCAGCTCATCGGCAAACCGAGGAACCACCTCATCTCCCATACCGTTTGCTCCTGAGAGGGGCCGCCAAGAGCAGGACCAGACCTCCGCTGGAGCCGCGGGAAAGGAAAAATCCCATGGTGGGTTACAAGCCTTTCCCACTAGACGGTTAGAACAAATGCCATCTCAAACCAATCGCTTATTTTTGTTTGCAGTCATTAAAGCTGCAGCTCTGATGCCTCAGTCTGCTAGAGAGGATGCAGAGGTGAGGCCCGCCCTGGACGAAAAGCTCACAGAGCAGCAGCTGGGCCTCCGACAGGTGGAGGAGCGCCTCCACCGAGACCACATCCACCGGCTGGTAAAGGTAAAGAAACGCTCCACACCGCTGCTTTCACACTGTCCTGACATCACGTAGTGTAGGTGTCCCTGGAGCGATGGCAGCTTAAGCTTGGTTTATGCTTGACACATTTACTTTCCCCGCGGTGATGCGGCTCGCGGATGGAACGCGCTTCACAACTCGCAGCGTTTATGGTTCATGCGGCTCGTCTCTGCGGCGAGCCAATATTCTCCCAAACTGTAGGGGGCAGCATGGAGCTCTACGGCATGCACCCATCACTACACCATAGTAGAAGTAGAAATGACTGTTTACAACATGGCATTCCAGCATTTTTAACAGCGTCCTCGTCTTTTCCGACAGTGCGAGCTATTTCTCTCCAAGAATTATTAACAACATGTTGATCACGGTGATCTCTGAGAGCTGAATCATACAAATGTCTGTATTTACCAACCTCTGCCATGCTAGTTCTTGCTAGTCCGCCATGTTTTTCCACGTCCGACCGTCCGCGTGGTTAGAAAATTTTCTAGGTGCGCGGTGCGGAATGTTTGGGACGTGCGGAGGCGCGGTGGAGGGGCGTGGTTGTTAAAACGACGCAACTTTGCCGCACGGAGCCGTGCGAACCTCGCGGACGCGTCAAGCGTACACCAGGCTTTAGTCACATCTTTGATTCCCGCCCCAAACGCAGAAACAACAAAATCTAAATGAATTTCCTCTTTACGTGCCTTTCCTTCTGAGCGTTCACCGATTTCCTGTTTCGACCTCCGGGCTCCCGTAGCAGCTCTTCTCTGCTTTTATAACAGAACTTTATGTTGCATTTCCTTTACGTGACTGACTGAAGCAGAAGTTGAATTATTTAGGGTTTTTTGTCTGAATGTTACGGAAACCTTTCTTCATTACATTCAAGCGTATTAAAATAATGACCTAGTCAGTTTGGATCACACATAAACAACAACCCGCTACCACCTGCTGGTGTAAATGTGAGAAAGTTGGACATGGAGCTTGTAATTGTCACGAGTTGGGCAGGAGGACGTTTAGGACCCAAGATGCAGACAACCAGATGAACGAGGCAGGAGGTGGATGATGAAAATTAAATCCTTTATTTAGGAGTAATCCAAGGAGGAAGGGAGCCAAAAACCAGAAATCCAAATATCTAAACCGAGAAATGCAAAAACACTAGAGACCTAGAGATCTAGAGACACTGGAAACACTAGAGAGCAAACGAGACGAGTCTGACAAGAACAATGAACCGACAAAAGTGAGACACAGACAGGGTTTTATACTCTGGGAGGATGAGAGGGAGATGAACTGCAGGTGTGTGGGGAGAGAGAGACCAGGTGAACTTAATTACTAATCAGGGAGGAAACTAACATGACCTACGAATAAAACCTAAAGACAAAAAGAGCAGCAAACATAACTAATATTCTGGGGGGGGGGGGGGGGGGGGGGCTGAAAAGGAAAACACTATAGAAATAAAAACTACAGGGGCGTGACTACAGGGGACCACGGGAGCACTGGACCTGGTAGGGGGATACCTGAGGAGGGAACCCTAGAGGGCTGAAGATCTGGGGACAAATGGGGAACACAAGGAGACACATGAGGGCGCTAGAAGACATAAGAGGAGAACCTAGAGAGGGATGGAGAACACAAGGAGACACATGAGGGGAGACGCAGACCATGACACATGAGGGCGCTAGAAGACATAAGAGGAGAACCTAGAGAGGGATGGGGAACACCAGGAGACACATGAGGGTGCTAGAAGACATGAAAGGAGAACTTAGAGAGGGATGGAGAACACAAGGAGACACATGAGGGGAGACGCAGACCATGACAGTGATAATAATACGTTTTATTTAAAAGCACCTTTCTTGACACCCCGGGACACTTTACAGCAACGGGAAAAAACATAAAACAAGATCAACACATTACAGAAATATACAAAAACACTGAGATGTAAAAATACAAACAATGAAATATGAACTAGGTGGTAAAGCTGGTCTGAAGAGAAGGGTTGCAACGATTATACGTTTTAGTGGTGCGATTATAGTCTGAGAAATAATCACGGTTTCACCATTACCACCATTATTTCACATGAGTTGATTTCACATCTGTTAACACGTAACTGGGGGGCGGGGCATGACGCTTAGCCTGGCGGGCTGCCGGGTGTATGAAGCGCTGGGGGAAACCCTGTCCACGTGACTAGAGAGCAAATAAAAACAACCGAATCGCCAAAACAACCACAGAGCCTGGAATAAATCAAACAGCCAGGGTTAAAACAGGACACCAAGCAGACTAAAACATGGTTAAAACAAAATAAAATGCTATTTAAATAAGAAAAACAATCCAAATCCTGTTGTATGTCAACATCTGAGATGGGGTCAACAGCCAGAGAGAAGAGGTGGAACTTAAGTAGTGATTTAAAATCAGACGGGGAAGAGGCCTGTCGCTTTTTCCACAGTCTAGGAGCTGCTGCAGCAGAAGCATGATCTCCTCTAAGCTCACGCTTGGTCTCTGGGACAGTCAGGAGCAGCTGATCAGCTGACCTGAGGGAACGGGAGGGTGTGTTTGTGTGCAGCAGCTCACACGGGTTAGGTCATTAAGAGAAGGGTCAAGCAGCCAGTGAACAGGCCAGAACAGGGGGGATGTGCTCAAACTTCCTCGTTTCTGTCAGTGGGTCCCAAATCCCTTCGGGAGGCGGTGTCTGCTCAGGAGCCAATCAGATCCGAGCGCTCACGGAGGACACGTTCCCTCCAAAGAGCACGCTCCACCACGTCCTCCAATAACATCACAGCAGCCGCGCTACAACGCCAGGTTCCCGTGGGCCGCGGGCGTGTTCTAACAGCAGTTGTGTGTTAGAGCTGTTTCTCCAAAGACATCGTTCCTGATTGGGTACATAGTGGATGAGGAGACCTTCAGGGTTGCGGTTCCCCACTAGATGCTGTTCGTACGCATGGTCAGAGCTGCTCTGATATCTAGGAACAGCAACACGATGTGTAGAATCGTTCCTACGCACAGATGTGTACGGTTGGTGGACGAGGGCCGGGTGTCCACCCTAACCCACACGTCTCCTCTCTGTGTTTCCACAGCAGTCTCCTGAGTACCCAAACTACCTTTACTTTTGCAAGCTCTGCTCCGTGCACATCGATAACTTCCAAGGAGCGTACAAACACATCAAGGAGAAGAGACACAAGAAGAACCTGGTGGTGGGTGCAGTTCTGTGCTGTTGCTGGGTAGACTTGTGCGTCACGTGGACGTGCTGGTTAAATCCTTCTGGTTTGGGTTCCTCAGGAGAAACAGGAGGAGAATGAGCTGCTGGCCCTGCCGCCACCCTCCGCCGCCCAGCTCAGGGCTCTGGACTCGGCCGTGCTGGAAACCACCGAGCAGCACGGCGTCTCCGAGGAGGACCTGGACGTGCGAAAGGCTGCGGTCGCGAGGATGGAGGAGATCATAAAGAGGCACCTCCCAGGTTGGAAAGTCTCCCGTCCTCTGGTTAAAACAGCAGAGACGTTAGTCTGACTCTTTGGTTTTCCAGCTTGTTCCCTTCGCCTCTACGGATCCTGTCTCACCCGCTTTGCTTTCAAAACGAGCGACGTCAACGTCGACGTCACCTTCCCTCCCACGGTCAGTCTCTCCTCCATCATGTCCGTGTGTCGGCGCTTTGAATGATGGTCTCAGCTTTTACCTCTTCTGTTCAGATGACGCAGCCGGAGGTCCTGATCCAGGTGCTGGGGATCCTGAAAAACAGCCGTGAGTTCGGTTTCCTGAGTTTTTACTCCACATCTGTGAGGATTTGGCGTTGAACGTGGTGATTATTAGGATTCTTCTGTACTTTTTATTTTCTAGCTGAATTCACTGAGGTCGAGTCGGATTTTCACACCAAAGTTCCTGCCGTCTTCTGTCGGGATCGCGACAGGTGAGAGGTCAAGCTTAGGCTAAACAACAGTGTGGACCGCCGGTCCGACTCGCTCCAGGTTCCGTCTCGGTTCACGTCTCGGTTTTCTCCTGCTGCTTGTGCAGCGGCCTGCTGTGTAAGGTCAGTGCAGGGAACGACGTGGCCTGTCTCACCACCAATCACCTGGCAGCTTTGGCCAAACTGGAGCCCAGACTGGTTCCGCTGGTGCTGACCTTCCGCTACTGGGCGAGGGTAAGGCTCGGACTCGACCCATCTGCTGTTTAATCCAGCTAAACCCGTCTGAAACGCCTCTCTCCTCAGCTGTGTCACATCGACTGCCAGGCCGAAGGAGGAATCCCGTCCTACTCTTTTGCCCTGATGGTCATCTTCTTCCTGCAGCAGAGGAAGGAGCCCGTCCTTCCTGTTTACCTGGGCCCCTGGGTGGGTGTTCACCTGTTGATGTGTAGTAGACGGCAGCCATGATCAGTAGAAACCATCCAGTAGAAGATCTGTTGTTTCTAGAGGGAGTTAGCATTTAGCCGTGCTGTGTTCACTATAGTTTTATTTCTGGTTTTACATGATTATATTTTATTGTTTGCTTTGCCTGTTTTTATGTTTAGATTTTAGCATTGTTTCATTATTTAATGTGATTTTATTTATTATTTATTTTCTTACTTCTCTTTTATTTTCATATTTTTACTCATTTGAATCCAGTGTTTTCTCTGTGGGGGGGGCCCTCTGCCCCGGGGGCGGTGGTCGACTGTAGCTTCCTGGGCGCTCTACAGGTAGTGTTTAAGTGGAGGTGGGAGTCTATGCTCCCCTCCTCTGAGCGCCCTGACCCTGTGCCTGATTCATGCGTCTCCGTCTGCGTCAGCGCGGAGACACGCAACGTCCTTACGTGCTTGCCGGAGAGCTCCGCAAGGACGGACGGAGTCGAGCTCTCTTTTCTAAACATCCGTCCGTCGAGACGGAGAACGCAAGCTTGTGATTGGTCAGGACGCCGCTGTTGTCCACACCGCCGCCATTGCACCCTCAAAAACATAAAGAGAGCCGAGGATAACTAGCAGCAGACACGGAGAAGCTTGAAGAATACCTCGCGAAAAAATTCTAAAAACATGAACATTTAATTCCCCGTGACTGGAGGAGTGAAAAGATGCAGCAAGCGTTTTATTTGTGGACGGAAACGACAGGAAACGTGGGTTTAGAGGTGGGGAGAGCATGAAGAGGTGGAGGCGGATGAGAGACAAATATGTCCGTGTTAAAAAGTCTCTTATATACAAAAAACACAATATAAACACACGATCTTGGACCGATACATGACAGGATACCACAGAACAGCACTACGCCCTCTGCTGTCCTGGTGGGGAATTGCTTTGCTACACTCTCCAGGAGACGGAGAAGTATGAGAGCAAAACGCTTCCGTCAGTCCGTGCGTGTCTGTCCCTTGTGGAGCTGACGGAGAAGCATGAGCCAGGCTTTATTGTGGAAGACCTGATGCTGCCGGGGCAGACGGCTCCTCTGACGGCATTTCCTTGCCTTACCTTACTTTGCTCATCTGGACTCAGCCGAATATAAATTTTTCCTGGTGTGTGTGTGTGTGTGTGTGTGTGTGTGTGTGTGTGTGTGTGTGTGTGTGTGTGTGTGTTAATGTTTTTAAACTGTTATGGGAATTTGGGGTCATTTTGTAAAGGACTTTGCTTGAAAAGCGCTTTATAAATAAAATCTGATTGATTGATCTGATTTGAGGATATTTGGATTTTATCCTTGTTGACGATGCATTCAAGGGCTGAAAAAAAGTCAGATTTTTGAGCTCCACGTTGGTTTTAAGCGCTTCTCTAATGTCTTGTTGTAGGAAGCAGAACTAAGTTCTATTTTGAAGGGCTGTAATGTTTTTCATGTGCTGATTAGATGCAAACGTCTTGTTAAAGCTGCGTTTGGCGTCTCCGTCTCGTTCAGATCGAAGGCTTTGACGTGAAGCGCGTGGACGAGTATCACCTGACTGGAATTGTGCAGGACACGTTTGTGAAGTGGGAGAGAAGAAGTCCCAGCTCGGCGGAGGAACGGGGCGAGAACCGGAACGAAAGCAAATCCAAGCCAGAACGAAAGAAATCTGAAGAAGCTCGCGCCTCGCAGGGCCAGGTGAGTTCGCTTACACTCACGGAATTTCCAGTTTCACTTCTGAAGGTTCTCTGAAAGAAGAAGGTCATCTTTTTGTCACCGAGTCTAAAACTCACACTGATGCAGACGGTGTTTAAACTAGAGCTGCTCGACGTTCCGTTGGAGCATCATAAACATTAAAAACGAGCTCATTACCAACCTGATGACAGGAGTCCAGCATACGGTTGGGCAATCGGAGGAATTATGTGACCATCAGCGATTGGCCAAGCTGTCTAAGATCGTTGTTTTTTTTTTTTTGTGCAATATTTTTTCACACGTGTGATTTAGTCTCACAGATGGGACGTTGTAAACTTCATGAAATCGGGCTCTTGTTTGCAACGCCAGTTCTATGTACACACATACATCACACATCCTATGAAAGCCTGGACTATTGTGATTCCAGTGAAATCTGGTAATCGAGGCCTCCACCATACCTGTACACAGTAAACGCTGGTCTGACCACTCACACGAACTCGCCGTTCGAAGCCTCGTGTCATCGACAGAGTAGAGCCATCTCCAACGAGAACGGACTTTTTACATCCACCACTCATCATGTGTTCACAATCCGACATCCCTTACTGCTGGAAACATTCCAACGCCCTCCCTCCTAATCCCCGTTAGTAGGGATGAGCCTGGATTAGGGTTGTCACGGTAACCGGTGTAGCGGTAAACCCCGGTAAAAAAGTTGACAATAATAATAACCGTCTCGTTTAAAAACAAAAAAATTATCTCGGTGGATTAGCGTGGCTGCGGTGTAGGCGCGGTGACCCTTACCAGCCACCGTATCATCTGCTGAAGTTGCCGGCGGCACATGCGCACTTTGTTGTTTACAACCAAAACTTTCTTGAAGCTAAAGCTGAAATAATGGTCAAAGGAGGAGACGGCAGCGCTCAGGACATTTATTATCCCTCAAAGAAGATAAAGTGGGAAGTACGGGCATCTTTTGGATATTTGAAGAATGCCGAGGGACAGCTGATAGAAGACGGCTATCCTGTTTGCAGCACGTGCAGAAAAAGTGTCTGTGAGAGGCAGCAACGCTTCAAATCTCATGACACATCTGCGTGACCATCACCCACAACTCTACAGTCAACGCGAGGCAAGCTAACGTTAGCGTTTTAGCTAAAATACGTGATCCGAGGATTTGGGTTGAGGGAGAATGCAACGAGTCGCTATATAAAGCAGCCGCAGCGCCGCTACCTGCATATAAACCGTGTCGCGGACACCGCCATGTTGAAATGACGCTATGCATTACGGGGCTCCCAGGGGCCGATAAGAGTTGGTCTCTCTCCGAGAATAATTATGAATTTAACAATGATTACTGCCTGATGACATTTTCCCACATCTGCAAAGCTCACTGGAAGGACACAAACCGAGGACGATATTTTCCTGATATAGGGTTTATTACTCAAGTAAGGGTACAAAAGTATCTGATTAGAAGGCTACTTGAGTACTGAGTATCATCTGAACTAATATATTTAAAATGATGACATCAAACAGACATAAAATAAGAAGTTATGGGCAAATATTGGTATTTTAAAGACTGAAGGGAAAAAATGTAAACAAATAAACAACATAATTACAAAATAACACATTTTAGACAAAATTTAGACACAAACTGAGGACAATATTTTCCTGATATACAGGGTTTATGTAGTTTCCTGAAAATGTGACACGTTTAGAAAATACCGCGATAATACCGAAACCGTGATAATTTTGGTCACAATCACTGTGAGGTTAAATTTTCACACCGTGACAACCCTAGTCTGGATAAAGCATTTTTGACGAATACGAGCATGAAACGAGTAAAACTCGTAAATATCTGTAATCGTGCTGAAGGAAAATCCTCGTTGGGTAACTGACTGTCTTCACGCTCTGTGATTGGCCAGTTAAATAGAGTGCCCGCCCCTCCCTACACACAAAACTCTGCAGCCGGGAGGTCAGTCCGTCCGGCCACACACACACACACACACACACACACACACACACACACACACACACACACACACACACACACACACACACACACACACACACAGACACACACACACACACACACACACACACACACACACAGACACACACACACACACACACACACACACACACACACACACACACACACACACACACACACAGACACACACACACACACACACACACACACACACACACACACACACACACACACACACACACACACACACACAGACACACAGACACACACACACACACACAGACACACACAGACACACAGACACACACACACACACACACACACACACACACACACACAGACACACACACACACACACAGACACACACACACACACACACACACACACACACAGACACACACACACACACACACACACACACACACACACACACACACACAGACACACAGACACACACACAGACACACAGACACACACACACACACACACACACACACACACACACACACACACACACACACACACACACACACACACACACACACACACACACACACACACACACACACACACACACAGACAGACACACACACACACACACACACACACACAGACACACACACACACACACACACACACACACACACACACACACACACACACACAGACAGACAGACAGACAGACACGGATCTCTCTGTGCTTGCTTCACTGTTGCTCACGTTTCTTCTTCTATTTAAAGTAACTTTATTTGTAACGTACGTGGTGCATTTGACAAAAGAGAGCTGAAAATGGCTCATGCTGCGTCTCTCTCTCTAACCCTACCCCCTAACCCTAACTCCTGAGAGGGGGTCCTCTCAGCGCTTTGGGCTTCCTGACAGGGTTGCGGAAGGCACTTTATAAATAAAGCTTTGATTGATTGATTCATTGATTCTCTCCCCCTCTCTCTCTCTCCCTCTTTCTCTCTTTCCCCCTCTCTCTCTCCCTCTCTCTCTCCCCCCTCTCTCTCTCTCCCTCTTTCTCTCTTTCCCCCTCTCTCTCTCCCTCTCTCTCTCCCCCCTCTCCCCCTCTCTCCCCCTTCTCTCTCTCTCTCCCTCTCCCCCTCTCTCTCTCTCTCTCTCTCTCTCTCTCCCTCTCTCTGTATGTATGTATTAATCCATGCACTTAAATATTAATGTTCTGATTTTATTGAAACACTTGTTCTGTAATAGTTTCTTTACTGTTGTGATCAAAAATATTTCATCTCAGTTCTGAGGCTGCTCTGTAAACAGTTTTAAAGTAAACAACACACATAGCAACTTCTGATCAATCCATATCAATTTCAGACTTAAAATGATGTTTTGATGTAAACCACACCCACTTCCGGGTTAGGCCACGCCCACTCCGAGTACAGATACAGATAGTGTTGTACTCGCTCATCCCTACCCGTTAGCATTCTGATGCTAGCTGATGTTACTGCCCATCAGTCTGGGAAGGGTCAAAGGTCATTTCCTAACTATCTGGAATCCATTGGGCTGTATTTGTACAGCGCTGTCTGAGGGTTCTAAAACCCCCCAAGGCGCTTCACAACACAATCAGTCATGAGCTACGGTGTAGCTACAGCTGCCCTGGGGCGCACTGGCAGAGGCGAGGCGAGCACAGGCGCCACCGGTCCCTCCGACCACCATCGGAAGGCAGAAGGTTCTGTTGGATCATCAGGTGGACCCTCCGTTTCTAGATTTAGAATCAAAAGCTGGTTCTTGTTGGGTTCTGCCGTGGAGGCGTGATGTCACCGTTTTGCGTTTGCTTCCTCCCACAGAGCCGTCTGACCCTGAACCCGGGGAGAGACGCGTCCCTGGGTCAGCTGTGGCTGGAGCTGCTGCGTTTCTACACGCTGGAGTTCGCTCCGGAGGAGTACATCATCAGCATTCGCCTGAAGGAGCTCCTCTCCAGGGAGGTGAAGAACTGGCCCCGCCGCAGGCTCGCCGTTGAAGGTCAGAACCACGCCACGCTGCTCCTCCTCACTGCCACTGTGACCTGGGATGACCTTTCTGTGTTTACTTTCTCCAGATCCGTTTTCCTTGAAGAGAAACGTTGCACGAAGCTTAAACAGCCAGATGGTGTTCGAGTACGTCCAGGAGTGCTTCCGCTCGGCGTATAAATACTTCGCCTCCCCTCAGAGGAAGAGCGTGGGAGGACAGCCGAGGAAGGAGGCGGCGGGGGCGCAGGTTGTGAGGAAAGGGGAGCGATGTCTGATCAGAGAGGAGGACAGGAGGAAGAGTGACACAAGTCAAAGAGGAAGGCAGGAGGAGGACGAGGAGTCGGACGGTGAAGATGAAGAGGGTTTGGATTCTTCCAGGAAAATGGGGAAGAAGATCCCGGGTGTTCGCCTCACGGCTGCGAGTGATGGGAACAAGCCCTCCTCCTCCCCCAACGGGCTGCTGGACAGTGACGAAGAGGAGGAGAGCAGTGTTTCAGAGAAGGACGCCTCATCAGAAGGTCTGCATTATGAGTTCAATAAGATGGTTTTAACCGGAGGCAAGGTAAACAAACAAACAAACAAACAAACAAAATGCGGTTTGGCTGCTGAAGCCAGTTTGTGTTGAAGCTGCTGTGCTTTTGTTGCAGCCTCCAGCTGTGGTCTGCAGCATCTGCAAGCGAGACGGACACCAGAAGGATGAATGTCCCGAAGACTTTAAGAAGATCGAGCTGAACCCTCTTCCTCCGATGAACGAGCGCTTCAGGAACATCCTGGATGGACTCTGTAGACTCTGCTACTGTACGTGGGTCAGGGTTAGCCTGGATAAGCGTGGGAGACGCACCAACCAAGTCCCGTCTCATGTTTAAACCATCGACATATATACTGGACGATTCGTGTCCACAGGCTGCAATTATATGTTTTTGTGCCAAAATGGGAGGTGGCCACCACCGCCATTTTGGCCGTGTCACAGGTTCCGTCAAGCCCAGACAATTCCATAAAAGGAAAAAGGGGTGGAGCTGAGGGTGGGGCTGTAAGGCTGGGATCAAATGACGACATCCGTCGAACTGAAGCATGTAGCTACAAGCTAACCTGAAGCTAACCCAAAGCTAACGCGGAGGTGGGAGCTAAGCTAACAGAGGTAGCTACCTAGCTACAACCGGAGTTAGCTGTGCACAACACCGGAGCTTCTGAGTCAGAGATACGCCGGGCTGACCGCTGGGGAGAACCGGGTGGAACACAGAGGTCTCCCAAGAGCTCCACAAGCCGGCAGCCGCGCAGCAGACAAGCGCCGCGATCAGAGATGCGCCGAGCTGCCGCTGAGGGGAGGGGACCGTACCGATAGTGGGAACCCAGCTCCACCAACATGTTATATTTCAACCCATTTTCTAAAGTGCAGCATTATGTTAAATGCACTGGGTTTTACCCTATTACATTTAAATGTCATGGTTAAACCGTACCCTCACCCTGGGCTGTCACCTTACCGTGGTGGAGGGGTTTGAGTGTCTCAATGATCCTAGGAGCTAAGTTGTGGGAGGCTTTCTGCCTCTGGTAGGGTCACCCATGGCAAACAGGTCCTAGGTGAGGGGCCAGACAAAGAGCAGCCCGAAGACCTCTTATGATGAGTTATATAAATGAAAACCGTGTTCCCTCGCCCGGACGTGGGTCACCGGGCCCCCCTCTGGAGCCAGGAGTTGCTCCCACTGAGAGGCGCCAAGCAGGGGTGAGCACTCTAGTTGCCCCCATCTCGGTGCCTGTACGTTGGGGTTTGCCCCGGTGAATGAGAGGATATCCTGCCTACGTGTGGGGGGACGGGTTCTGACTGTGGTCTGTGCTTCTGCACCAAACTACAGTTCAGACTACCCACCCTTTTTGGAGACCTTGGAGGGGGTGCTGGAAAGCGCTCCTTCCGGTGACTCCCTCGTTCTGCTGGGGGACTTTAACGCTCACGTGGGCAACGACAGTGAGACCTGGAGAGGTGTGGTTGGGAGGAACGGCCTCCCGATCTGAATTCGAGTGGTGTTTTGTTATTGGACTTCTGTGCCAGTCATGGATTGTCCATAATGAACACCATGTTCAGACATAAAGGTGTCCATATGTGCTCTTGGCACCAGGATACCTTAGGCCGCAGCTCGATGATCGACTTTGTTGTTGTTTCGTCTGACCTGCGGCCGCATGTCTTGGACACTCGGGTGAAGAGAGGGGCGGAGCTGTCAACTGACCACTTCCTGGTGGTGAGTTGGCTCAGATGGTGGGGGAGGATGCCGGTCAGACCAGGCAGGCCCAAACGTATCGCAAGGGTCTGCTGGGAATGTCTGGCAGTCTCCTGTCAGAAGGAGCTTCAATTCCCACCTCCGACAGAACTTCCAGAATGTTCCGGGGGAGGTGGGGGACATTTGGGCCATTCCCATCTGTACCGGGTCGGCCCGGGCCGGGTAGCCCCAGTCGGCCCCAGCCTGGCCCGGTTGATTCCACACATCCTTGCCTTCAGCCCATGTGGGCTGATTCTACCCACCAATCAGAGGCTTGCTCTAATGGAAGGTGTGAATTTGCTGTCAGCAGTGGGTGTGTTGGCCCTGGTCGGCCTGAAGCAGACCCCCTCGAGAAGAGGGCTGAGAATGAGCCTTGGTTGGCCCGGAAAAATACCAGGCCACCCAGATATGTAAACAACCTACGCTACCCGGCCCGGGCCGACCCGGTACAGATGGGAATGGCCCAATTGAGTCTGAATGGACCCTGTTCCCTGGTCCTGTTGTCTTCATCAGAACGTGAAGTTCATTGTCGACTATTTCCATTGTCGAAATTTGTCGACAACGTCGACGAATCGTTGCAGCCCTAGTCGCTATCTGGCAAGAAACCAGTCGGCCTTCGGTTCTCTGCTTTCATTAACAAGTCATGAGGTGTTGCAGATCAATAATAGTGTATCTACGGGTATTAGAGGAGCCTTGCTGTAAAGCGGGATCTCTTGTGTTTACAGATTTTCTGTAGATTTTATAGAATAGATCTAAAATAAAATAAACGAGTTTCCCAGAGAAGCCTGGATGAAGCTCCTCCTCCAGAGTAAACCACCTGGATTGGAGTTTGAGGAGTTCTGTCTGTTTAAAGAACTTCTTTGCTTCAAACACTAGGAAAGCTTCGTTGGGACAAAAACAGCAGATTAGACTTCCTGTGGCCGACGCCGGAGCGGGCCCGTTAAAGCCGTAAATTCCCGGTTTCAATCAATCAATCAATCAAATTTTATTTGTATAGCACCTTCTACAACATTATCTGAAGCCCAAGGTGCTGAACAACATCATTAAAAGAAAAACATTCCCAATACATGGGCATAAAAGCAGGATAAAAACATAAAATCATAAAATATCTAGCAAACAGCATTACAGATAAGAGATATTGGAATAAGACCAATCGATAAAAAAACAAATGTTGGACAAAATAAAATCAAGCATCCGGTTTAAAAAGAAGAATAGTTAAAACCATAAAGTTAGGGCAATTCAAGTGACCCTAGCGCTGAAACGCAATCAGATAAAAATGAGTCTTTAAACGCGTCTTAAAGACTTGAAGGGATGGTGCCTGCCTAATGCTCAGTGGCAATTCGTTCCACAGAGTTGGAGCCAAAATAGAAAAAGCACGACTACCCCTCGATCGAAATTTCGACCGGGGGGACCACCAGAAGTTCCTGCTCGGCTGAGCGAAGAGACCGAGATGGAGCATACCTGTTCAAAAGCGCAGTAATGTACGAGGGGACACTGCCCTGGAGGGCCTTATAAACGAGAGTTAAGATTTTAAACTGAGCTCGATATTTTACCGGGAGCCAGTGCAGAGCAGCCAGCACTGGGGTAATGTGCTCTCGACATCTAGTGCCTGTTCATCTCCTAAACCGCTTCATCTTCGGCTCGTTTTGTTTCCAGATGAACTGTCGCCGTCTCACCTCGAGCAGCAGAAGAGGGAACAGATTCTGGTCGGCCTGGAGAGGTTCATAAGGAAGGAGTACAACGGTGAGTTAGTTTCACCCTGCCACTGAGGATTCATGTGTTCATAAGGAACTACAAAGTTTATCACCAGCTCAGCGACCAGGAGGCCCAGCCCCACCACAGAATGAAGACCAGCGGTCATAATGTTGTGGCTGATGGGGTTTTTTGTCTGATCTGACAGATAAAGCTCAGCTCTGCCTGTTTGGTTCTTCCAAAAACGGTTTTGGTTTCCGTGACAGCGACCTGGACATCTGCATGACGCTGGAGGGTCACGACACCGCCGAGGTTCGCCAGCGTGTGGCTTTAGCTCTCGCTGTTGTCTCCTGTGTTCGGCTCTCATTTTCTGGTGTGTGTTTTGAATCCTGAGCAGAAGCTGAACTGTAAAGACATCATCGAAGACCTCGCCAAAGTGCTGAAGAAGCACTCGGGTGAGTGGAGCTCTTCTGCTCGTTTGGCCTCACCGTTCCGTTTCCTCACGCCTCTGATCTGCGCAGGTCTGAGGAACATCCTGCCCATCACCACAGCTAAAGTGCCTATAGTGAAGTTTGAACACCGACAGAGCGGTTTGGAGGGAGACATCAGCCTTTACAACACCCTGGTGAGGCGACAGACACCACCTCTCATCGTTAACAGCTGTTTTCAGGTGATGAATGACTGAATGATGTCTCCAGGCCCAACACAACACCAGGATGTTGGCCACGTACGCGGCTCTGGACCCACGCGTCCAGTTCCTCGGATACACCATGAAGGTCTTTGCAAAGGTTCGTCATGGGTGTGAATACCGCTCGGGGCTCTTTAGCACAGGAGAAGAGAAGCTGGGTTCAGGTTCTGATTCCTGCTTCACAATCGGTCAGTGGAGCTGAAATGAGATGGAGACCACCAGGATTGTGGCTCTCTCCCTTCATTCTGAATGTTTTTAACCTTACTGTCCCGTTTTAACTCCTGATCCAGTCCAGAACTCCTGATCCAGTCCCCATCTCTTTCCGCTTTCCTTCCTAGCAGCTGGATTGTCCTGTAAACTGCTTCCTAAGTTCTCCAGATGTTGTTTTTCTGGCTGATTAGTCTCTCGTTTCTGGTGTTGGTAACCCATTATTTTCACACTACAGTTCGCTAAGACTACTTATTTAATCATCATGTTTCCAAGTGAAATATTTGACCCTGTTGCTTACCACTAGAGGGCGCTGTTGGACCACCAGTGGTTCATCTAGCTTAATTTGGGAATTGCAAATATTTGTTTACACCACTGGGCTCCTATCCATCGTGCTTTATACCAGTGATCCCCAACTCCCCTCCCAGAGGGCCGGTATCCAGCATGTTTTAGTTGCTTCCTGATTCCAGCAGGCCTGCCTCACCTGTTCAGGAGCTCATCGAGTGTCGAAGCAGGGAAAACGGTTAAGTGAAGTGCTCACCCTGTGGTTGGAAGGTCGCAGGTTCCAGCCCCGCTCAGTCTGTTGCTGTTGCTGCTGTTGTGTCCTTGGGCAAGACACTTAACCCCCCTTACATGCTGGTGGTGGTTGGAGGGACCGGGGGGCGCCTGTGCTTGGCAGACTTGCCTCTGTCAGTGTGCCCCAGGGCAGCTGTGGCTACATCGTAGCTCATCCCCACCAGGATGTGAATGGGTGAATGACTGGTTGTGTTGTAAAGCACCTTGGGGGGGGGGGGGGGGGGGGGGGGGTGTTCCAGGACTCTAGAAGGCACTAAATCAAATACAGGCCATTTACCAAAGCATCCTGGGAACCGGTCCTCGGGTAGGGAGTTGGGGATCACTCTTTCATACGTTTACCTTCGCTAACACACCTGATTAATAGGGTCAGCATAAGCCGGTTACACACCTGCTAATTAAAACCAGGTGTGCTGTCGCATGGTGGATATGGAGGACGCCACTGGTTTACATCCTCAGAGAGAAAATCTCAGCCTGGAAAAGATGCTTACATTAGTTTGTTCAAATGTCTGAATAATAAAAACTCTTATTCACGGGGTATCCGCGGGTCCTTGAAAAGTAAATTAGCTTTTCCAAATTAAAGGCCTTGAAAATCCTTAAAAATGACAAATAATCCCTAAATCCAGTTTCCAAAGGTCTTAAATTACCAAAGACCCATTAAACAAGATTCTTTTATTTCTATAAAATTTTCATGAATTTCTCGTTGGTGTTCAGCATCTTTTGTGTACGATGTTGGCGTAAGCGGAACCGTACACATTCAGCTGGTTGTGAGAGGGGGCTATTTTTAGATGAGCACATTAGCTGGTTAAGCTAGTGGGAGCTTGCGCCATGGGGAAGTGCAAGTTTAATGGTAACTGGATGGCTAATCCCACGTTCGCGACGTGGTTAGCACCGGTTCCAGGCAATAGCTGGAAATTATAGCTTAAATTTAATTTAAAAATAGCTTAAATTTGGTCAAAGTGGCCTTAAAAAGTTCTTAAAGAGCAAGTCACCCCCAAATCACTTTTTTTTTGCTGATAAACTATAAAGGAGTGTCTAATCATGCTACAGACACGTGTTGTCAATAATTTGGCAGTTCAGTGCATCTTTGTTAAAATTCAATTATTCTGCCTAAAACTGTCAGTGATGCGCCGTCGTCAGGAAAAAATTCTGCACCCGCTTTTCCGGGTCCGGGTCGCGGGGGCAGCATCCCAACTAGGGAGCTCCAGACCGTCCTCTCCCCGGCCACCTCCACCAGCTCCTCCGGCAGGACCCCAAGGCGTTCCCGGACCAGATTGGAGATGTAACCTCTCCAACGTGTCCTGGGTCGACCCGGGGGCCTCCTGCCGGCAGGACATGCCCGAAACACCTCCCCAGGGAGGCGTCCAGGAGGCATCCTGACCAGATGCCCAAACCACCTCAACTGACTCCTTTCGATCAACATGCTGAAACTTATTTCAATCAATGTAATCATAACATAACATTCATTTCAAACTTCAGCCACTCAAGCACAGATTAATGAAAACATTTCATTTGTCCACATTTGTCAGAAAACCTTTAGTTTCCTTTCAGAGTCAACATTTTCTACGAGATACCAGACTACAAAACACTCCCACTAATGTGGGCCACTGATTGCAAACAAGATTTATTTTGCACACAAAAGCAGGGATGCACCGATCAGGTTTTTTGCTGCCGATACCGATCACGTGGATTGGCCAGAAATTTTCTACAACATTATAATGAGTGCTACAAACTGCATAATCTGGGAAAAAGGAAATGTAACCTAATCTAAAATGGTCTGTATTAGGGTTGTCACGGTGTGAAAATTTAACCTCACGGTTATTGTGACCAAAATTACCGCGGTTTTCGGTATTATCGCGGTATTTTTTTTACGTGCTACATTTTCACACAACTACATAAACCCTGTATATCAGGAAATATTGTCCTCAGTTTGTGTCTAAATTTTGCCTAAAATGTGTTATTTTGTAATTATGTTGTTTATTTGTTTACATTTTTCCCCTTCAGTCTTTAAAATACCAATATTTACCCATAACTTCTTATTTTATGTCTGTTTGATGTCATCATTTTAAATATATTAGTTCAGATGATACTCAGTACTCAAGTAGCCTTCTAATCAGATACTTTTTTACCCTTACTTGAGTAATAAACCCTATATCAGGAAAATATTGTCCTCGGTTTGTGTCCTTCCAGTGAGCTTTGCAGATGTGGGAAAATGTCATCAGGCAGTAATCGTTGTTAAATTCATAATTATTCTCGGAGAGAGACCAACTCTTATCTGCCCCTGGGAGCCCCGTAATGCATAGCGTCATTTCAACATGGCGGTGTCCGCGACACGGTTTATATGCAGGTAGCGGCGCTGCGGCTGCTTTATATAGCGACTCGTTGCATTCTCCCTCAACCCAAATCCTCGGATCACGCATTTTAGCTAAAACGCTAACGTTAGCTTGCCTTGCGTTGACTGTAGAGTTGTGGGTGATGGTCACGCAGATGTGTCATGAGATTTGAAGCGTTGCTGCCTTTCACAGACACTTTTTCTGCACGTGCTGCAAACAGGATAGCCGTCTTCTATCAACCGTCCCTCGGCATTCTTCACATATCCAAAAGATGCCCGTACTTCCCACTTTGTCTTCTTTGAGGGATAATAGATGTCCTGAGCGCTGCCGTCTCCTCCTTTGGCCATTATTTCAGCTTTAGCTTCAAGAAAGTTTTGGTTGTAAACAACAAAGTGCGCATGTGCCGCCGGCAACTTCAGCAGATGATACGGTGGCTGGTAAGGGTCACCCACCTACACCGCAGCCACGGTAATCCACCGAGATAATATAGTTTTTAAAAAACAAGACGGTTATGATTATTGTCAACTTTTTTACCGGGGTTTACCGCTACACTGGTTACCGTGACAACCCTACCTGATCGGTCTGCTTTGATCTATTTTGAAAACTCCGATCAAAACCGATAGGGACGCTATCGGCCGATTGGGATCAAATGCCGATCCATCGGTGCTTCCCTAACAAAAAGTGATTTCCCTAACAAATCCATTCAAGTCCATGTTGCAAAAATGAGTACACCCCAGTTATAGTCTTAGGTGAAAAGTAAGTCACACTTATGACTACAAAATTCAAATTAACCGGCATTCAACCACAGGTGAGTCTAATGATTAATTTAAGAGACGTCCAGGCCGTCCACAGAAGTTAGCTTCTGGACAGGAGTGTCTTCTGATGAGAAGGGTTGAGGAAAATCACCACGTAAGTTCACTGCAGTTAGCTAAAGCAGCAGAAAGCCAAACTGGAGGGACCGTTTCCCGTGACACCGTACGGCGCACTCTGCAGAGGAACGGCATGCGTGGGTGTCGTCCATGAAGGAAGCCTCTCCTGAAGCCCATGCACAAAAAAAGCTCACCCAGGATCTGCTAGGGCCCGTGCTGAGAGAGAGGAAGACTACTGGGACTCTAGACTCTGGAGTGATGAGACAAACATCTCTGTGTTTAGAACCAATGGTTTATGTTTGGTGTCGTTAAGGTGGGGATTTCAAAGAGAAATGCACGGTGGTGGCAGTGTCCTTATGTGGGGCTGCATGAGTGCTGCTGGTGGTGGGGAGCTGCACCTCATTGATGGTATCATGAACTCAACAATGTCCTGCTATAAGTAGATGTGATGCGTCGCCATCTTCTCGTCTCGTCTTCCTCCGCTTATCCGGGTCCGGGTCGCGGGGGCAGCATCCCAACTAGGGAGCTCCAGGCCGTCCTCTCCCCGGCCTTGTCCACCAGCTCCTCCGGCAGGACCCCAAGGCGTTCCCGGACCAGATTGGAGATGTAACTTCTCCAACGTGTCCTGGGTCGACCCGGGGGCCTTCTGCCGGCAGGACATGCCCGAAACACCTCCCCAGGGAGGCGTCCAGGAGGCATCCTGACCAGATGCCCAAACCACCTCAACTGGCTCCTTTCGATCCGGAGGAGCAGCGGTTCTACTCCGAGTCCCTCCCGAATGTCCGAGCTCCTCACCCTATCTCTAAGGCTGAGCCCGGCCACCCTACGGAGGAAACTCATTTCGGCCGCTTGTATCCGCGATCTCGTTCTTTCGGTCATTACCCAAAGCTCATGACCATAGGTGAGGATTGGGACGTAGATCGACCGGTAAATCGAGAGCCTGGCTTTCTGGCTCAGCTCCCTCTTCCCCACGACCGATCGGCTCAGCGTCCGCATCACTGCAGACGCCGAACCAATCCGCCTGTCGATCTCCCGATCCCTCCTACCCTCACTCGTGAACAAGACCCCGAGATACTTAAACTCCTCCACTTGAGGTAGGACCTCTCCCCCGACCCGGAGGTGGCAAGCCACCCTTTTCCGGTCGAGAACCATGGTCTCAGATTTGGAGGTGCTGATCCTCATCCCAGCCGCTTCACATTCGGCCGCGAACCTACCCAGCAAGAGCTGAAGGTCAGAGCTGGATGAAGCTAGGAGGACCACATCATCTGCAAAAAGCAGAGACGAGATTCTCCTGCCACCAAACTCGACACACTCCACACCACGGCTGCGTCTAGAAATTCTGTCCATGAATGTGATGAACAGAACCGGTGACAAAGGGCAGCCCTGGCGGAGTCCAACCCTCACTGGGAACAGGTCCGACTTACTACCGGCTATGCGGACCAAACTCACGCTCCTCTGGTAAAGGGACTGAATGGCCCTTAACAGAAAGCCACCCACCCCATACTCCTGGAGCGTCCCCCACAGGGTGCCCCTGGGGACACGGTCATAAGCCTTCTCCAAATCCACAAAGCACATGTGGATTGGTTGGGCAAACTCCCATGCCCCCTCCATCACCCTTGCAAGGGTATAGAGCTGGTCCACAGTTCCACGGCCAGGACGAAAACCACATTGCTCCTCCTCTATCTGAGATTCAACTATCGATCGGACCCTCCTCTCCAGTACCTTGGAGTAGACCTTTCCAGGGAGGCTGAGGAGTGTGATCCCCCTATAGTTGGAACACACCCTCAGGTCACCCTTCTTAAAGATGGGGACCACCACCCCGGTCTGCCACTCCCTAGGAACTGCCCCCGATGACCACGCAATGTTGTAGAGACGTGTCAACCATGACAGCCCTACAACATCCATAGCCTTGAGATACCCAGGACGAACCTCATCCGCCCCCGGGGCTCCGCCGCTGTGTAGTTGTTTGACTACCTCAGCAACTTCTGCCCCCGAGATCGGACAGTCCATCCCCAGGCCTCCCAGCTCTGGTTCCTCCTCGGAATGCGCATTGGTGGGATTGAGGAGCTCCTCAAAGTATTCCTTCCACCGTCCGACTATAACCTCAGTTGACGTCAGCAGCTCCCCATCCCCACTGTAAACAGTGTGAGCGAGTTGCTGCCTTCCTCTCCTGAGGCGCCGGACAGTTTGCCAGAACCTCTTTGGAGCCGATCGATAGTCTTTCTCCATGGCCTCACCAAACTCCTCCCACGCCCGAGATTTTGCCTCGGCAACTGCCACTGCTGCACCCCGCTTGGCCATCTTGTTCATTCCATACCTAGAAGACTTGGTGCTGTCCTTGAGAATCCCGGTACTAAATACTAGATGTAGTAGTTTTTGTTGTGGGGTGTTTTCCTTTTTGCTCCAACCAATTTTAGTAAAACTGAATATTTTGTGATTAAGTTATATTATTAACCTTAATTTCATGTTATGGCGTTAAACGCGTGTTCAGTAAAACCAGCCTTTTATCCATTGAGCTGCTGATTAAATTCATACTTTTAAAAGGCGGTATAGTCATTCATGCTGTGTATTATATTAGATTTAGCATAATGCAAGAACAGTGATCATAAAACAGTGTGTATTAGCTCTGTTGGGCAGCTAGAGGTGTGCGTTCACTAATGAGAGGCGTAGCTTTAGGCTGTAAATTTGGAAGTGATGAATGCATCACACCATAACTAGATGGTGCAGCTGGACAAAAACTTAAGATTGTAGCTTTAAGAAGCTGCTTGAGAACATTTTAATATTTAATTCATAGATATATTTATATCCAGGCAGAACTGCATGACTTCCTGTTTAAGAAGGACCCTAACCCTCTCTATAGAGGACACAGGTCCTTGTCCAACATGTGGCTCCCGGCTACTTTGGTAATCCAAACGTGAGTCCTAGGAAATACTTTTCCTTTTAGGAGTTGAGCTCTACATTAAAGTCTCTACATGAGAATCCACGAGTGTGGAAGTTTTGTTCCTGGTCCTAACATCTGAACGTATTGTTCCTACAGCGCTGCGACATCGGAGACGCCTCCAGAGGAAGCCTTTCGTCCTACGCCTACATCCTGATGGTGCTTTACTTCCTTCAGCAGAGACAGCCATCGGTTGTCCCTGTCCTGCAGGAGGTATTGTCCTCTCACCTGAAATCACACCTTAGTGCATTTCCAGCGGCGCTAGCCAGCGCAACATGGATGCATTTCGGTTTCTCGGCCTTTTCCGACAGCACGGTTCGGGATTGTCCCCCCTCTTCTCAGGATGTCATTTTTCACACGAAGAACATTGGATCAAATTTCATATTAGTGCATCTTTATTTTCAAGTTTCACTTGTATAATTAAGTGTTTTTATTAGCATTTCTATCACCTGTAGTCTAGTCACGTCACATCTACATAAAATGCTTTCAGAAGTGACACAAGAACAGCCACACATCTGATGGAGGACCTAAAACTTTGGTTTGACCCAAATTCAGAAGTGCTGAGGCTGGGTAGTAAAGATGCACAGTTGGTTCTAGTAATGATAAATGACCCGCACTTGTATAGCGCCTCTCAGAGTAAGGACTCCAAAGCGCTTTACACTACAGTGTAGTAACACCCAAGACGTCTGAGACTAGTACAGTCAGTGTTACAGCAGGACTAAAGAACGGATCAGGAACACTAACTGGTTCCTAACTGGTGAACAGGTGAGTGGATCTTCCCTACATGGGAAGTCCTGCTGTCACGTCAAGAAGGTCATGGCGGCAGACCTGCAGATTGGACTTCTGCAGGTCTCCTTACGTCTTCCTCGTTCATCACTGGCCATGAGGCATTTGGAAGTAGGGATGTCCCGTTCCGATATCGGCCCCAAAACACTATCGAATTATATCGGACAGCATCAAAAATCTCCCATATAAGCAGTCTGTTAAGGTTCACATTTTTGCAACCAATGGTTAAAAAATTGTAATTTTGGCACTTGTTTTCCAACTGAGTAACATCACTTGATCAAGCCTTTCATAGATTCCACACTATGAAATAGGTAAAAGTATGCATCTTGTGCCGATATCGTATCGGATCGATATTGGTATCGGTCAATACTGAAGGCTGCAGTATTGGTATCGTATTGGAAGTGAAAAAGTTGTATCGGGACATCCCTATTTGGAAGTAAACATCCACGCCTTTAGCTCCCGATCCGAGGACGACAGCATCAACACACCTTGCAGGCATTTTCTCATCAGCAACAGAAACAGCAGTACGACGAACGAAGGCTAATTAATTAGATTACACATTAATGAACAAACGTACGTTTGTTAGCACCGCCATGGTTTTAAACGCCGTTATTCCCGTCACGGGTGGCACGCTCACAGCAAGGAAGAAACAACAACCAGAAATAATAAATAAATGACAACTAAGCTAATCTCTCAATGAATTCGGTTCGTTGTTTTTCTAATTTTGGTTTTTATTTCAGTTAACGAGAATGTTTTTTTTTTTAATTCTAGATTTATTTCGTTAACGATAATAAGCCTGGTTGGAAAACCTCCACAAGTTATCTTTGAGAATTCCCATCCTCACTTTTTACCTCCCCCAGATCTTTGAGGGGAAGACCGTTCCTCAGCGAATGGTGGACGGTTGGAACGCTTTCTTCTTCGACAACCTGGATGAGCTGGTGAGTTTCACTTTTCTCGTCCCACAAACGCTTTTCTGTTTCAGAAGTGAACGTTGCGGTTGTGTACTCGCAGCGCCAGCGTCTCACCGATCGGCAGCCGAACACGGAGTCGGTGGGGGAGCTGTGGTTGGGCCTTCTACGGTTCTACACAGAAGAGTTTGATTTCAAAGAGCACGTCATCAGCATTCGCCAGAGGAAACGCCTCACCACATTTGAGAAGCAGTGGACCAGCAAATGCATAGCTATTGAAGGTTCTCACTCACCTCCTAACTGAATTTGGTTCTGCCCCGGAACCTCTTGAGAGGTGAAGTCCTTTCTGTTGTTTTTTTTTCTCCTCAGATCCGTTTGATCTCAATCATAATCTTGGTGCTGGAGTGTCTCGCAAAAGTAAGTTCCTGAAAACGTCCTTTTTCATCATTAAAGATGCCAAAGTGTTGTTAGGCAACAGTCTTAGAAGGACAACTAAACCTTTATCTGCGTTACAACTCTGAACAACATTATTAGGACATCTTAGGTGTGTTCTTGCTGTGTCGTGGTTCTAATTCCATGCTTTCGTTCTTTTTAAACACAGAAACAGTTTTGTTTACCTGTTTTGTAGCTACAGTTTCGCAAAGAACGAAAGCATGCAACATTATTAGGATTTAAAGTGAGTGGGTCTTAAAGCAGAGCCTTGAGGGACACCCTTTGTTACTGGTGCCTCATGCTTCCTCATCTTCCTCCTCCAGTGACAAACTTTATCATGAAGGCTTTTATAAATGGGCGAAAGCTGTTCGGAACGCCTTTCTTTCCCATCCCGGGCACTGAAGTGGTACGTCCGTCCTGTTCTTCCACAAATCGATTCGCCATGAAAAGACGTTTTCTTCAAGATTCAACTACCCTCCATCATGTTTGTGCAGGACTACTTCTTCGACTCGAAGGTGTTGACCGATGGTGAGCTAGCGCCCAACGACCGGTGCTGCAGGATATGCGGGAAGATCGGACACTACATGAAGGACTGTCCCAAGAAGCGCAGGTTATCCTCATTTTCCCATAAATTATTAAATTCCTGGAAATAAAACCAACAAATCGACGACTATCCTAATCATAAAGATGGGAATAAAGACAAAAATTAAAAACACAAATATTTGTACGTTGAAAGTTTCAAACCAGACTTTAATACAAACATTTCTAAATTATCTTTAACATTTCTTCCGTTGTTAAAAGGGCAGCCAGAGATGTTTTTCCACAGCAGTTATTGCCATGTTGCTTGAAATGCTCCCCACGTACGTTTACATACGTCTCAGAAAACTGAACACTGACGGTTTTTTAAATGGATGTAAACACGTTAGTCTTGCTGAAGGCGAAGTGGTCCTAATCATGACGAAGCGCCCAGATAATGTGGTAGGAAACTGACTTCATCCGCATGTAAACAGCTGATGCCAGTAACTTCCGTAAGTGACAATCCCACGTAAGCTTCTGAAACTAAAGTAGTCCGTGTAACACCATCAAACAGTACAGGACGTACCAAATAAGCCATGCTGATATGTTGTTGTCATGGTGCACATCCTGTTTTTACTCCCTCTGCTTCACTATGGCCAGTGCTTTAGTCTTTTGGGCTCGACACACGGGAGGCGACCCGCGCCAGCGGCAAAGCCGTCGACGCGTTCTGTTCCATGGCGAAATCGAATCTTCCGTTGTTTTGATTGGCTGTGTCAGGTTGGAGGGAATTAAGGTTATTTAAGCGGTTCAGAGTTAACTCTGGCACCAACAATTTCCCACGCCGCGGCCTTTTTGTGAATATCGACGGTGGCACAGGAGTTAAGAGCTCACCCCGTAATCGGAAGGTTGCAGGTTCGAGCCCCGCTCAGTCTGTCGCTGTCGTTGTGTCCTTGGGCAAGACACTTAACCCACGTTGCCTGCTGGTGGTGGTCGGAGGGACCGGTGGCGCCAGTGCTCATCAGTCTCGCCTCTGTCAGTGTGCCCCAGGGCAGCTGTGGCCACATCGTAGTTCATCCCCACCAGCGTGTGAATGTGTGTGTGAATGGGTGAATGACTGATTGTGTTGTAAAGCGCCTTGGGGGGTTCCAGGACTCTAGAAGGCGCTATATCAAATACAGGCCATTTACCATTTACCATTCTTTGGTAGAAATATTGTCCAGTTCTGGGAAATCCGTCACAGCAACGATCAACTTCTCCTCCATGTTTGCTCGGAGGTGTACGGAGCATCCTGCCCGCTCATTGGTCAGTGAATGAAACCTCTGCTGATTGTTCGTCGTCCGAGCGACAGCGACGAACAGTTGAAAATATTTCAACTTTCTGGGATGGTGTCGCTGGGTCGCCCGTGCACGACACGTGCTCGAGCGCAAATTTTCACACGCACGTTTTTCGCGTTTCGCTTGGTAGGAGGGAGACCCGCCATTATCGCTTTGTCGTACATGTCTTAATGAAAATGAATGGAGGAGAGGCGATGTCGCCTCCCGTGTATCGAGCCCTTATGTGTTGCTATTAGCTAGCCAAAAGTATGGCGACATGACAGGGCACATGTTGCCACCTACTGTACCGGAGTGCAACAGACTTCTTTTGAGAGTTTAGTTTTCTAATGTAAAGTAGGATAACGGCTCCCAGTTTTACTTCAGCCTAGATGTGCGTGTGAACCCACTGACTGGTGGCGATTAGCCTAGGAATCTAGACAGAAACCCGTTCCACTCTGCTTGTTTGTCTAGCTGGGCTCCATTAGAGCCTCAGCAGGCCTGAACCGTCTTACGCCTTGCCAGTCACAGCAGTTTGGTGGGCGGGGCGTTACTGCGACTGAGTGGAACAAAGATAGGGACAGCTCGTTTTAAATGGCTTTGGCATCAACTTAGGACTGTTCAGAGTTGGACTTTTCTTTGAATCAAGAGCAGATAGAGGTACTTAAGGCACATGTCCGGATTATTCATTTGATCTGATGGCGCCATCTGGTGACTGTATTTACGACCGAAAGCAACGCCTCTTGTTCATGCGCTCCTCTAGCCAACAAAACAAACCTAAAGCATTGTTTTACAATCATGCTCACATTACAGTATGTTGTGTTTTCACTTCACTCGGCCACCGAACATTTCAGCCAAAAACGACCCATTTCTCACCAACACAACACGGGCGAACCCCGTTTTAGGTTCATCTCGCTCCACCCTCACGTGGTAATTTGCTCTTTGCTTCATAAAAATATTACATTCTTACTGGTGTCGGAGTTTTTCCCCTTTAGTAATCCTGTTTCATTAGAAACGCTGGGATATTCAGATCAGTTATGTTTTTTTTACTTTGGTTTCACGTCTGTCGTGTCTGCGAGGCTTTCCCCGTTCTTTTACATTCCTGCTACGTCTGTCACTGTTAGCAGTGCTTTTACCATCCTTTCTGCACCCACCATGTCCTGAACACGGTGAAATAAGCTCTGGATCTTGTGTGTTTACTCTCATAAAGCACACAGATTCTGTTGCAGCGGCAGCGTCACGTTCCTCCTCACCGGACGAGTGACTTTCTTCATCAGGGTGAATATCACTGTTCAGAATCAGAGTCGGCCATTACCAAAGAGCTTTGTCAACAGCGGGCGCAAAATTAGTTCCTGCGAGGGGGCCCCGTGTGGCAGGGGGCGGGTCTGCGCCCTCGGTGAGCTGCGCTCATCTCGTCTGCTGTGCTGTGTCGGGAGCCTCCGGTTTTCAAATTGAACAGAAACACCCAGAATGTTGCAGTAAAAACTTCACGGGGGATTATATTAGCAGCTTGGCTCTTTAACTCATTCGCTGCCAGCGTTTCTCGCCGTTTTTACTGTTTTTTTAAGAGTGACAGAACGTTGCGCGCTAGGATGATGTCGACGCCAAAACAACCAAACAAAGCGGAGACTCATCTCTTACATCAGGAAGAATCCACGCGTTTCGAGCGTTATCCGTTCTTTCATAATCCGTTGTTGAATTGTGATCAGCAGAAGCTTTTCCGGTTCGCGCCTCACTTTTTTTACAGCTGCGGCCCAAAACGATCTCCTAACACGTGGATGTTCTGCTTCCTGATCACGTGACGTGTGACGTATGCGGATGAAGATCGGCTTTAGAGCTGAGATGTTTGTTCTCTCGGTGCGGGGGCTCGTCCGACGCCCACACAGAAAAAAAAATGCAAATGACGACTTTAGTCGTCACTGGCAGTGAACGAGTTAAAAACAATATCGTGACTTTGGTGCTTAAAGGGTTTATTTTGCTCTTCCTGTACATTTATAATTATTACTTCTAATGGTAGTTTGTTGTTTATTGTACTCTAGTGGGGTCAAGTGAAACATTAGAGTTTTTATTTATATTGTGCGTTGTTGTTATGTCAGCGCTACATAAACATCTTCATGGTTTGTAACTGATTCATTTCTTTTGGTTTTTTGGCCTCAGTTTCCTCATTTCTGGTTTCGGCCAAGAATTGTCGTGTCGCTGCAACTCTAGTTTTCATATATTTATATTTTAAAGGCTTATTTGTCCTGAAATAGGTCACCTGCTCTGCGTCGGTCGAGGTACGTCCCTAAATGCTTGAGCACGCTCTGACTGATGTCTACGTAAGCGGCAGTGGTTAGTGCGGCCCGGTTGACTTAAACAAACGCCTGCTGACTCCCAACACGTCGATGAGGAACTGAAAGTTAGGTGTGGTTTCTTTATTTGTGTAGAATGAAGAAGAAGGAAAATGATAAAGATGAAGACGCCAAAGAGGAGGAGCGGGAGCTGAAGGATCGACGGTGTTTCCAGTGTGGAGACATCGGCCACGTGCGGAGGGACTGTCCTGAGTACCACCACCTCAAGCAGAGGAGCGCCGGGCCGCCGGGTCAGTCCGGACTTGTGTTTGACTTGATCTCGGAGTGTTTCTGTTGTTTGTTATTTATCCTGTTGGCTACTTTTATTGTCTTGTTTCCTTATTCCTAAACGGATCCGTGTATTCATGTTTTATGTGCTGTAACAGTTAAAGGATGTTTAAACCAGACGCTTCTCTCCTGTACTTTCCCGTCCTCGCACGCCTCCAGCCCTTGCAGTGGAGTCTCCGTTTAGCCGGGGTCACTGCTCTGCATTAGCTCTCGCCTCAACCTTCAGCCAGGCAGCATTCTAATAGGGCGACGTCCGTGTCTGGGCGGGTCATAGACACGTGGCCGTCCAATGACGTTGCACCATGAAGCAAGACCTTACCGTTGCTTTTCTGATTGCCGCAGTGCAGAGCTGTACCAAACACCTGTACGATATTTAAGTACACGTCTCAGCGGTGATTTTTGAGGGAAATGAAACCGTCTGGCAGCAAAGAACACACGCAGAGAGACATGCTGCTTCAACTCATCCCTGGTGTGTTGTGTCTGTGTGAAAATCCCTTTTTCAAACTCAGAACTGTTAGAACATCTGGCCTGTTTCGGTCCCGTCCAGCTGGAGTTGATCCCGGCTGCGATCAGCCTCAGATATACGTCAGAAACGTAGGTGCTGAGGAAGGAAGGGTTTAAAGAGGCGTCTGAGTACCGTGATGCACCAACACCCACAAAGGTTGTGGTGATTAAAGTTACTGCCGTCAGCAATGAGGTGGGATTTAAAACCAGAGGTGACCGTAACAAGCCTGTTACCGGGGTGCACCCACTGGTCTGTCGGTTCCACACACCTGGTTGGTAGCGTCTCTCTCGCTCCCTCCTGCTCTACCTCCTTAGCACGCCCCGCCTCCTCCCAATCCTCATTACTAGAGAGCAGGGCTGATCCGTGCTCTGTGCCTCCTCCTCCGCAGCAGCAGCTCGTCCTCTCCCGCGCCTCGCCATAGGGACTTAATCATCAGGGCTGCATGTTGGATGCAAGGTTTCTCTACAGGAGTGTCCAATATTGATTGCTAGGAGCCACAAACCTGCCACTCAAGACCAGTGGAGGATGGAGGAGATCCAAGCCCCAGACATCCAGAGATCCCTCCAATGCATGGAGACCCCCAGGGGGGCCACCGCAGATGTGCCCCCTCCCCCAAAGCGCTGCAGAGCATCACCCTGGGGGTAGGGTCAACCAGAGGCCCAGGAGATCATAACGGAAGCTCCCGTATCGGCCCTCCTCTCATGGAGACACCAGCCCTCTTGGAGACCTGAGCAGCAGCAGCATAAAATGATCAGAACATTCCAGAATATTTAAAGTTAAAGTCCCATTAGTTGTCACACACACAGGTGTGTGTGCAACATTTATTCTCCGCATTTGACCCATCCTCTGGGGGAGCGGTGAGCTGCAGACACAGCCGCGCTCGGGAACCATTTGGTGGTTTAACCCCCCAATCCAACCCTTTAATGCTGGGTGTCAAGCAGGGAGGCATTGGGTCCCATTTTTTCAAAGTCTTTGGTATGACCCGACCAGGAATCGAACCCTGATCTCCCAGTCTCAGGGCGGACACTCTACCACTAGACCACTGAGAAAGGTGTCTCAGAATATTTACAGAGTAAAACACCACAAATATTGAAAAATGCTTCTTACAGCTAGCAAAGTGAGACCAGAAGCTCTGGTCAGAGCTGACTGATGGTTCCCCCTCCCACTTTGCTGTGTGAACGGATATTGGACTGTCTGTCTTATATGTTTTAGACACTAATTTGGGGGGTGTGGAATTAAAAGGGCCATATCATGGAAAATCCACCTTTTGAAGCTTTTTACAACGTGAAATTAAAAAAAAGCCCTCAAACCCATTTTTGGCTGCATTCATGCGTTTTCCTGTTTCAGCTGCAAATGCAGAGCTTTACTGTAAAAATCCTGTAAAGCCTTGAAAGCTAGTCTCATCATCGAGGCCTGCTCCTCTCCTGGAGCTAGTCTCTGGCCTGAAACCTGTCCCTTAGCTCAAACGTGGCTCAGGCGACCCGTGTCACGGTGCAGGTTTGGTGGTCCAGTGGTTTGAGTTCTGGGCTAGCGTGTAGTTTTGTGCAGGTTCGCGTCCCGGTCCGAGCAGCAACTGTTTTCTGTTTTCTCACCTACACTTGTCAGAATGATGTTTTCAACCCTTTACTGGTAAACAGTTTAGAGTCTGTGGACTAATCTGTATTTTTTTATTTAGCCAGTGTGAGTCCATGTGAGATGAGCAGAGCAGACCAACTAAAATGATGCTTGGAAATTCAAAGATCTTAAGAGAGAAAATATTTGAAGAAGTTAATCTATAAAAACTAAACTGCTAAATAAATGCATACCAGGGATTTGAACCCGCATCAGCACGTGGCTAAATTGAGATGGTAGTCCCACACCTTTACCACTGGACTACCATAGCTAATGCAGCGCTTGACCGCCTAAGATGCTGTTGTAGGCATGTTTTGTTGGAGCAGGTGTGGGTGGAGTTTCACTGAAACCAAGCTTTTTATTCCTGGGTATAAATTCAGACTGAATCATATTTAAGATAAATAACATCTCGACAGTGTTTTCTCTTGCACCGTGCCTACCTTTGCTCTCCACGGTGTAAAATCGTGTGATATGGAACCGTTAACTCATTCGCTGCCAGCGTTTTTCAGCGTTTTCACTGTTTTTTTTTAAGAGTGACAGAACGTTGCGCGCTAGGATGACGTCAACGCCAAAACAACCAAAACAAACGTTCCGCTGCTGTTTCTCACCAGTATCAGCTGATGGAGGGCTCTAGTTTCGTTGCGCCGTTCGTGTCAGCGGACACGGTAGGGTTGGGGAGGGGGCGGGGCATGACGCTTAGCCTGGCGCATGGCCAAGCAAAGCCTGGCGGGCTGCCAGGCTTATAAAGCGCTGGGGAAACCCTGCTGTTCCTTCAAATACACTTCCCTAAAGGACTATCAGGACCACCACACTAATACGGTGTTGGACCCCTTTCTCCATCAGAACGGCCTTAATTCTACGTGGCGTTGATCCAGCAAGCTGCTGAAAGCATCTTTAGAAATGTCGGCCATGTTGACAGGACAGCATCTTGCAGTTGATGGAGATGTGTGGGATGCACATCCAGGGCACGAAGCTCCCGTTCCACCACATCCCAAAGATGCTCTATCGGGTTGAGATCTGGTGACTGTGTTGTCCCCCCACCCACCCCCCACCCCGGTAGTCCAGACTATACGGGTATAGTATATATACCTTTTCTTGTTGCTCCAGACTTGATGTGAGTCAGATGTTTGGGAAGTTCCTCCACCAACTCCAATGAGTCTTTTCTCACGCAGCCCCTCCTGGATTAACAGATTATAATTCTTATTCTTTCCCAGCTCCTCACATGGTTCCAGCTGTGGCGAGCTCCCAGTCCATCCCAATCCCGCAGAGTAGCTCAGACGGTCCCGGCAGAAGCAGACAGCCTTCTGAATGTGTGAGTAAAACCCTCCGAGTTCTGCCTCTGCCTCCTAAGAAAGGGGAAGTTCCCTGTTATTAAAGCCCAGCTCTTCTGGTTGTTTAAAATCCGTGTAAAGTGCTTGACCTTATTGAATTTTTAGTGTTTTGAAGGAGTTTGAAATGGTAACCAACATTTGCAGAAGCTTGGTTACATCTGTGAGCCAAATGACCGTTCAGGTGGTTGCAGGAATGCTCCTGAAAGTTTTTTGTCTGATCCGTAAGCATCTCCGTCTGTCCCGGTGCAGATCAGAGGAAAGATCATTAAAACCACCTATGGAACGATCTGGCTCTCGTAAAGCTGCTACCCATCGTGCTAAACCGGTTTATTTAGTGGATTTCTGATTGGTTGATGAGACGCTGATGAGCGACTGAGACGACTCCTACACTTGAATGATTTCAAACGTGTGCCAAAAGCACATTTCAGGTAGCCTGGCAAGCCAGACTAAATAAATGTATTATTTAGTCTGGCCACGCTCCATTGACAGCTCTCGGTTGTGGGGCGGGTTCTACCGTTGTCTTTCAAATGATCTCCGCATTCCACTGGACAATGAATGTGACATTCTCTTGTTTCACTCTGTTGCATCATCCCACCCACCAGGCATATAGAGTGCCCTGATTGGCCCACAAAGCGGATAAAGCTCTGTGATTTGTTCACTAAGCAGATAGAGCGCTATGATTGGCCCACCATTATGGACCAATCACAGCTCTTTGTGTGTTTGAAACCCCTCTAGAGAGCTGTGATTGGCTAGCCAGAGTCCTGGTAGGAGCTGCTGAGGTTCCAATGGAGCATGCCTAGACCATTCTTTGCAAAGCAAGAATTTGGTCTAGTTCACTAGGCTACATTTCAGGCGTATCAAGTGTGTGTAAAGCTGTCTGTGTTCGGTAGAATCCTCCTCGTGGACTCAAACTGCTTCTCCTTCCTGTTTCCAGTCTGATAGTCGACAGACGCCGCCTTACTCCCCCCAGAGCTTGTCTCTGTCCTCCAGCTCGCCTCAGCCTTCCCACAACAAGACCGGTTCTGCCAGTCCCCAGAAGACGCCTCCCCACGCCCAGGTTCCATTATCTCTCTTTAGCTTTCCCACCGCCCATCCGGGCCAGTACCACCACGGGACTCTGTCTGCTCTGGGGATTCTTCCCTCCCCTCAATCCCACCAGGCCCAGGGACAGGCTCCTCACCAGGTCCACATCCCCCCCACTTCCTGGCCCATCCACGGTCCGGTCCTTACGTCGTCCTCCGCCACCGCCACCTCCCCGGCCGGCCTGAAATTTGCCCTGCGTTCGGTTTCGGGCAACGGGAGTCCCACAGGCACAGGGAACCCGAGCCCCATGAACCTGAATGACCCGAGCATCATCTTCGCCCAGCCGGCGGGAAGACAGCTGGGCTTGGGGGGGCCGGGCCGGGAAGGACACTGGCACAACCACCTGGCACATCCTGGGTCTCTTATGGGTAATGGCACTGTTCTCAAGTCAGGTACTCACGGGTGACCTTTGGTGTCTCCACCTTTCGTTTCATCACTCATTTCTATTCTTCCTGAACCCAGACGGTGGCTTTATTTTCATTTATTTCATTTTGCTGATGCCAACAGAGTCTCTACGGCAGCCTGTTTGGGTCACTAAGAACATGAAAGACCAAATATTTATCAACAAGTCAGATTTAGATTTTCCAGAATAAAGTTGGGATTAAAATAGGCGTACCCTGCTCTGGTGCTACGACCAGTCTTACCTGTAATGATTTAGGTAAATGGACTGAATTCATCGTCTTTAGTTCTTCATTGAACACAGGGCGATGAGGGTTTGTTACCTTTGCTCACATGTTTTGATGTTCACTACCGCCTTCCTCAGAGCAACCGCCGGATGTTGCCGGCGGCGCTTCCGTTTGTCCGCAGGATAGGACCATATCACCCTCCGCTGCCCACACCTTCTCCGCTGATCATAACTGTTCTGGTTCTGGTCCTGCTGGACCTGACTGCAGCCTTTGACACTGTTGACCATCACCTGCTACTGGAGAGGCTGAGAGACTGGGTAGGCCTATCAGGAACTGCTCTGGAGTGGTTCTCCTCTTATCTCTCTGAACGCTCCTTTTCTGTGGCCGTCTCCAAGTTTAGGTCCTCCACCACCTCTCTTACCCATGGTGTCCCACAAGGTTCAGCATCCACTGATTTCCCTCTTTCCTGTTCACTCTCTCTCTTTCGTTACACTTTTTTTTTATCACAATTGTCTATTTTTGCTCATTTTAAATATATTTTTAACCATTTTCCAAATTATTTTTCATATTTTTTACATGTTTTGTTTTTGTGAAGCACCTCGTGATTTTTATCTTGAGAGGCGCTTTAGAAATGATATTTTCTTCTTCTTCTTCTTCTTCTTCTTCTTCTTCTTTCTTCCTTCTTCTTTCTTTTTTCTTCTTCCTTTTTTCTTCTTCTTCCTTCTTTCTTCTTCTTTTTCTTCTTCTTCCTTCTTTCTTCTTCTTTTTCTTCTTCTTCTTCTTTCTTCTTCTTTTTCTTCTTCTTTCTTCCTTCTTCTTTCTTTTTTCTTCCTTTTTTCTTCTTCTTCCTTCTTTCTTCTTCTTTTTCTTCTTCTTCTTCTTTCTTCCTTCTTCTTTCTTTTTTCTTCCTTTTTTCTTCTTCTTCCTTCTTTCTTCTTCTTTTTCTTCTTCTTCTTCTTTCTTCCTTCTTCTTTCTTTTTTCTTCTTCCTTTTTTCTTCTTCTTCCTTCTTTCTTCTTCTTTTTCTTCTTCTTCCTTCTTTCTTCTTCTTTTTCTTCTTCTTCTTCTTTCTTCTTCTTTTTCTTCTTCTTTCTTCCTTCTTCTTTCTTTTTTCTTCTTCCTTTTTTCTTCTTCTTCCTTCTTTCTTCTTCTTTTTCTTCTTCTTCTTTCTTCTTCTTTTTTCTTCTTCTTTCTTTCTTCTTTTTCTTCTTCTTCTTTTTTCTTCTTCTTTCTTCTTCTTTTTCTTCTTCTTCCTTCTTTCTTCTTTTTCTTCTTCTTCTTTTTCTTCTTTCTTCTTCCTTTTTTCTTCAGCTTCCTTCTTTCTTTCTTCTTCTTTTTCTTTTTCTTCTTCTTCTTTCTTTCTTTCTTCTTCTTTTTCTTCTTCTTCTTTCTTCTTCTTTTTTTCTTCTTCTTTCTTCCTTCTTCTTCTTTCTTCTTTCTCTCCTCCTCCTCCCACGAGTGGTCCAGGGTTTAAACTCCTTCGTCGCTGTTCATGGTGTCCTGGGTTCACGTCTCCTCATCTCTATTGTTTCTTTGATCCATCTTTTGAATTTCTGTCGCTGCGTTCACCCATGTGTTCTTCCAGCAGTGAAATGTGGAGTCTTATATGAAATACCACACAAACTTTGCAATAAAACATACGTCGGACAACAGGACGCAACTCGACACACGAGAAACAGAACCTAAACAGGAGTGTGAGACAGAAACAAGTCAAAGACACACAGGAGCAGCAAAAGCACGAAGAAATCAGCCAGAACAGACCGCCGTACAAGACGGGCCCAGGACCATGAACAGGGACGAAGGAGTTTACACCCTGGACCACTCATGGGACACGGTGATCAGCGGAGAAGGCGCGGGCAGCGGAGGGCGAAATCGTCCTATCCCGCAGACAAAAAGGAAGCGCCGCCGCCAACATCCGGCGGTGGCTCTGACGAAAGCGGTAGTCCAAACGTACAAACGTGAGCAAAGGTAACAAACGCTTCTAGCCCTGTGTTTAATGAAGAACTAAAGAAAATGAAATTAGATGACAAACAGTACGAACGTAAAAAAGATAGACGTACTGAAATGACAAATAAGGGTTTTAGTAACAATGACATTATTTAGGCTCATAAAGATTAGAAAAACCCATACATAAAATAACTAAACACAGCAGAACAATGAGGTTCTCCAACTGTTCTCCTCCTTTCTCCTCGTTCCAACTTTAAGACTATAGCTACAAAAGCAAATCTGCCAAATGAGCTGTCTTAAACCACGGGCCGTTTCTCTCGGCGTGCTCTTCTGAAACGTCATCAACGTTGGCCCAAGTACTGTTCCCGCCCTGAGTACGCACCATAGCGAGCATTCTCACACCTTCTGGATGTGTTCTTGTTCCACCCGTTGTAGGGCTGCACGATATTAGGTAAACCTGCGCTATTCAGTAACAGTGATTAATAATGCGATGACGATATTACATGCGATAAATAAAAACTCAACTCGGAAACAAAAATAATCAAAAACAAAGAAATTAAAAAGTCATAAAAATGAGAAAAGCAACAGATGTGAGGAAAGGGGAAGAGAAAAGGCGATCAATGGATCCCAGACAACGCAGAACAAGGCTAACTCAGGTGTTTGCTAACCATCTAAATGAAGCGCCGTCCACCTCGGGGGCGGGCATCTGACCTGTGAGAACCCACCCAATTGGCCAAATGGGTGAAGATCTCTGATTTGTTAAAAAACATCACGCTTCCGTTTGATTGACAGATTGCATCATGTGTAGCAAACATTTGAGCTGACCGTTCATTACGATATTGATCTGCTCTTTGCGATATGCATATTGTGCGTGCTGATATCGCGATAACGATGTATTTACGATATATTGTACAGCCCTAACCCGTTTTATGGAGGATGCGTCGGCACGCCCTTCTGCGTTCTTGGGCCATCAAGGTAATCCACAATGCCCCGCATCGCAAACTGTTGAACACCACACAGACGAGTCAGGCGAGAAAACTCACAACTCTGGTGTTTTTATATCAAATAAACAAATAATTAAGCCTAAAAACGTGAATATAAAGTCTGCCAGTTTATTTAATTGTACTTCATGATGCCTCAAAATGCTAATTGGTTAACTGACTCAGGAAATACAAGCCGCATTGCCTTAAATAGCTGTGTTTTGACTACTTTTTTTTACTTTTTTTTAACCCTCCCAATGTCCTAATGGGTGTGACCCCACGAGGAAAGTGTACCATTGATCAGGATTGATGGTTTTTACCTTGAGCACCACCTCACCCCTGCCACGTGGACCTCAAGGGATCTACCATCAGTCCTGATCAGTCCTCGCGGGGTCACACCCATTAGGACAGTGGGAGGGTTATAGGTGGGAATGGCAGGTATCATTTTTGAATAAAAGTTGACCAGATATGATATAACCCCCCTCCAAGGTGCTTTATAACACCGTCACTCATCTACCCATTCACACACCGGTGATGATGACCTACAGTGTAGCCACAGCTGCCCTGGGGCGCGCTGACGGGTGCCACCGGTCCCTCCGACCACCACCAGCAGGGAAGGTGTTTATCTGACTCAAATCGAGTCTAGAACCACGCGATCTGATCTGGACAGCCCTGGTTCAGAAGAGTACCCGGATAGAGAAACGTCCCGTTTCCTGCTTGTTTTAGCCCGACTCCCTTTGTTGCTTTAAAAGTGGCTAAAAGTCTAGCATTAGAGAACAGTAGTTCTTTTAGTAGAGCCTCTGTTTCTAAGGCGATTGTGTTTTTTTGGTAACTATAAAACTTGGTTTTACTTGCCACCGTTTCTTTTCTTTCTCACACCTTCCCAGTTTGCTGGTTTGCTGTAAAATGGAGCCTCATGCATCAAACGTTCGTAGAAAAATCCCTGAATTCCTTCCTATAAAGGAAAATTAGAAAGTTCGTACGAACTGTAAAAATCCTGATTCATGAAACGTGCAGCATTCTCTCGTACGCACGATTTTCCGCACTCGTCTGTCACGAATCCCACCTGTGCTACCCAGGTGCTCGTGTCTGTTCTCAGTCATTTACATACAGGAACGCCCTCAGTTAACCATATATGGTCATGCTGCTACGTGAGGGGATTGAGGGGATTCCTGCGTTCTACTGGAAAAAAGAAAACTTGTGAGATCGAGACACTTTCTGCTGAAGTGCAAAAGAACCAAACAGGTGTCAGAGGTCATGAACGCGGTGGGGACGGAGGAGAGGTTCCTGTCAGGTCTGTGCGTACGTACGGTTGATGCATGAGGCCCCTGGAGATGATCTGTGAACCCTATCTGGGTTTCTGTCACTGCATTGTTTGTTTTCAACGTCTGGTTCCAGAGTCCGGCCATCAGATCCAGTTTGAAGGTGTGAGCCAAGGCTCTCGGTTATGGGAGCACAACAAACCCCCCCAGTACACCCTCTCTCCATCCTGGCACTACCAGATACCCCAGAACTTCATCCAGCAGGGAGCCGGAGACTTCCGGCCGGGGAAGAGCTTCATGGCTCAAGGTCAGCAGAAATAACCAGCTTCATGTTCATGTAGGAGATGTCGACTCCATCCGAGGTTCTGATCCGATTCTCCTATTAAAGGTTCTGTGGTGCATCCGAACCCAAACTTCCCGCTGGTTCCTCATGTCCGACACCCAGTCAATCTGAACTTCATCCAGCAGAAGAAATGATCTTTTTACTTTGGTTTTACGGTCAGTCACCAATCAGAAATCGGGTTCTCTTTGCATCACCTGACCTCAAGATTTTTATCTTTTTTGTACAGTTTTTATGTTTTATTGTTTTTGGTCTCATGACATTGATTTGTGATACAAATGTCAAAGTATTTTAATACCCCCGTTTTTGAGGGGGTCCAAAAGTGTTTTTATTTTACGTGTAAAGTACGGAGGGACAATGGAAACCTTTATTTTTATTAGCTGGATTCATACTTTGCTTGCTGAAGGTGAAGGTTTGAATAGATGTTTGTTTTAAAAACAATCTAATGTGTCGCCCCTGTTATGTAGTGCCAAAAGCAGAAGTGAGAAGAAAAAAACAAACAAAAATAAATAAAAAATAAAGAAAGCGCAAACGACGTGTTTGTGTCGTGTAAATCATTGTTTTATTCTGAAAATTTCTACATGAATCAGTTTAATGTAGGCGGCTTTATTTCTAGAGCACGATTCAGTAACAGAGGCAGTTTAATGTGCTTTACAGCCATCAGGACATGATATGAAAACACACAAAAACACAAAATACACTCGGATAGAATTACAGTTTAGAGATAAAGGAGAAGGCAAAGTTACATCACAGATTACAGTGGAGCATAAGAAACCATTCATGTAAAGGCTGATGAGTACATGAGGGCTTTTAAGGCCTAGTCCACACGTAGCCGGGTTCTTTAAAAACGAATATCCGCCCCTCCAAAAACTTGCATCCACACCACCTCGTTTTAAAAAAAACTCTGTCCACACGTACCTGGATAAATACGTTGTTAAGGACATGCCAGACCTGTAGGCGGCAGTACTTCCCCCGTTCTTAACCTCGTCCTTCGTCTGTGGTCTTCCACAAGGAGCAGTAATTCTGCTTGCAAAAACAAACAAGCAGAAAGCGCTTGGACAATTGATAAAGCGAGCGCAGCTCTGAGGGCATCCATGATGTCGGCTAGTGTAAACACAGGTCGCACACGTGATGTCAGCATTTTTTTGTAGCGGAAAGTGACGTTGCGGACCTTAAAACTCCGGTTTTGTCCGTCCACACGCAGACACCCAAAACGGAGAAAACGCAGATCTTCACTTTGGCCGGAGTTTTTAAAAAGATCCGTTGTCGTGTGAAAAAACTCCGTTTTCGTGTGGATGACAGGCCAAAACGTAGAAACTTATCTACGTTTTGGCAGATCCTCGGCTACGTGTGGACAGGGCCTAAACAACACTAGGGTTGGGGCACATCTGAGGTCATGGGGACCCTGATTCCATATCCACTAAATGCATCTCCACCATGTTTGGTTCTGACCCGAGGCTCTACCAGCTGATTGTTTCACCTCAGAGCCCTATTGGGTGTACATACAGGAATGAGATAGGACGTGTGTTTTGGAGATGCACCGGAAGGAAAAGTCTTGGCCGAAACTGAAAATGAAGAAAAGCCGAGGTCAAACACCGAAACAGTGAGAGAAATGAATCAGAACCATAGCACTAGGTCGGTAAAATCAACCCTTTAAGCACCAAAGTCCAAACATAAAGTTATTACTTCTCACCAGAAGATAGTGGAGATGTGTAAATTCAACTTAGCTACACTTTTGGGTGCTTCTATGGAAATTTTGGGAGGTTATAGACTTTGAAAACTGCCCCTCATCCAGAAGCTCCCGAGTCTCGACTTTCAATGGTTTTTAAGTGTCTGAATGGACTTGGGCCTTCTTATCTCTCAGACCTACTTTCACCAGATGAACCCTCGCGGCCGCTGGCAGCCACCTCCTGGTTATCCCTAAAGTCTGGACACGGCGAGGCATCTGTCCACTATTACAGGCCTTGCCTCTGGAACAGGCCGCCGGAGGACCTCAGGGCCGTAGAGAACGTTCATGTTTTTAAGAGCGGGCTTAAGACTTTTTACTTTTAACTGATTATTAGTAATTATAGTAGATTACTTGCTTTGGATGCATATTTTAATTGACTGCATTTTATCACTGTTTGTATTATTTTAATATTTATTACATTTTAATTCATTACTTATTAACTTACATTTACTATTATATTAGCTCTTGTTATTTAATATTTTGTTTTTTGTTAATCTTTCTTCCAGTGTTTAATCCGTGGGGGCCCTCTGCCTCGGGGGCGATGATCAACGGTTGCTGCCTGGGTACCCTTAGACCAGGGGTCGGCAACCTGTTCCCATCAAAGAGCCATTATTACCCTTTTCCCACAGTAAAGAAAACACTGGGAGCCGCGGCGTTGTGGGCGGGGCCTACCCTCAGACAGCAGAGCGCTGCTCACAACAGGTGACAGCAGCCGGTACCGGTCGCTCGTGTACGTCAAAGCTATCTTTCATTAGAAGATAATCAATAAAACGATTTATATAAAGTGGATCCAGAAGTTGTAGCCCGTCTCTGCTACAATATTTAGATATTTTTCACCCTGTTGGTGGTTTTACTGAGCAGGTGCCACTTTTGTCATACGTTTCTTTTTAAAACATGTTTAGACTGTTCAGAATACAAATCCAGGCTCTGTCACGTTTGATTGTTGTAATTAAACTTTGTAGGTGGGGAAGGTCAGAAAAGGATCCGATCATTTTGTTTTTCCCTCATTTACACTGACGGAGACAACGGCGCAGTGCGCCTGGCTCTGGTGTTAATCAAGTTTAATTATATCTCTTTGCAACAATTTTCATAAGAAAACAGAACAGTTAAAAGCAGGGCTTGTGTTGACCGGATAGTTCCTGTGTTTGACCGTTTATTTTGACGGAGAAAGAACAGAAAGAATTACCCCGACGCATGCAGACGAACTGGCATTTTATTCTACGCACACCGCAGATGTAGCTAAATCACTCAAGAAGAGATTCCCATCAGAACATCTGAGCTGGACACTGCTCAGCGCAGCTCGCTGTCAGCGCGTACGTACGGTGCACAGCGAGCTGAAGATGTGGAGAGGGGCTTGGAGCGCGTCGCAGAACCAGAGCGCATGCAGGAAGATTCCTCTGACTGAAGCGAGACTTGTCACTTAGAAAATGTTCCCTGATTATGAAACTTTGACTGAATAGCGCTTGTTCCTGTCTCCAATGTGGTGACACATCCAGGAGCCGTCTGATGAGAAGCCCAGAATCTCACATCCTCGTCAGCTCAGGAAGCGCCTATGATTACGCACAAGCGTGACGCGTCAACCCGGTCTCACAGTAAGACCGGGTTGGACCTGTTCAGGTTTACGCAAAATATAAAGCATTTTATTTAAATATCCATTCATTATTTTACAAGCACAGAGAACCGCATCAGATGGATGGAAGAGCCGCGGGTTGCCGACCCCCGCCTTAGGGTAGTGCTTGGGTGGAGGTGGGGCCTATGCCCTCCCTCCCCTTTGCACCCGGTGTTGATGCCTTGGCTGCTTCGGTTAGTCTGCTGCTGCCGGGGCAGATGGCTCCTATGATGGCGTTTCTCTGCATCTGAACTCAGCCCAAAACCATTTAAACTGATGTTCTTAAATGGATGTGTGTATGGTGAGGGGTGTATTATGACTGTTCCAATGCTTTTAGGGATAGTCATTCGGGTTATCCATTTCCATCTATTCCATTTTCATCCGCTTATCCGGAGTCGGGTCGCGGGGGCAGCAGCCTAAGGCGAGAGGCCCAGACTTCCCTCTCCCCAGCCACTTGGACCAGCTCCTCGGGGGGAATCCCAAGGCGTTCCCTGGCCAGGTGAGAGACATAGTCCCTCCACCTGGGTCTACCTTTAGGCCTCTTCCTGGTTGGACGTGCCCAGAAAACCTCACCAGGGAGGCGTCCAGGAGGCATCCTGACCAGATGCCTGAGCCACCTCAACTGGCTTCTCTCGATGTGGAGGAGCAGCGGGTGTACTCCGAGCCCCTCCCGAATGACCGAGCTTCTCACCAGCCACTCTTTGGAGAAAACTCATTTCGGCCGCTTGTATCCGCGATCTCGTTCTGTCGGTCACTACCCAAAGCTCATGACCATAGGTGAGGGTAGGAACGTAGATCGACCGGTAAATCAAGAGCTTCGCCTTCTGACGCAGCTCTCTCTTCACCACGACAGACCGGTACAACGCCTGCATCACTGCAGATGCAGCAACAATCCGCCTATCCATCTCACGCTCCAGTTTTCCCTCACTCGTGAACAAGGCCCCGACATACTTAAACTCCTCCACTTGGGGCAGGACCTCATCCCTGACCTGGAGAAGGCATTCTACCCTTTTCCGAATCAAGACCATGGTCTCTGATTTAGAGGAGCTGATTGTCATCCCAGCTGCTTCACACTCGGCTGCGAACCGCTCCAGCGAAAGCTAAGGTTATGTTCTGATGAAGCCAACAGGACCACATCATCTGCAAAAAGCAGAGACCCGATCCTCAGGCCACCAAAACAGATGCCCTCCACACCTTGGCTGCACCTAGAAATCCTGTCCATAAAGGTTATGAACAGAATCGGTGACAAAGGGCGGCCTTGGCGGAGTCCAACTCTCACTGGGAACGAGCCCGACTTACTACCGGCAATGCGGACCAAGCTCTGACACCGGTCATACAGGGACCTAACAGCCCGTATCAGAGGGCCTGGTACCCCATACTCCCGGAGTACCCCACAGGGCCCCCCGATGGACGCGGTCAAACGCATTCTCCAAATCCACAAAACACATGTAGACTGGTTGGGCAAATTCCCACGCACCCTCCAGGATCCCCCTAAGGGTATAGAGCTGGTCCAGTGTTCCACGGCCAGGACCAAAACCACATTGCTCCTCCTGAATCTGAGGTTCAACAATCCGATGGACCCTCCTCTCCAGAACCCCTGAATAGACCTTACCAGGTAGGCTAAGGAGTGTGATCCCCCTGTAGTTGGAACCCACCCTGTGGTCCCCCTTTTTAAATAAGGGGACCACCACCCTGGTCTGCCAGTCCAGTGGGACTGCCCCAGATGTCCACGCAATATTGCAGAGCCGCGTCAGCCAACACAGCCCCACAACATCCAGAGCCTTAAGGAACTCCGGGCGGATCTAATCCACCGCTGGAGCCTTGCCACAGAGGAGCTTTTTAACCTCCTCAGTGACCTCTGCACCAGAGATTTGAGAGGCCAACCCAAAGTCCCCAGACTCTGCTTCCTCACTGGAAGACATGTCAGTGGGATTGAGGAGGTCTTCGAAGTATTCTGCCCACCGATTCACAACGTCCTGAGTAGAGGTCAGCAGCACACCGTCCCCACTATAGATAGTGTTGGTAGCGCACTGCATTCCCCCCCTGAGGCGCTGGTGGACCAGCATCTCCTCGAAGCCGTACGGAAGTCTTGCTCCACAATCTCACCAAACTCCTCCCATGCCCGGGTTTTTGCCTTGGCGACCACCTGAGCTGCGTTCCGCTTGAACTGCTGGTACTCATCAGCTGCCTCTGGAGTCCCAAAGGCCAAAAAGTCCTGATAGGACTCTTTCTTCAGCTTGACAGCATCCATAACCGCCGGTGTCCACCAGCGGGTTCGGGGGTTGCCACCACGACAGGCACAAACGATCCTGCGACCACAGCTCCGTTCGGCCACCTCAACAATGGAGGCAGGGAACAGGGTCCATTCAGACTCAATGTCCCCCGCCTCCCCCGGAACATTTTGGAAGTTCTGTCGGAGGTGGGAATTGAAGCTCCTTCTGACAGGAGACTCTGCCAGACGTTCCCAGCAGGCCCTGGCGATACGTTTGGGCCTGCCTGGTCTGACCGACGTCCTCCCCCACCATCTGAGCCAACTCACCACCAGGTAATGGTCTGTTGACAGCTCCGCCCCTCTCTTCACCTGAGTGTCCAACACATGCGGCCGCAGGTCAGATGAAACAACAACACAGTCGATCATCGAGCTGCGGCCTAAGGTATCCTGGTGCCAAGAGCAAATATGGACACCTTTATGTCTGAACATGGTGTTCATTATGGACAATCCATGACTGGCACAGAAGTCCAATAACAAAACACCACTCGAATTCAGATCGGGGGGCCGTTCTTCCCAACCACACCTCTCCAGGTCTCACTGTCGTTGCCCACATGAGCGTTAAAGTCCCCCAGCAGAACGAGGGAGTCACCGGAAGGAGCGCTTTCCAGCACCCCCTCCAAGGTCTCCAAAAAGGGTGGGTAGTCTGAACTGTAGTTTGGTGCATGAGCACAGACCAGTCAGAACCCATCCCCCCACACGTAGGCGGAGGGAGGCTACCCTCTCATTCACTGGGGTAAACCCCAACGTACAGGCACCAAGATGGGGGGCAACTAGAGTGCTCACCCCTGCTCGGCGCCTCTCAGTGGGAGCAACTCCATTGGGGTTATGCAGGGTCATTTTAATCCATAAAGCACTTTGAGTTCTACATTTTGTAGGAAAAGTTTGTTTGATTGACTGAGGAGAGGAGTTCATAGCAGTTGAATATTGTTTATTAGAGAGGAGGAACTTATAATGCTGACGGGTCTGTTCGCTGTTGACTAAGCTCTTTGTCTGCTAATGGTGAAGGGCCTGTATTTGATATAGCACCTTCTAGAGTCCTGGGACCCCCCAAGGTTCTTTACAACACAGTCGGTCATTCACCCATTCACACACACATTCACACGCTGGTGGGGATGAGCTACATTGTGATACCACCAGTAGGCAAGGGGGGTTATGTGTCTAACCCTTACCCTGGTAAGGTGAGGTTTTCCGAACACGTCCAACTAGGAGAAGACCCAAAGGAAGACCCAGGACACGCTGGAGAGACAATGTCTCATGGCTGGTCAGGGAACACCTTAGGATTCCCCCAGAAGAGCTGGTCCAAGTGGCTGGGGATAGGGAAGTCTGGGACCCCTGCTTAGGCTGGTGCCCCTGCGACCCGACCCAGATAAGTGGCTGAAAATGGAAGGATGGAAAATCAAATTTCCTCCAAACCAGCCGATTATTTCCACTGGTTGGACTGGCTTACATGACAAGTCTGTCTGACGTTAGAAAGCCTCCTAAAAATAAGTTCATGAAGGTTGGTGAATCTTATTTAATGACTTTCTCCATCATTTGGATCCCAGAGGAGAGTGCCAGGTTTATTTGGTAGGATTTCAGCTTAAGGATGAATCTGAAACTAAATGTGGTGACAGTTCTTCTCTAATATATTAATCATCTCCACTTCCACTTTTCACGTCTCTGGACAACAGTTAAGAGAATCTTCTGTCTGAAGTTAACTTCCCTTTCATAAAAGCTTTAATTAGGAATTAATTTTCCTAATTAAATCTGCAGGGGTGATGATGAACCGGCGTTGATGAGGGGCGTGAGTGGAGATGGAGGTCCTAATTACATGAAATACCTGAAGGAGAAATCTGAGTCAATAAGTTCTTTAATCTTCTCCCAGAGTAAAGCAGGAGGTGGGGGGAGCTGTGTGGCTCGCTGCCACGCTCAGCCACAGGAGATCGCCGCCTCCCCATTTCATTTGCAGGAAATAAAGTTATTAAATGCTCCTAATGGCCGTGGAAATGGCCACTCATTCTTCTCTGCGTTATCAGTCGATCCACGTCAGACTGCTGCAGCTGATGTGTGAAAGTCAAACACCAAGAGCAGATCTGCTGCAAGACGTTCTGCAGATCTAAGGTGTCCTCACCAGACAGGCTGACAGGAGAACCCTCAAAGAAGATGACTGAAATGTGCCTTCCGTCTGATCCCGCTTGTAACACCGATCTGAGTCTGCTCCTGGCTCAGAGGGTGCTTTTGCAGGCCTGAAACGATCATCAGCCCCATGAAGGAGCAGCGGGTGGGACCGGGGGTACAGGACAAGGAGACAGAAGCTCCTCTCCTCTGGAATAATCCTTTTACGGAGGTTCTTATCGGGTTCGTCTCAGACTGATAATGGATGTCCGGGCGATCTAAACGTGCCGGCTCCGTCCTGCAGCTGAGATAAGGCAGTAACGTAAAACCTACAAGGTCTCAGAGGGTTTGGAAGCTTCTGCACGACAGCTTCACGTGTAAATGTTTAAAATAAAACTAGCTATGGAAAGTCTAGCTGTAAACATTCAGAACTAAATATCAGGTCGAGATTCAATGTTTCATTTCAAATTAAAGTCTAAACAGTTAAATTATTCGAGGAAAGAGAAAAAATTCGGTTCAACATAAATGTTTGAATCAAACTAAAATACTGAACTTTGATCTAATGAAGTGAAGTAGAAACTTTTAAAACCAATCAAATCTAAATATTAGGGAACTATTTCAAAGTAGATCCGTTTTCGAGATTAAATCTCACGTAGCTTTATAACGCCATCAAAGACAGCTTCTTTTAGACGGGCACTTCCTCTTCCTTCTGGAGGGGAACCTACGTTTCTAGACATAGACATCATGAGGAACCCAAGGTTCTAGATCTACAGCATCATGAGGAACCCAAGGTTCTAGATCTACAGCATGAGGAGCCTAAGTTTCTAGATCTAGACCATCATGAGGAACCAAAGGTTCTAGATCTACAGCATCATGAGGAACCCAAGGTTCTAGATCTACAGCATCATGAAGAACCCAAGGTTCTAGATCTACAGCATCATGAGGAACCCAAGGTTCTAGATCTACAGCATCATGAGGAACCCAAGGTTCTAGATCTACAGCATGAGGAGCCTAAGTTTCTAGATCTAGACCATCATGAGGAGCCCATGGTTCCAGATCTAGACCATTATAAAGAACCAAAGTTTCTAGAGATAGACCATCATTAGGAACCTAAGGTTCTAGAGATAGACCATCATGAGGAACCTAAGGTTCTAGATCTACAGCATCATGAGGAACCTAAGGTTCTAGATCTACAGCATCATGAGGAACCTAAGGTTCTAGATCTACATCATCATGAGGAGCCTAAGTTTCTAGAGCTAGACCATCATGAGGAATCTAAGGTTCTAGATCTAGACCATCATAAGGAACCTGAGTTTCTAGAGATAGACCATCATGAGGAACCCAAGGTTCTAGATCTACAGCATCATGAGGAACCCAAGGTTCTAGATCTACAGCATGAGGAGCCTAAGTTTCTAGATCTAGACCATCATGAGGAGCCTAAGGTTCTAGATCTAGACCATCATAAGGAACCTAAGTTTCTAGAGATAGACCATCATGAGGAACCTAAGGTTCTAGATCTAGACCATCATAAGGAACCTGAGTTTCTAGAGATAGACCATCATGAGGAACCCAAGGTTCTAGATCTACAGCATCATGAGGAACCCAAGGTTCTAGATCTACAGCATCATGAGGAGCCCAAATTTCTTGATCTAGACCATCATGAGGAGCCTATGGTTCCAGATCTAGACCATCATAAGGATGCTAAGTTTCTAGAGATAGACTGTCATGAGGAACCTAAGGTTCTAGAGATAGACCATCATGAGGAACCTAAGGTTCTAGATCTACATCATCATGAGGAGCCTAAGGTTCTAGAGATAGACCATCATGATGAACCTAAGGTTCTAGATCTACAGCATCATGAGGAACCTAAGGTTCTAGAGATAGACCATCAAGAGGAGCCTATGGTTCTAGATCTAGACCATCATGAGGAACCTAACGTTCTAGACATAGACCATCATGAGGAACATAAGGTTCTAGATCTACAGCATCATGAGGATCCTAAGGTTCTAGAGATAGACCATCATGAGGAACCTAAGGTTCTAGATCTACAGCATCATGAGGAGCCTAAGGTTCTAGAGATAGACCATCAAGAGGAGCCTATGGTTCTAGATCTAGACCATCATGAGGAACCTATGGTTCTAGACATAGACCATCATGAGGAACATAAGGTTCTAGATCTACAGCATCATGAGGATCCTAAGGTTCTAGAGATAGACCATCATGAGGAACCTAAGGTTTTAGATCTACAGCATCATGAGGAGCCTAAGGTTCTAGATCTACAGCATCATGAGGAGCCTATGGTTCTAGATCTAGACCATAAGGACCCTAAGGTTCCAGATCTAGACCATCATAAGGAACCTAAGTTTCTAGAGATAGACCATCATAAGGAACCTAAGGTTCTAGAGATAGACCATCATGAGGAACCTACGGTTCTAGATCCACAGCATCATGAGGAGCCTAAGTTTCTAGACATAGACCATCATGAGGAACCTAAGGTTCTAGATCTACAGCATCATGAGGAGCCTAAGGTTCTAGATCTACAGCATTGTGAGGAGCCTAAGGTTCTAGAGATAGAGACCATCATGAGGAACCTAAGGTTCTAGATCTACACCATCTTGAGGAACCTAAGGTTCTAGATCTAGACCATCATGAGGAGCCTAAGGTTATATAGATAGACCATCATGAGGAACCTAAGGTTCTAGAGATAGACCATCATGAGGAGCCTAAGTTTCTAGATCTAGGCCATCATGAGGAACCTAACGTTCTAGATCTAGACCATCATGAGGAGCCTAACGTTCTAGATCTAGACCATCATGAGGAGCCTAAGGTTCTAGATCTAGGCCATCATGAGGAACCTAACGTTCTAGATCTAGACCATCATGAGAAGCCTAAGGTTCTAGATCTAGGCCATCATGAGGAACCTAACATTCTAGATCTAGACCATCATGAGGAACCTAACGTTCTAGATCTAGACCATCATGAGAAGCCTAAGGTTCTAGATCTAGGCCATCATGAGGAACCTAACGTTCTAGATCTAGACCATCATGAGAAGCCTAAGGTTCTAGATCTAGGCCATCATGAGGAGCCTAAGGTTCTAGATCTAGATCATAAGGAGCCTAAGGTTCTAGATCTAGACCATCATGAGGAACCTAACATTCTAGATCTAGACCATCATGAGAAGCCTAAGGTTCTAGATCTAGGCCATCATGAGGAGCCTAAGGTTCTAGATCTTGACCATCATGAGAAGCCTAAGGTTCTAGATCTAGGCCATCATGAGGAACCTAACGTTCTAGATCTAGACCATCATGAGAAGCCTAAGGTTCTAGATCTAGGCCATCATGAGGAGCCTAAGGTTCTAGATCTAGATCATCATAAGGAACCTAAGTTTGTAGAGCTAGACCGTCATGAGGAACCTAACATTATAGATCTAGACCATCATGAGAAGCCTAAGGTTCTAGATCTAGACCATCATAAGGAGCCTAAGGTTCTAGATCTAGACCATCATGAGAAGCCTAAGGTTCTAGATCTAGACCATCATGAGAAGCCTAACATTCTAGATCTAGACCATCATGAGGAACCTAACGTTCTAGATCTAGACCATCATGAGGAACCTAACGTTCTAGATCTAGGCCATCATGAGGAGACATAAACTTTGTCTCACTTCTCAAACATCATGTGTGTCTCCTGTATGATGTATTTACTTGAACTGTTTTATCGTAAAAACCAAAGATTTAAACAGGAAAATCATGAAGATCTAGGCCGCCCAAACTTTCGCACCCCTCTCTTCCGACTCCTGAGGTGGTAAATCATTACATCTTACTTCCATTACTCAGAACTCCTCTGGTAAAAATCAGAACCTGTTCCTACACATGGATGAAAATCTGCTTCAGGGACTCAGAAGACACACATAAAAGGACACTTCAGCACTTTGGATTAGATTCATCTCCACATCCATCAATCATCTCCGTGTGGTCTCTCGGCCCTGAGGAGAGAGGGCTTGGAGGGGATTATTTACCCTGTCAGGACCGCGGTGCGCTCCGTCTGTCCAGCAGCGCCTGGCGGTTTGTCAGAGACACAGCCTGGGTAAAAAGGTTAATAAGGACATCTCTGCTGAAGAGACAGCACTGTCACTTGGCCTGCTCTGAGCCTCCAACAGGTCTGAGCCACATGCAGAGCAGGAATATTAAATGCACACTTAGTATGCTGTTGTCATATGGCTTTTATTAGTATTCCATCGGCCCAATGAGCCGTGAGAGGCCCAGCTGCTGCGTCCTCAGCTATCCCACACATCCCTGTCTTGTTACTCGTCCAGAGTGTCAGTCTGCTCATCACCTCAGCCGTCCCATGTCACGTATTTATTATAATTGGGCCAGGGAGTTTGAAAATGCATTAATAACACTATGATGATAGAAGTGAATGCAGCATGGTAGAAGAGGAGAGCGCTTACACCAACAGGAGGCGTTACTGTACCTATCCACTAGCGGCTGCAGGTGAGAAAAGATGCTCCTTCTTAATCTATCATGGATGTTCAAACGAAATCGGGTTAGGGTGACTACGGCTCAAAACAATCTTCCAAATAAGCAGGTTTACAGATAGTCAATTATCAAGACAGAAATCAGAAAAGCTTTATTTGTCCCAGAGGGAAATTAGAGTTTCAGTACACACAATTCAGAGATCAGACATACATGGGCAAGACACATGACAAGAATTGGTGACTGAATAGAGATAAGAGGGTTACAAGAGGATTGGTTCAGGTGGAGGAAAAAAAGGCACTTCAGAGTTACGCTCCACCAGGAGGGTAGCTTTGCTCTGCAAAAAATCACCTCAGACAGACAGATATGCAACAGCCTTAATAAACACAACATAACATGAGACTCCAATAGGAGGGGGGGGCTGGGATCCTGTTTCCCCCAGCGAGAGCAGCCATCTACGGTGCTCATCTACTGTACAGTCACAGGTGGGAGGGAGATCTTGGGAGAAGCAAAGAGCACATTGACTCCTGCAGATTGATGACCTCGCCAGGCTGACGTCCACCAATCCGAAGGCGGGGGGGTGGGGGTGGTGTGTGCGCGTGTGTGTGTGTGTGTGTGTGTGTGGGGGGGGGGGGGGGGGGGGGTTGTGTAGGTCGGGTTTTCACAGCATCTGTCTGCATTCCTTCGCGGGGGTTTTAGTTGTTTGCGGCTCAAGGCTACCAGGGCGTCAGATCCGGATAATAAGACTTTATTTGGGTCAGGCTGCGATAATTTTCCTCTCTGCCTTCAGTCTTTAAACTGATCATTCCAGTCCTTCAGTGAAGCCAATTTTGGGTTTTAAACTTGTCCACACCGTCCGGTGACCCTCTCCGAGATGACATCCATTTTGTGCACTAATACCGGTATCGCAGCTAGGACATTGTCCAGCTTATGATTCACCTCGAGTAACGTCCCAGTCTGGAAGTCTCCACACGGACGGTGCTTTCCGTGGGTGCGGGTCGCCCTCCGATCGCTCCCGTTTTCCCAAATTTCCAGAAAACCAGATATCCTCCCACTCCAATCAGGAGAAATCCAGTGATCATCAGGCTGAATATCCACACGTCTTCGATATCCTCAATGGACAGCTGGGAGAGGCATATGATCTTCCACTCCTTCCAGGAATCCAGCATATATCCCACTGGGTGTGTCCCCTGTGGACACATGGGAGCCCCCGCTCCGTTCTCATTGTTGAAAAAATCATATCGATCACATTGAATGACCAGTTTATCAAGTCCATGGTTAGTAAAAATAGAGTTTTTCAGAAGAAATGCAGAGAAGCGCTCTGTGGGCAGACAGGACAAAGAGCCTTGGGAAAAATAGATAAGGGAGCGAAAGAGAGAAGCGTCTGTACTCCTCGAGTGCCTTGAAGAAAGCATTATGCAGCGTTATCACTTGTACTGCTTCGTTTTCACACAGAACAAGACCCCCCCCCCACACACACGCACACACTCACACGCACACACTCACACGCACACACACACACACACACACACACACACACAGTCTGAAGCGCAGAATACGGAATGCAGGATGTCACACTGAGATAGAATGTCAAGCGTCTGTGACAGTGTGTGTGTCCTGTCACTGTGACCCGATTGATGATGCACCCTGGCTACATGAACAAGGGAGATCTCTGTTTGGGTGACTTGTTAGCGTGTGTGACTTTCACCCGGGAGTCTGGGGGTCGAACCCTGATTGGACCATTTTTTATATCCACCACAGATCTCTCTGAAGAACTCAGCATTGACGGCTTCAGCAACGCTGTTGCACTCCCTGGATTTTCTCTTATTTGTTTTGCAAAAGCACTTCCTTTCATTTCTCCACCTCACCCACAGGTACCTCAACTTCTGCTTCTGTGAAATTGCGCTTCCTTGATCTGCCTTGATCTACGGTCGCCATCGTAATTGACGGATTGATGCAACAGCTGGCTTATGTATATGCATGAGGTCCACAAGGCACTTTACATTGACCATTTAGGTGGGCGTGGTGAGGGCGGGATGTGACTAAAAAGCAGCTGAGAAACATTCTCGTTAGTCTCTGATTTATGAAGCGGAGATTGCGTGCAGCTGTGCGTACTCCATGTTTGATAGATCACAAACCTACTTGGCGTAAAATAATCACAAAACTGTCTCGTGTCTAAACCTGATGCAGATTTCCTGCTCAGTCGGTGGGGGCTTGTCAGCATTTCTCCTTTCAAAATGGTCAAAGAGGGACATACACTGTAAAAAAAAGGCTTGTGTCATTTGTAACATCAACATAAACCATCAATGTTGCAGAGCCAGTGGTAGAGTCGTGTTTTTGTTTTCCAGTCAGAGGTGAGATGTCCGCATGTCAGAAAGTAAGACTCCACATCCGGTTGTCTGAAGCTGTCTTCTGATCTGGCAATCTTCTAGATCCTGAAACAGGTGCAGACGAGGACTTCAGTCTTGTCTTGATTTAAAAGCAGAAAGTTTAGAGTCATCCAATTTTTTATGTCTTCAAGACTAGCCTGTAATCTAACTAACCAATGTAGCAATTAACATATATTAATTATGACCAATAAGATATGATGACTACATATAAATATGAAATATCAACCTGATTGATCTTTGAATGTTTAATCAGAAGATTCTAGGGTTCTTTGCTTCTTCAGGGATCATAAACACACTTCGTATTAATTCAGACAGAGTCAGCATATAGTTTATAAAATTAATTTAATTCTTTACCTAAACTAATAATTTATACATGACAAGAGATGAATAATGAGATGTGGTGTGGTGGATGTGAGGTGTTGTGATGGAAGCTGGATGTTGTAGCAACCGTTCTTTGTATCTGAGAGAAATTCTGAAGTCTGGGTGTAAAATAATTTGTTGTTTGTTATAAACTAGAGAGCTGTTTATTTATAAACCTCATCAGATGCAATCTGTCGTGTCTACGGACCCTGGTGGAGACCCTCAGCAGATCTGGACTGTCAGAAGTCGGGTGGACCTCACGGTACCTGGAGCCCGTACATTAGCTCCGATACGACCCGTCTAGTCTTGAGATGTCGTCCGTCATAATTAAATATTAGTTTCTCAGTTGCTGCTGCCGGTTTTATAACAGATCTGTCAGCT